TGCCAAAAGTGCTTAATCAGATTGGTACAAACAAGGGCCATTAATAATTAGACAAAAGTTTCCGACTGTTCATCATAAACTAAAAGTCAAGCTATATTGCAATCAAATTAAAAAAAAAAAAAAAAAACTTCTGGATGAAAAATCAACAATGAACTTCCCGACATTATATTCCATAATAGGGTGAAAAACCTTCAGAAAAAGAGCACACAAGGGAATGCCTCACAATCAAAATATTCCCTATTTTTTTTCCTTATTGTAAATACAAAATTTGTTGTCTGGGCATGTGAAATGTGAAGACAAAGTTACTGTGGCCCTCCTAATGCTTTTGTCTAACTTCCGGAGCTGTAATGATACAGTATATGATACTTACAGATATAACAAAGAGCAAAAATTCAAATCTTAAACTTCAGTCTTTTTCTTTTTTTAATGGTTAAACTTCAATCTTTGTATATAGGAGTAATAACTATTAACGTAAACTCAATATTTTTATCAGCTGTAACCATGGGAACATTGCCCTCCATTGATATTGAAGGAACGTTGAAAAAGTCGGTTTCCCCCTTCGCCAAACATGTTTCAGAAAACAAAACGTTGGTACATTTTTCTTTCATTTCAGATTTCAGAGAAAATGAAGAAGTTTTTGTCAATCAAAGGATTTGAGGTAAGGAGAATCGATCCAGGGAGTTCAAGTATCCTTGGAAGCTATAAGCATATAAAACACTACCATTGAGTTTCTAGTCTTTTAATTGCCTTCACTTTCGAGTAAACTTTAGCTCCATTCATAGTTTATTAATGTAAATTTAAGTATAAGGAAAGTATTTTCTTCCATTTTTCATCAGCGTTATATATATTTTCTATATTAGGGCAGGGTATGAGCTAGCACTTTAAGCCTTTGTCTACACACATATTTGCTTGAACAATCACTTGCTAGCCGCTGAGGTAGTTTTTCTTAGATAAAGTGATAGATGAGCTTGAAATTCATGATTAAGAATTTACAGATAATAGTTCAGATCCCTTTACTTCACATTATACACAACCTCCCTCAAGCTTTCTAGTTATTTTGACTGAATCATCCAATGATATTCCTAGTATGTTCCATTCAAGATATTTATGTTGGTCGACTTAAATTAATCTGAAATACTTCATACCTCATTGAACCTCTTCTCGTGCCACTTGTTGAAAATATCCTGCTATTTGACCTTTTGGCCCCTGCATTTGTCCTAATGTCACAAGGTTATGCCTCTGCTTAAGATAGAGAGAGACAAAATTTTGTGAAACGTAAAGATTTGGGAACCATAACATTCTCCAACTAAAACACTGTCATAGGTAACTGAACAAAATTTTACTAAAATGGGTTGCAGTAAGAGAGAAAAGAGAGAAGTTAATTAAAGCAGTTAAGGTTTGTATGTTTTCCCAGGCATTTTGCCAGCATTCTCCTCTCTTAACAATTGACTTCTTTTAGACAAAATCCCTTCAAAATTACTATCTTTGTTGTTTATTTGTTACAACTGACCCTCAAATTTATGTTTCTGAAAACATGCACCCCACATTCTTTTGTTGCAAAAAAAGAAAACGAGATTAAACACTCGGAGCTCTATCTCTTCATCCCTTGCAGAATTAGATAGACCCTTTCATTTTTAATCGCTAGCCTTTCATTTCAAAGGGTTAGTTTTCCCTTTTTTATCTGATAAGGTATTGTTATAACTAAAAACTGAAGGAGACTTTTCTTCTTTTTTTTTTTTTTATAATCATTTTCACCTTTGTTTCTTCTTTATTTTTGTTGTTTAAACAAAGAAGAAACACAAAGAGAAGAAGCTTGCACTGAGAATGGTTCGAACACTGACACGTCGGTACAGCATTCAGAACTCGACGTCTTTCATTAGGAGAATGCCTGACAATCCAGGAAGGCAGCCGATCCCAGACGGTAATGATGTGGAAGATGTTGATGATAACCTGCAATTAAGGAGTATTGACACAGGAAATGCAGAAGACCAATCAATGGAACACCAAAATGTAGGAGAGTCTGGGACAGGAACTCCACAGGAGAGGCCACAATCAGGTGCACTTAAGCACCTTTCTATGTTGATTACCATATCTGGAATTCTTGTTCCATAGAAAGTCTATCTTTTTCATTGCTAATTTGATAGGAATTACAACAATTGAAATTTGAATTCAAAACTAGTATCTTTTGTTTAAATTGTAAACTGGTTTATCTTAATCTTTGTGCTGCGGCTATATAAATATTAAAGTTCTCCTCACGTTGTTGTCAAGTGAGTGAGATTTTTGTCACGAGTTAATCTTGTTTATATATTCTGCTTTACCATTTACGAACAAGAAAGCTAATTTGCATATGTAAATTGCAATGCCAAACCTAAATATATGGTAGAAAGGGGAATCTCTGTCTGTCTTTTTCTCCTCATCACAAGAATGAAGATTATGCTAATGATTGTCTTCTAATAAATTGTTTTCTCGTTGATATAGATATGGAACTGATGAAGGAAAGGTTTGCCAAGTTGCTTTTGGGTGAAGACATGTCAGGAGGAGGAAAAGGTGTTTCTTCAGCTTTGGCTTTGTCAAATGCAGTGACAAACCTAGCCGGTATAATAAAATCCAATTACCAAATGCATATGTTTTCATGTAGAAATATACTTGCAAGCGGCCAGGTTTCAGGGTTGCCCATGTTGCAATCTTCTGGCTTTTCCTTTTCATCTCATGATGCAAAATGTTAATAATTTTGAGCCTATTGGACGAATTTTAGTCTACACTTTACCACTTTATTGTAGTACAAAAATGCACCTAACTCATGGTCGTTCTCATTCACCTCTCCCTATGGCTAATTATAAATGCAGCATCCGTATTTGGAGAAAAAGGGAAATTAGAACCTATGGCTCCTGAAAGGAAAGCAAGGTGGAGAAAAGAAATGGATTGGCTTTTATCTGTAACTGATCACATTGTTGAATTTGTTCCTTCACAACAGAAGTCCAAGGATGGAACAAACATGGAGGTACACCACAGATTTTTTTTCAAGCTATATTGTTGAATTTGTTGGAAAATCTTTCCTTCATCAGTTCCAGAACTTGATTACAATTTCACCATATTATCTGCCAACAATTTTTTTCAACTTGATAGATTATGGTCACAAGACAAAGGAGCGATCTGCTTGTGAATATACCTGGCCTGCGCAAACTCGACACATTGCTTATTGTGAGTATCTTTATCCTTCTATTTTCTAACCTGATAAAATCACTTAATAATATAGCAAATGGTTGCTGATCAAATTATAATGAACAGGAGACTCTTGACAACTTTGGACAAGAAAAAGAATTTTGGTATGTGTCCAAAAATGATGATCAAGAGAACGAAAAGAGACAAGGGGGTGACAAATGGTGGCATCCAACTGTTAAGGTTCCTGCAAATGGGCTATCAGAAACATCGCGAAGATGGCTGCAGTCTCAAAAGGAGTCTGTGAACCAGGTACTGAAAGCAGCTATGGCCATCAATGCTGGAGTCCTATCAGAAATAGAGATCCCTGAAAGCTACATCGATTCCCTCCCCAAGGTAAAGAAATGCAACTCCCCCATCTACTCAAACCATAAAGAATTTTTATAACTTTGACTGATCTCCTCCGTCGTGTCTATGTAGAATGGAAGAGCAAGTCTTGGAGATTCAATCTATAGAAGCATCACGGTGGAGTACTTTGATCCCGCGCAATTCCTGACAACCATGGACTTGTCAACAGAACACAAAGTTCTTGACCTTAAGAACAGGATTGAGGCCTCAATTGTTATTTGGAAGAGGAAGATGCACCAGAAAGACGGAAGGTCTTCTTGGGGTTCAGGCGTCAGCTTGGAGAAGAGGGAACTCTTTGAAGAGAGGGCAGAGACTGTCTTACTCCTACTCAAGCAGCACTTTCCAGGACTTCCACAATCTTCACTTGATATATCTAAGATCCAAGATAATAGGGTACCGAAACCATTGTAGCCGCCTTTAATCTTTTTCCTTCAACGTATTCAAGTTTGATAAAAGCTGATTTGCTTTTGAACTTCACAGGATGTAGGACACGCTATTCTGGAGAGCTATTCTAGGATTCTAGAGAGCTTGGCTTTCACAGTCATCTCAAGAATTGAGGATGTCCTTTACGCCGACTCCCTTACTCAAACATCGTCATCACCAGCAAGATCTGACATGTCCTCCACCTCCGACGAAGAAGCAGCGAGGCTGAGTGCTTCAGAGATACCAACACTCTCAGATTTCATGGGTTGGGATATTGCTTCCTCGAGGAGTAGTTCAAGTGAGTTAGAAATCTGCTTTAAGGGTGATAATGACAGAAAACCGTCCAAGCCTCCACTTAATCCCACCCCAAGAAAGCTTCCGATCTAGAGAAGCTTGAAAACTTAAGTGGCCTAAGAAGTCCGAATGATCGCGATTGATTGATAACCGGTAACTTTACTTAGAAGAGGAGACGAGGAAGTAGAAGAAAGAGGGAAAGACGAGGAACAAGGGGTAGACTATATAGAGGAAAACAGCTACTTACAAAGCTTACCTTAATTATGTGTACATTCAGTTCCGTGTAGGATTCCGTTGGGACAGTAGCTTTCTAGAACTTAACAGTGTTCTTCCTTCAGAACTTGGGCAACAAGAAATTAAGTGTGATTATGTAAATCTTAATAGGAATTGCTTCTGGCTGTCTTGATCTCTAGTTACTGTCAGCTATCTGGTGCAGAACTTTTTGGTTTGCTCTGCAATTGTGCTTTATTTGTAAATTTCTCCTCTTTTCAGATTGTTATCATTTCCACAAACAGCAAAGAGAGATTCACAATCGCAAGCCTAATAAATGAAGCTGAAATTTCTTTTTCAAAAATTTTCAATCACGTCATTTAAAGTTGGGTCAGAAGGGGTAAGTGATTTTCTCCTGGCTGATTGAACACGATTTACGATTGCATTTACGGTACCTTTGGCAAAAAGTTAACATAGATGATATAACACGGAATATCAACATCTGGTTTAAATCCAAAGTGTTTATTATGGAAAATCATATTTGATTGAAAAGGTTGTTGAAAAGTCATCACACAGATTGACTAAAAACCAAAAGTACTTGCAACATAAATTTCAAATCTGTTTGTAACAGCCACGGGTGACTGCAGCATGTATAGCATCAGCAAGATGGGGGACAGTCTTGGAACTAAGACCTGCCATGCTAATCCTCCTGCAAAGAAGAAGTAAGAAAAATGACATTAAAGCCTATGCTATATTAAGCAAAGTTTCAGGCCCTAACATATCCATATTAGTTGGTGAGACAGTATTTGCCTTGTGGTTGGTTCATAGAAAGCCCTTGACATGGTCGGTGAGGGAGCAGGGGAGGTGGTGAGCCACTAGCATTAGAGGAAGAAGAGAATACCAAACTATAACTTGAATATCTACTTATTCCTTTTAACTATAACTAGAATATCTACTTATTCCATTTAGGAAGTAGATCCATTTCTTAGCAATACAAAACCATATAAATTCAAAACAGAAAACGACTTTATCATAGCAGTAAAGAAACTCTCTACGTGTTGAATGAAAATGTATAATCACAGCACAACAGTTATCGCATCGATGTCAAATGATCTTATTCTACTCATGCAAGAATACTGGGAGGAGAAATCCAAAGGCATAATTTTCTAGCCTAGAAATGATTTTCCCTGCAAAAAAGCAGAATTTTGGAAACAGGGAACTAAATCCTTGTTACCCAAACACCACCAAACCCCCAAACTTCCTCTCACCCTCAAAGGATGTTTTAAAAGAAAAATCAATAAAAAAGGTGAAAAGAAAAAAGAAACAGATTTTTTACCCATCAGATGTCATGTAAATGTGGTACTCTTTGGTCATGAACGCAACTTGATCACTGTTCAATCCTGTGAAAGTAAACATTCCAATCTGCTTGATAATGTGACTCCAGTCACCAGGAGTGCCTGCCTCGAAGGAGATAGAAACATGTTTAGTTTCTGAGTTAGATGAATACGCCAAAGATTTCACTCAACAGTGAAGAAAATACTAGAAAAGAATACAAGCAAAATTTTTGTCAATTATATGTAAAGGAGGTCAGCAGAATTTTTTTAAGTTGATATGAACAACAAATGTTGATTGACTAATATCTATCAAACTTACATTTCATGCCAACAGGAAAACTAAAAAAAAAAAAAAAGGCACAAGTATATATATAACATACGAGGAAATGATTAAGTAAAACCTCTAGCGCTTAAAGCATCAAATAGTTGTTTGCGCATGCTAATAATTCGGTCTGCCATAGCTTTCAGTTCAATCTTCCACTCATCATACATATCACTGCAAAGATAAATATAAATAAATTTAAAGTTGATTTGAGTAATTACCTCACTCAATGTCCAATGTCCAACAAGAAAATAATAGATGAAAAATTATCCCCAAAAAAGTAAACACATCTTCTTTTTCTCTAATTATTATTAGACGATTTGGGCAGTGGTCACCAGTAATCAGAATGTCTCAAGACTCTTAACATTCACTTTTAATCAATCTCTAACATCAAGACAAACTGTTCCAATCATTATATTTTCTGAAAATTTCTAGAATGCTACTAGTTTCTCTGTCATCTAACAAGTTCTAAATACAGGTTCTTTGGTTACACTAAAAAAAGGCCTTACCTATTCTTAAGAATGGTGGCTGCAATTGATGCACCATGAATAGGTGGATTAGAATACATAGGCCTAATCACAAGCTTCAACTGGCTCTCAACCCTGCTTGCAACATCAGCCGCCTTACAGACCTGTAAATAAAATTATTACTATATTCCATGCAAGAAGCCATACTTCACATAAAAAACTAAAACAGGTGGAGCAATGCCAGTGATTAAAATGCAAAACATAATTTCTCCCTCTGAATTCGCTTAAATGGCTATCTAGCAAACCAATCGTCTTCAATGAATTCCAAAATATTGTAAAAATTGCACACAGCAATATATTCGAAAAATTAAAAAAGAAGAAGGAATGAAAACACTTGGCAATTTACACACAGTAAAAGACATCATGTTGTGAGTTCTTTCTATAAATGTGGACTTATATGGTTTAAAGCCAATTCAATCTGATTGCAGAATACAACTCCGAGTGTCAGGCACAAAAGACCGATTATTATTCCTATGCTAATGTAGCTAGGAGTAAATGGAAGCAGAGCACTCAATTTTCCCTGACTGCCATGCTTATTATAAAACAAAAGAAGGCCTGCCTCCAAAATATCATTTCTATTTTGAACCAATGAATGTGGTAAAGTTTTAACTTTCAGACAGTGTTGACAGACAAATCAACAAGAGAGGGTAAAATTATTTTTACCTACAAGGTTAAATGTCTTAATGAACATCAGGGATGATTCTGCTTAATTGTCAGAGTTACAGTTTTCACCTATAAGATATGGGCCTCCAGCATTTACCTACTCCTAATGAAAGAGATTAGCTCAAGATTTATAAGTACACCATCTTACAATGCTGAGAGCACCAACGCGTTCCCCATAAAGTCCCATGTTTTTTGCATAACTCTGAGCTACAAGGCATTCACCACCATCTGCAACAAACATGCGAACAGGCTGTGCATCAGCATCTAAGCTACCGCTTGCGAATCCCTGGAATGTCAAAATTCAAGTGTTTGTAAATCAACTATTGCATAACCTATTAAAACTCTAAGATTAACGTTTATGGAGTCCATTATGCAGCATTCTAACAATATCACATATAGCTTTAAAAATTAGTTTATTCGATATTGGACAGTTACCTGGTAAGCACTGTCAAAGAAAGGCAATAACCCTTTAGATCTTATCAGCTGCCGGATCTGTTCCCATTGCTCAAGAGTTGGGTCAACACCAGTTGGGTTATGAGCACACGCATGAAGAAGCACCATAGCTCCTGCTGGTGCTGCACCAAGATCTTCTAGCAAGCCTGCTTCCCAAAAGTTTTACCATTCTTTTTTATTAGTATACCAGGGCAATTAAGAACCAAGATCATTGGTTCCATAAACTATAGAGAACTTGTGTGAAGAAATTTGTAACCAAAAACAGGCAATAAAAAGGTAATGACTTATGGCAAGCTGTAATAAATGAAGACTTCAATTGTTTCTCGAAGAACTTGTTAATCTAATCAAATTATTAACAGCAGCAACTCATTCACAGTACAGCCTATCGATAGAATCATTAACACAGACCTTGGAAATTAAGCCCACGAGTTGTTGGATCATAGTAGCGATAAGTCTTCACAGACAACCCTGCCATCGTGAAAACTTTCAAATGGTTTCCCCATGATGGCAGTGGAATGTATATAGTATGCTGGCAAACAGAAGATAGGTAAATAAGCATTACTTAATCTTAAAATAATAACAACTTCCTCATACACAAAATAAAAACGGTAAAAGATTGTGCATTTTACTTGGTGGTAATGCTTTGCTAAAAACTCAGCTCCAACCCTCAAGGAACCGGTACCGGACAAGCACTGAGCAGTAGCCACTCTGTTCTCTTCAATAGCAGCACTACCCCAAAAGCAACAAACAAAAGAAAAATCCAATAAGCTATCAACGTATTACAACAAAAATTGCAAAAGAACTAGACAAAAATATTATAAATGGTTTCAAATGAATCAAAAGGCGCTTTTTTTCTTTAATTATTTCTTTATTTCTTTCTTTCTTTACCAGCCATCACCAAGAATGAGTTTAGCACTCAATTTATTGAACTCTGCTAGACCAAGAATAGGAAGATATTCCTTGACTCTTGACCTGAAATACACAAAAAATGATTAACAAATTTACAGGACAGTTGAAAAACGTTACCGAGGCATGAAAAACAAAATGGGTTTGAGTCGCTTACTGGTCATTAACAAGAAATTGTTCCGCTTTTCGAACTACATTGAGAACTAAAGGTTTTCCTTCCTGTTATTGGCATAAACAGATCAACTGAATCAACACCATGAGAAAAAATTAATCAAGATTATTTTTAAAGGGGAAAAAAACGGAGATTTAAAAGACCTCAGTTCTGTAAGCCCCAACGCCTAAATTCAACTTGATCGGGCTTGGATCCTTGTTATAAGCAACAGTCACCTATTTTTTCAAATAAAATATCCAGAATAATAGAAAAACAATCAAATCATTACATAAAAACATTAATCAATAAAACGAAGGTTCGTCTATTTATCCTTTTTTAGAAAAAGGAAACTGTCAAAAAAAATTAAATTTTACTATTACAGCAACATGCAAATAAGCAAAAACAAATCTTCGGTTATGTTTGATCATACGGTTCATGATTGCCTACGATCGAACTCGTAATGATCCGATCAACGAAGAGGATCGGTTCAAACTTACAATAAGGTATTACTTCATAATTCACGAAAGAAATGTATAAACCAGAGAGTGAGTGAGAGAGAGAGAGAAGATGATGATGATGAGTTACCCCAAGAATGGGATCTTCAGGAGCTTGAGCAATGGCGGCAAACACTGAATCCATTGCCTTTGGAAAAGAATGGACGACCTTATGTGGGCTTAGTGGAAGGTTGAGAATTATTAGAATCAGAGGAGGTCTCTGTTTCTTATAAGATGAGATTCTTAGGTTGGTTTCTTTTAAGCAGTGGGCGCTTAAAAGACCTTAAACTGTGGGCGTTTGTGCATTTCTCAACGCTGCACTTTTTCAGATCGTTTTTATTAACTTTCTTCGATGACCTTTTTTTTTTGAAATGTTTAGGTAGAGCAATGCTGATGCGGCGTTGGGCGTGGGGTCTTACGTGGATTCATGGGTCCCATCCCCAATAAATAGAAATAAAATAGCTGAAAATACTTTTTAGATATAATAATACTAAAATAAAGAAGCGGTACTTAAAGCATACATGGATTTTTAAAAATTACATTAAATAATTAATTAATAAATTATAATTGAATCAAAATTCAAGATCTCATTGACAATATATCAACAATTTTAAATGCAAATATTAAAAGAAAATAGTTTTCAACCCTACAAATGAAAAGCCATAAATTATTGGCTAGTAAAGTCGGTTTAATAAAATCTTTTTTTGGTATCTTTAATTGTCATTGGTCAACTTCAAATAAAATTTGACATTTTGTTGTTCTCTTTATAATGGTTAACGTTATCATGATTTATTTTCTTTAATTGCTTTTTGACATTTCATGCCCTGATAATAGTATATTGATTCTATTAACAATGCAGTTATCACCTAATTATCGAGCTATGAAACTTTAGAAGCTCTTGTAAATGAATACTCATAAATTACAGTAGCTGTGTAATTAGATATAAATAATTAAATAAGTTTTTTTTTTTTTTTTTAACTTGATCTGTTAGAAAGTTGATTTATAAATTACATTTAAGGTAGTCTCGCTGATTTTAATAATTGATTGCTTTTGATAAATGTAATGGTTAATAGTTAATATGCCGTTTTTCAATGAAACGAAAGAAAATATTATTTAACAATAATAACTTTAGCAAAACCCATTAATATTATATTACAAGAAATCTTCAATAATAGCCATTTGCATTGAGGAATATTCAGGCATCTCTCTGAGGTCCTAAAACCAGACATGAGTTATGTAACGATTAGCTCAACATAAAAAGAGTAGCAAAAGAAAATTTCTCAAGCTGCTGATCTTCTTGCCCGTCGAAAGAAAGAAAAGATATCAACACTCTGCAATGGTTTTCTGTACAAGCTTTTCCTTCCAAGTTTTTTGTTTCCTTGCTGCAAAACATATATACCACCAGACCAAAGTTCAATTTGATGCAAATGGGAATTATTAATTTAAGATACCATACCAAAGCTAAAATCACCTGGAAATGAAAAGTAGGATTTGAACCCTTTGATAGCGTCAAGAGGCCATCGCGAACAGGCCCTGGGAAATTAAGACCCCCGTTGGGAAAAATGAAAACAATCAAACTATCGCAGACTTGAAGGAAATTAAAGGAAATACTACTAGCTCAAGTACTTTCGATTGATAAAATATATTTTACCAAATGCTGAATCAGAGTCACTTTCGTCCAAATTTGATCTGAGTGATGGACAGTTAGATAATGAAGGCTTGTTTGTACAAGTGAAGAAGAAAAGTGGCACTCCTTCAGTGTCAAGTTCATGCTTGTCCATGACTTTTGCAGGATTTGGAGCAATGGAAACCCTGCATTAGAGAAAATGGTTGGAAGCCGTAGAACGAATATCTATACCTATGTTTATCATTGTGATAATATGAAGATTGAATAGAGTTGATGGCACCTTGAGTCTTCATTCCACTTCTCTACTGTTGCTAATGTTGCTGTCAGTGTTTAGAAAAAGAGAAACAACAAATGATTAACAGAAAGAATTAAAATAGTAATGCATAGAGGAAAGTAGCTAATTATAAACATAATCAAGAGAGGTGATTTGGAATAATTACGTGCAGATAAGTAGCGCCTGTGATGTCTTGGCAAATTTGGGTTCCACTTGACTCTGGTTAGAGCAAGCTTGTGAGCAAATTGTTCGCATGAGAGAAGTCTCTGGTAGAACATCAAACAAGTCATATGTAAATGCCAATTCCTAAATTTGAGTTGCGTGTATCATCAAGATGACCATATACACTGACTTGTTTTAGGCAATTGATGCGGAGCTCAGCCTCAGAAAATGCATTAGTCTGGGAAATGGAGTGATTTAGATTAGCAGAGACGTTTCCCAGATGATCAACAAAAGTAACAACTGCCTTGCATATATACTCTTTTGTGTTTTCCACCACACTGCAAATTACCAAACATACCAATCGTAATTTAATATGGTAAGTGACTTTCCATGTTTCACACGCTCACATCGGAAAGTGTTTATCTCTATTGGTCCAAACGTCAGTTCCTCAGAGCAGAGGCGAGTGGCCGACAGGTCGAGGGTAGGAACTGTATGAAATGGGCTGGGAGAGGGTGAGCCCAAGCCTACATCATAGCATCACTTGGTCATGAGGTCACTGACCCAATGACCACAGGATGAGGAGACAAATGGGCTAGCACGGATAAGGCCCAAGACCTGCTCAAATGGCCATAAACATCCTAACGATGGGTTCGCAGTGACTGGGTCCAAAGACTGAAGTAATGGACTTTATATAAGTCAAGACCAAGAGAGAGAAAGAGGTTCAGGCACAAAATAAGAGAAAGAAAGAGGTCTTGGGTTCTGAAGAGTAATGGGCTGTGAATGAGTCCTGAATGACGATTGGGACCCCATTATCAGGTGCAGAGAAGCAGGTAGCGTCATGATCCTACATGGCTTCTCAAGCCCCTGAAGAAAAACTAGAGAGAAGCTGAGCCAGTCAGTCATAAGTTAACTCACGACTCAAGCTCATGTTAGACTCACTCAACCATGAAAGAGCTTGGAACATTGGAGCTTTGACATGGCCCGTCGAGACTTCTGGTTGCGAGTTCGGAGTAAACACCAACTTCCAAATTATAGACAGTTACAAGAAAAACCCCACCATCAACGGAAGAATAGGAAGAGAAACAAAGCTTCATCAGGTTTAGGATGCAAAACGAGTTTTTTTTTTTCAGTTGTCACAGTAGTTTGACTGCTTAGAGATCAAGAAAACTCACGCTTTCTCCCCTTCAGAGTTTAAGAATGTTGTTTCATAGTAATCTGCTGCGTAATGAAGCTGAGACCGCAAATCTCTGAGTTCCTACAACCATAAAAAATAAAACAAGCATTAACATGGAAGTTTTGTTCAATGAAAACTAACCCCTCCCCCCCAAATAGAAAAGATGGAGTAAACCTGGAGAGACTTGTCAAAACGAAAGCCCTCGTCCGAATTATCTTCTTTATTCGAAGGAGAAAATATTTCTGTAATATGCATTCTTAATTTCTTGTCTTTCAAAATCAGAGCTAACTGATGATGGTAACTGGTAAGTTGCTAGAGTAGCTAGGTTAAGTGAAAATAAGGCGGAATGGAGAAGATAAAGGCATGAGCTGTCTTCATCATGGAGCAGTGAAACAACCCCAAAAGAAACTTAGGAAGTCATTAAAGCCTATCTCCTTGGCACGAATGGGAATAATAGAGAAAGACGACAATAAAGCATTTCAGTCCCGTGATCTTGTGTTTCTTAGCTTTTTTTTTTTTTTAAACTCTTTCTCTGGCAAAAGAGCAGTCCCTTTCTGAAAAAATCAACTGGTGATATTGCCACACACTTCATTTGTCATGGCATATATAATAAATGTAGATATACCGCTCATTTTACATGTAGTAGTATCACGAATAAAACATATAAGGAGCTGTAAGACAAACTTGCGAGTCTGATATCATATCAAATCAAAACTACTCAACTCCAGAAGCTTATGTTCATGAGCTTTTGAATAATGTTAGATAAAGTGGTACTGTTTACACTTTTGTTTGGTTACATTATTAAAAATAGCATTTTTCTAGCATGTTTTCCTTTATCACCGACATTTCTTCAGCCATAGTCTCTCTCTTTGAAACAGCAAACCGTAGGACCATAGCTTGCTGGAATTCACCTGTTTGTGAACCCTCGAAAGTTTTTTTTTTTTTTTTCTTTATGCTAATCAGGGGAAACTTTTCAAGAAATTCTTTGATCATTGTTTTTTTTGTTTGTTGTGAAAGAAAGAGTAAATCCAAGTTAAAAAAAAAAGGCGACCAAATCGAGTCACATTAGTCTTTAGACTCTTTACCAACCTTCTCTAACTTTGTAGAAAGAAGACAAGATCAATTGGTATAATATGCAACTATTCCCAGCAATAACAAAATGTAACCTGTTATTATAATGCAGCAACAGAATGTATGGTCTGCCTGCCAGCATATATCCGAGTGATTATGCTGGTGATTAATTAAATTGAGTAGCTGAAATCTGAGCTAGCATGTGACTCACCGACAAGTGATTGCAGAGCCAGAAGACATTTTAACGGGTAGTATCAGCAAAATCTACTGTTTGCAAGCATGGATGAACTGATTTCTTCTCAAAAATGAATTTTTCAATGAGAACAAAATTACAACTGCATATGAAGAAACAGCAACCTTTTTCCTTCCCCACCCCACTCCTCCACCTCTCCTGAAAGAAATACCCTCAATATATGTTATAGTAACTTTTCAATGGGCAAAAACCTTGCTAAAGTAAACCAAGCATCAATCAGGGACTTCTTCAAAGCTATACAAAGGGATTCCAACTGGGAGTTCATTTGTATTTCTGCAACTTTACACAACAGCCACTTGCTTCATATTTGAAAATCAATTACACAGTTACCTACCATCTCTGCAGCCTCTATTTCAGACAGAACAGTGTATTGATCCGAGGAGATGGAAGCTGACAAAATATCTCCGATATTTTTGTCTATTTCCTCAGTACGCTTTTGTGGTTTATCTTGGTTGCCATCATTTAGTGGCAGAGAGTTCGTATTAACTTTGGTTTGAGTAGTTGGGCTTGGACATTCCTTATTATGGTCAAGAGGCTGCGAATCTGTTATACAAGAAAACTCTGTAAGTAAATATATCTATAGGACACCATAAAGTCAATTTGGCTTTAGCCCTCATAAGCAGATTATCAATTTAAGTCAAACCAGTGATTGAACTAGCTAACCTTTCTGTGCATAACCATCCCAAGATATGCAAAACAATCCATTCAAAGGAACAAAGACTTTTCACAATAATTACACCTTAAAACTCATAACTACAAATTTTCCAACAAATAAAGGCTCTTTCCTTGCGAAAATAAAGTTTGGTTACAGCCATCTTTTCATAAAATTGTCAACACCTCAACAAACCCAGAAACTCTAAAAAGTGAAAAAAATAAATAAAGTTACTGAAATTGTAGCCATAAAAGAATCATCTAAAGGACATGCAGTTATTGGCATCAAATTAATTGCATGCACACTACTACTACCATGAGAACGCTATTTGAGTCTCCTAAAAGAGCTTTGTTCAAATAGAAATAACAGAACACAAAATCAGCAATTAGTTATCACAGATTATGGCTAAGAAAATACCAAATCCATATGTTTGAAGAGAAGAACCATCAATAAGCTAAACATGGTTTTACCTTCAGTTATCATTGCGGAATCTTCCCTCACTGCATGTGAGTTTGCTCGTGTAATGCATAACCATGTCCTTTCAGTATCATAATCAAGTTCGGATTCAATGGGAATATGCCAGTGACCTTTCTCTGATTCCTGTTAACATGTATTTCCATTATGAGTATTCGGCACACTTTATAGCTCTATTCTGTCAGTTTATTCACTTATATTGGATACAAAAGTTTATAGGAACTGACCTGAATTACAACAGAATAGGGAGGAGGCATGGAAAAAACTAGACCAGCTTTCGAAAAACTGAAATGCACCTTAGGTGTAGAACAACAGATGCCTTGTTAGGAAAATTGCTTTAGAGAATCATACTAGTCAACTGAGCATATTTGTTACAAGGTTTATCAACAAGTTGCACGCAGCAATCTAAATAAACAAAATTTTGGAAGATATAGATGTAAACCAAAAAGTTCATTGAAAGGCTTGGAATACTAGAGAGCTTTACTCACTTGATGCCTTTCTTTCCATTTTGGAAAGAAGTCATTTCCCAAAAGTTGAAATGTATGGTCTCTCATCTCATCGTTGGTCACAATTAAGCACTTGAACTTGATAGCTGCAAACAACCAGTACCTGAAGCACAGGTTATTACCCATGGCTTTAAATGCATATGCATTGGAAAAAAATGCCAGACACAAACCAAGCCATAATGTCTAAAGTTGATGAAATTATGCAAATAAGCAATCATGCAAGTCAGCTGTAACTTCTGAGCATATCTTTCCTACCAATCGTCATTGGATCCAGTAGGTGTTGCATATAGTGCATCTGCATTTTTCCACTTTTCAAGTAATGCTTTATATACTGGTTTATCCTTCTTCCGTGCAGTGATCCGTTTGTTATGCAAAACAATGAGTGGCCATTTCTTTGATGGAAGTTTCCGGCGTATTCCGTCAACAACAGAATTGACCTAAAGAATTTACCATATGAGAATTCTAAGTCAATCACAAAAATGCAAAGGTAAACAATTGGGTGAAGTTTTAGTGATTCATTTAAGCCAAACTAACCTTTGATGGCATGAATCTTCTCTGGTTCAAAAGACCAACATTAGCTGCATCTACCACAGCCTCAAATGGTCCATAGTAGTCAAGCCATTTCTGCAACAAAATAAGTTTACCACTTTATCAAAACTTATGTACATGATTAGAGTGGTTGAAAAGACATCAAGATGCTTTTCATACTTGAAATTTTTGAAAGCTGAAATTCTTATCTCTCTTTATTGCTATAGATGCAACTAATTCAGCAAACTTCTCTGTTTCTACAGGGTCAAGATCTATTAAAGCCAACTTTTCCCCACAGCATTTACATAAGCCATCATCTCCAACAGCTGTATCTGATACGTTCCACCTTCCTTTACCCAACCAGCCCTGCCCATGCCAACCTCCCCCTCCATTTTCAATTGCTTCCTTTATTAATCTCTGATCCATTGTTCGTTTCCCCACTCTTGAGGCTGCCTTGCCCTCAAACCATCTTACAATTATGTCTGCAGTAGAAATTGACACTAATCTTACACTTGTTCTTAGTTTATGCAATAAATAATACACCTTGTCACCTTTTCCGGCTTCTTCGCTAACTCTTAAGAGTGCCTCCAGTTCAGGCTTTTCTGGCTGAACACCATGTTCCAACATGTGTTTTTCAACATCAAATGCTTTGTCAACATCTCCAGTATTGCAAAAAACAGATAGAGCAGGACCATAAGACCGCAATCTAGGATTTATACCCAGTGGCTTCATTTGCTTTACCATATCAAATGCCATTTCACCATTACCCATTGACATTGCCATTCTTGCCACAGCTGTCAAGGTTGCTTCATTCATTGGGACATTATCAGAACACATCTTTTCATAGATCTCAAATCCCTTGAGAAGTGCATACTTCTTGACATCTTCACTTACCCAAATTTTATAACCTTCTTGGTCACTGCTGCTCCCATCGATTTTATCTAAATGATCTTCATCTCCCTTTTTTTGAGAACTAGAACCTACCGAAAGTTGAGAATATGGCTTTACAGACCCATTTGAAAACTGAATTAAGTTCTTGCCAGGAAAACTATTATCTAGATTATCAAACCTTTTACTAAACTTAGCCTCCATTTTTTCACTATTCTCCTGGCTTCTACCACTATCGACTAATTTCCCATTGTTTAAAAGAGGATTGCTCAATTCTGAAGAACTAGAATTCTCACTATCCTCATCTATTGATTCACCCAACCCTATTGAATTCTCATTCGAAGCTCCATTGGACACGTGTAACATATTTAAAGTTCGACTACCACTACCACTTTTAGCACGTTGAACAAAACCCACAGCTGCAGAAGAGCAAAGATACAAAAGCACAGCATAATGGTACTGCCCCATTGTCATTCCTTCTCTCAGAGCCTCATCATACAACTGAATTGCCCCCATCACATCCCCCCTCTTTGAACACATTTCCAGCTGAACTCTCAAGTGTACTTCAGGTGCATTAGCCTTATCTTTCTTAGACCTTTTCCCCACCTTTTTCTCTCCCACCACCCCATCACCATTCTTAGCTACTGAATTGTTCATGGTATTAGAAGATTTGAATTTAACCCCCATATTCTCATCTTCAACCCTCAATGAAGAATTCCCAGAACCCATTTCTCTCCCTTCTTTAAATAATTTCTCTCTTTTTCTTGCATTATTATCTTTTGCATACCTCTTCTCTTCAGCCTTCTCTTCCAACACTGAACAAGACAGGTTTTCCAAGGAGTTTCTCTCTGCTCCCTCATTTTCAGACCTTAAAGAACTAAACCCAGAACCAGCTTCTTTCTTACTTCTAGAATTCCCAGTCTTTCTTAAGGTTTCACAGTCTTTTGTGGGTAATTTTGCATGAAATTGTTGTCTAACTCTAACATGTCTTCTATCTACGAAAAGTAAAGAAATTTTGTGTTTTGGAGGTGAACGGTCAAGAAAATGAGAGAAACAAGGGAAGTTGAAAGCAGTAAAAGATGAAGGGTACTCACAAAGAGTGATGGAAAGCAAGTGCCCTTGGTGTTGCAGAGTCCTGAAACTAAAGGAGGCCATGCGTGGCCGTAGAGATACCCTCCTTTGTCTTTATGATATGGTCTCGTAATAATTTAATAAATTCTACTTACCAGGGTTCCAATTAAAATAAACAAATATATGGGTTGGGTTCCAATTAAAATAAATAAAATTCCATCAATTTTTTTTTTCCTTTGATAGGAACGGGAATAGCATTGAACTGAGTGGGGCTTCGGCCTAAAAAATCTCTGTGGGGCTTATTATGTACTTAGTACATTGTACTAGAAGTTACCGTGGCCTGGTTGGGTCAGGCTAAGGCCTTACTCTTACGTTAGGTTCGGCCCATTCATTTGGCCCAAATAGAACAATTTATTACTTAATCTAATATTAAAATATTTAAAAACTTTTTATATTTTAAAATATATTTAAAATTAAATTTAAATAAAGCCAATTTTTTATTAATAAAATAATAATTGACCAAATCAAACCAATATTTAAAAGTTGATCTGAGTCAAACTCGACCCACAAATTTAATAAATTATTCGATCTATTAACAAATCTTTTACATACCGAAATATCACTTAAATTTTTTCCTTTCAATAAACAAATAAAATTCATTTTCTTTTACTATACGTGTCTTTAACTATAGACTATTAAATTAGAAAATTTTTAGAAATTTAATCAAAATGACAAATTAATAATCTTCAGTCTTCACCTTTTCCTCGTATCTAGGGCTGTAAACGAGCCGAGCCGAGCCGAATAATGAGAAGCTCGAGCTCGAGCTCGACTCACAATTCGGGGCTCGATACTCGGCTCGAGCTCGATCGAGTTTTATTTTTCAAGCTCGAACTCGATTCGTGATCGAATTCGAGCTATCGAGCTCGCTCGATTTAAGCTCGATTAATATATAAAAAAAAAGCTCGATTTTTATACTCGAAAAAAAAACTCGGATTATTCGAGCTCGCAGCCTCGAGCTCGAGATCTTTTACAACTAATTTTTATCAAACCTATAAATAATATATTTTCCAAGATAACAACAAAATAACAACAACCAACAATAATAATAATAATAACTTACAACAACATATCAAATTTAAGCAATAAAAGTCTCATTAAATGATTCAAATACAACACACAAATATAAGACATAATGAAACTTAGAAATTAAAATCCTAATGGAAAGATAGTAAATATCCAGCAAATAAGTTCACAAATAAGTTTACAACCAAACCAACAACCAATACATATGCTGCCTTCACAATATTATGTCTTCAAATGAACATTGGGCTCATATTGCTTTTCAATAAACCTATACAAAAGATAATTACAAAACAAAGAAATTATAATTAACAATAAGAATAACGATAAAAGTACCCATGCAAGAAAAAGATTGTAATATTATTACAATGATCAATAACTTTAAATTTTTAACATTAGCATCAACATGGATTTTATCTTGTCAGTTGTCTTATAATCAAAGCAAAAAAATATAAACAATATCTTGTCAATTACCTTAACATGAGTTTCTATCATTAGTTAACCTATGGTTCGTAAATTATAATGCAAAAAGCTCAATCTAGACTAGCTACTACCTATTTTTCTTTAGTAATGTTGTGACAAATTAAAAGTATTTAATAATAATATTTCATACCTGTATAGAAGACATTAGATATCCTCACTTTAGGGAATTTTGAGTGCAATCTCAATTGATTTCTTCTCTTTCTACATAGATAAAGTAAAGGAAAATAATAGTTAAAAATTAGATTAAACCAATGATAGTCACCTAATAACAAAATAATAATAAAAAAAACTCACTTTGTTCTTCTTCTTCACTCCATGAAGATTCCGACACCAATCTCCTCCACAAAGTAATGCTTGCACTGTGTCAGGAGATAAAGAAGCACGATAAGTATCAATAACTCTACCTCCTGCACTAAAGGTAGCTTCTGAAGCCACTGTAGTGATAGGAATAGCAAGTATATCCCGAGCCATCTTGGATAAAATACGATACTTCAAAGTGCTCGCTTTCCACCATTCCAAAGCATGAAACTTAGTGGAATCTCCTTCACAGATAAAACAGCCCTCAGCTAGGTAGACATCTAAATCAGACTGTTGTGGTTGAGCAGTTTCAACTGATTTTACATAATTTGCAAATTCAAACCAACCAGAAGAAGAAGCTTCTATATTCATACCACTAATACCATTATCATGTACTTGAGTTTCAGCACTATGCTCATTGCCAAATTGATACTCACGAGCATATTCATCATAAATCTCATAAAGGGCATCTCGAACTTTAGCAATATTTTCTTTTGCTTCTCTATCAGGGTACATTCGAGGAAAGCAAAACTCAATCACCCTCATTTTGCACCTTGGATCCAAGATTGCTGCTATAGACATCAACAAATTACATTCTCCCCAATATTTATCAAATTTACTCTTCATCTTACGAACCATTGCTTGAACAAATTCATTTTCATCATTCATCCTTTTATCCAACAACACTTTCACACGATAAACTTCATTCAGAAACAGGTTTGAAGTTGGATAATCACTTCCAGAGATGATTTTAGTGGCTGAATTAAAAACTTCTAAAATCTCACAAACTTTCTCCACCTTTTCCCAATCTTCATGACTTGGACAACATTCATAATGAGATTCTCGCTCTTTGAGTCTCGAAAACACTTCTTTGAATTTGATTGCAATCGACAACATCTCGAATGTCGAATTCCAACGTGTTTTACAATCGAGAATGAGTTTCCTATCAGGTAACTGTAACTGCTGTACTATATCAGAAAATGAGTTAAGTCTTGCCTCATTTTGATTAATAAAACTGACACTTTCATGAACATCACCAATCACATTCTTAATCTCAGAAAGGCCATCTTGAACCATGAGATTTAAGATATGTGCACAACACCGAACATGAAATAATTTTCCTCCACAAAGCAACATCCTATTTCTTGAAAAAGTGTCTTTAAGAATTCTAATCGCCACATCATTGCTTGAAGCATTGTCCACAGAAAGTGTAAACACCTTGTTTTCAATTCCCCATTCCTTTAGACACTTAAAAATACAATCAGCAATCTCAACACCGCGACGAGGAGGAGGTATGTGAACAAAACTAATAACACGCTTTTGCAATCTCCAATTAGAATCTACAAAGTGTGCTGTAAGAACCATGTACTCAATCTTTTGATTACTTGATTTCCATAAATCTGTTGTCAAACTAATCTTGCTGACAGTCTTCAACAATGCCTTTAATTTCTTCTTTTCTGCTTCATAAACTTGCATGCAATCTTTTTTAATAGTATTGCGTGATACCTTTTCCCATTCAGGCATCCCACGTTTTTGCATCATGTTAAAACCTTCCTCTTCTATAATCGAAAAAGGATGCTCGTGCCATAAGTATCCAATGTGCAGCTGCTTCTCTCATCTTTACCATATCAAACTTGCCATCTGTGAGAGCAGGTAATATCTGTACATCACCACATGTGTTTACTGGCTGAAAGTTGATCATTTGTTGTTGATTCTGAAAAATTTTTCTCTTAACACAAGTTGTCAAATGCCTCTTAAATTGAGTTGTACTTTTACTTGTATTTATTGCTAGCTTCTTCTTGCAATGGACACACTCTCCTTTTTTGAACCATCAGAAAGAGTGACTTCTTTGAATTCTAACCAAACAGCAGATGTCTTTTGCCTCTTTTTCTCATTACTTTCTTCACACTCTTCAAGGTCAGCATTATCACATTCTCTATCATTGGCATCAATGATTGGTGTTTTATCTGTGTTACCATTAGTGGCATCTAAAGCTTCATTCATTGAATCATTACCATCATCTGACACAATTCGACTAGTAAAAGAATTTATTGTCGGCTGAACTGGTATAGAAGAGATATCTGGTGTGGTTGATGACATGTTTAGTTTCCTATAACAAAAAACAAAAAAGACAAATCAAAACAATAATATAATTTTAGGATCAAACAATAATGCAAACAAGTTGTTAGAAACATGTGCGATAAATTTTATTGCCAGAAACATGCTAAACAAGTTGCGAGAACAAATTATTGGAAGAGTATAAAATTTTATTCTTTGGAAAAATATACTAATATTGTAGGAATTTTAATAAATTTAAGATTACCTACTTCGATAATAATTTCAATTTCTAAAATCAATTTCTTAAAATGAATATTTCTTATTAATTTTTACAATTATACATGCCTATTTAATATTTATATAACATTAACTCAATCTCATTAGAAATAAGTGTCAGGTTATATTCTAACAAATCTAATATGCATAAAAAAGAAAAGTATTCACATTAAACAGTCCCCAATAAATTAGTGATGAACTATATGGAAGCTCAAATTATGATTATGACTAAAAACAATAGAGCCAATGACCTTTTTTTTTGTTAAATAATATGAACCATCCAAAAGTTTTTCTACTGATAAAGCGTATTGTGCAAGTCTTGAAGTGGCCCAAATTCAATTACTTTCTTGCTAATAATATAGAGACTTTTGGTTTACAAAATTCAGTATTTAAATGCAACTTCACAAAGAACATACTGCTTTTCACAAGTTTGCAACAAAAATAAAAATATAATATGATAGTGTTTGACAAACAAATCAGAATTGAGAATATCAATACTAACAAATAGCTATAACACCTTGCCCCATTTCATTGTTGTTCTCGATCTGCATCCCCACAATATTCATAAGGGTATTTAATTTAGGCATTCATAAAGGTATTTAATTAAGGCATTCTTATTTAAACCACCTTTTAGCATGAATTGGAAGCCTAACATAAAAACATTTAATAAAAAAATGGCACTCAAAAAGTATGTCATGGAGAAAAGGCTACGTTGAGGGATCGGGTTCTGTTCAAGCTACTGCAAATGTCGAATGGGTGGAACGAGCTTACCTTTTAGAGAGAGGAAAAAGGGCTACGTTGAGGGATCGGGTTCTGTTGAAGCTGCTGCAAACGTCGAATGGGTTCTGTTGAAGCTGCTGCAAACTGTTGAAGTTGCTGCAAACGTCCAATGGGTTCTGTTCAAGATCTGTAAACTATTGAAGCTACTGCAAACTGTTCAAGATATGCAAACTGTTGAAGCTGCTGCAAACTGTTGAAGCTGCTGTAAACTGTTGAAGCTGCTGCAAACGTCGAATGGGTTTTGTTCAAGATCTGCAAATTGTTGAAGCTGCTGCAAGCTGCAAACGTCGAATGGGTTTTGTTCAAGATCTGCAAACTGTTGAAGCTGCTGCAAACGTCGAATGGGTTCTGTTGAAGCTGCTGCAAACTGTTGAAGCTGCTGCAAACTGTTGAAGCTGCTGCAAACTGTTGAAGCTGCTGCAAACGTCCAATGGGTTCTGTTCAAGATCTGCAAACTGTTGAAGCTGCTGCAAGCTGCAAACGTCGAATGGGTTTTGTTCAAGATCTGTAAACTGTTGAAGCTGCTGCAAACTGTTCAAGATCTGCAAACTGTTGAAGCTGCTGCAAACTGTTGAAGCTGCTGCAAACTGTTGAAGCTGCTGCAAATGTCGAATGGGTTCTGTTCAAGATCTGTAAACTGTTGAAGCTGCTGCAAGCTGCAAACGTCGAATGGGTTCTGTTGAAGCTGCTGCAAACTGTTGAAGCTGCTGCAAACGTCGAATGGGTTCTGTTCAAGATCGGGTTATGTTCAAGCCTTTTAGAGAGAGGAGAAAGGGCTTTCGAAAGGGTGGAACAAGCTTGGAAGATGGAGTGGGATTCGGGAAGAAAAGCCGCCGCAAGTAGGGCTGTTGGTGAGTGAGAGAGACGGGGAGAAAAACTGAAGGAGAAGAGAGAAAGAAAGAAAATAAAATTTTAGGGTTTTTTAAGTTAAGGGTAAAAAAGTAATTTTATAAATAAAATAATAAAAATAAATATATAATAGAAAAGCTCGATTAGGCTCGCGAGCTACTCGAGCCGGATATAAGAATACTCGAATTCGGCTCGATCGATAAGTCGAGCTACTCGAGCTCGAGCTCGACTCGATAATAATCGAACCGAATTCGAGTTTTCTTCGAATCGAACCCGAGTAGCTTGCGAGTACTAATGTATCATTTACACCCCTACTCGTATCTAAGGCAAATCCACCTCGATTGGAACAATATTTTAGATTTTCACCAAAGGTAACGTTTGTTTTGAAAGTTGAAATCTCTCCAGTCAGTCCCCACTACAATTTTAATAAAAAAAAAAAAAAAAAAAAAAACCAAGCATATCCCTTATAATTTTTTTATTATTTTTTTACAATTAAATTTGTTGTCAATATAATTTTATAACTAATCAAACGCAATAAAAATTTATGCAGGGTCATCAATTTTTTAAAAGATTCTTTCACCTTGTGCAAGCCTTAGACAAGCTGGAGAACGTCTGCTGGGTTTCCCATAGCTCTTCATTCTATGTTCTTCCAGAAGAAAATCTTGAAGGACTTTTACCTGCGTTTATTAAAACAATTTTAGTGCCATAAATGTTCAAGTTCTCACCAAGTTCAGAAATACAATGACATTTTTAAGACGATCATAGCAAATTTATTTAGTATCTATTAATAAAAAAATACAAAAAATATATATTTCACCTATAATTTTTTTTTATAATTTATAATCTTATAATTAATCAATCACAAAAAAAAAAAAAAAATTAACGATAGAGTCGACATTTCTTAAATTCTAAATAATTACCATCCATCAAAAACACTAAGATACCATCTAACCACGTGAGCCATTAAGAAACTGAATCAAGAATGCCCTACTCAAATGGAATAATATGAAAAAGATGCTTCCAAGTTACGCCTTCAAATAGGATACCAGTCTAAAGTTAGATAACTGGTGCAGATCATCTAAACAGTTAAGTTTCAAAATCAAGAATCCGGATAGATCACGCATCTGCCTCACGTTTAATTTTCAAAGTTCCCTCTTATTTAAAAGTTCTAGTAACAAAGAGTGCAGCAAAAGCCCTCGATTTCAAGCTTTCAATATATCACGCGATGCAAAAAAGGTTATTGTTTTATCAGTTACAATATTCTCATTCTCTGAACTTTGTTCGTAATTTTATTGGCAACATGTTTTTTTTTTACAGGTTTTAAATGCGTGTAGGTGAACAATGAGAATGTGATGAATACGGCAGGAATCGACCTGTGACAGAGAAGTGGATTAGAGAGCAGTGAGTGAGGTCTTGTTGAAAATATTTTAGGTTCAAGTCACACTACTCTTATGTATGAAAAATTTTATTATCTCCTTCAGAGCACTTTGAGTTTTTTTTTTTTTTTAATTAATTTAGTGAACGAAATATTAATTTATTACAAAAAATTAATTGATTTATATATAAATTTTTTAGATATAAAAGTATAAATTTATCATTCTAGTGCTCCAAATTTATCAGCAATATTTTAATAATTTTATCATATTTTAATTTTGAAGCACATTTACTATTATACTTTTAATTTATAATTAATTAATTTAAAAATAATGGAATGACAAGAAAGAAAAAAAAAAAACCAAGGTTAACCAAAAATCATGATATGAATTTTTATTTGTGTTAGTTGAATTAGTAAGAATAAGATTTCTTTTTTGTAATATTTAAATTCGAGTCATATTATTTACAATTTTAAAATGGGGTAGCTCCTCCTCAATTAAATTTAAAAAATACATTTTATTTAGTAAAATTTTAAATGATGAAAGAAGCAAATAAATAACAAAAAAATTGTAGGATTATGTAGCATTATATTTTATTAAAATTTCATCATAAAATAAAAAAAAAATCATATTTTAGTTTCATGATTATTTTTCTATGTCGTGCTGTTTTTAGAATTGTTTTTTTAATTGTAAAACAACTTTTAATGAAATATTTTATTGAATATTTTTAAATTTTTTCAAAATTAAAAAGTATAATGTTAAATTCTTTCCAAAATTAAAATTATGCCACTAAAATTACATCAACTAAGCACGATGATATATTTGAACTTTATCTCAAATTTCAATTTTGATAATAATAATACTTCCCTTAATAATATTCTAAACGTAAATATACAGAAAAAAATAGTCATTCTGCAGATAATTAATGCAAAATCACTGTATAGTAAAGAAGAAAACAATTAAACATAAAAAAGAAAAAGATCTAGCCAGCTACCCCAAACCAAGTTGCCAACCCCATAAAATAATTGTTATATATATTATTCCAGCACTCAATCATGCAAAATACATAAATTATATTTCATTTGTAATTCTTGGTACCGTTAATCATGCAGATATCTCAAAGCAACTAATAGTATATAGATAGTTGTAATATAATAATTAAGTAGAAATAAATCCAATCAAATCAAATTTATAACAATATTAATTTTCTTTGTTTAACGCAGAACTATTTTCATGAATTATGTTTTGCGATTCACGCAACCATAAAAATATAAATATCTTTCTTTTCGAAAAAGCGGATGGCAATTCGCAATTACCAAACAACTTTAATCAAACTTAAACAAATTATAGTAATTTAATGTATTAGGTACAATATGCTTTTTCCCATTAATACTCCACTTCTTTTAACACTTAATTTTTTTTTATTCGTTGGATAAGAGATATGAATGAAAATGATAGAGTTGAAACTCTCACTTACATCATTTTAAGCTTTTTTTTTTTAACCATTAAGTCAAAAAAGCTGAATAATTTTAACTCTTGTAACTTGTTGACTCAGTGCTTGAAACTCAGTGCATTGTCGGACGCTCTGGGAATGAGGCATGGTATGGACTTGGAGTGAGTGGAAATTGACGTGCGGCTTTACTCATGTGGAACAACTTTTGGGAGCTACGCCAGCGTTAAATGTGTTTCAACATGTCCAAGAAAGCCCTCCCAGTGGCCGTAAAATTTACAGCATTCTGTCGCCCAATATGCCTGCATACATCACGTGTGACGATTGGAGAGGGAAGACGGCATCATTTTCAATTTAAAACAAAATCAAAACCAAATTACCAATTTCCGAAGCTATAATTAGATATTTAAAGTGGAAGCTATGGAATAAATGAAGGGGACGCCTGGAAAAGAATAAAGATTTTTTTTTTAAAATTTATATTATATTAATTTTTGTATTTTTATTTTATGAATATTTTAAATTTAAATTTATTTTTATTTTTGTGAATTTTAATTAGATATAGATAATTTCTATATTTATAGTTAAAAAATAAAATAAAATACTTTTATTTTTATCATATATATTTAGATAATTTTTTATTAATATATTTTTTAATAAAAATATATTAATTTCAATTAATCTAAAATAATAATTTAAATTAATTAATTAAATATATATAAATATATAATTAATGTAGGAATATCAAACGAATATTATATTATATATTTTATTTTTATATTTAATAAAATTTTAAAATCATACTTACACTTATCTCCATACATATATTTATCTCTATTAGAATAAAAAATGGGATTCTTCATGGGCTATGGTTAACATTTACATCCTATGCACATTGCAGTAAATGCTATTTAAAGAATTCAACATACCAGAAAGGCAATTCTGATTCAATAGGAAACATTATGGGGTCCTTTTCGTCATTACCAGCTACCGAGCTGCTTTTAATCTTCTGTCTGAAGCTTGAGCTTTAGCTCTTGATTTCAACTTCTTCAAAATATTGAGAAACAAAAGAAAGAAAGTAAAAGACCGAAGACAGAGCTTTGGCAATGTCTGTAACGTCTGGAGTGACAATGCAGGTTGGAAATGATGGTGTTGCTGTCATCTCCATCTCTAATCCTCCCTTGAATGTTTTAAACGCTGCAAGTAAGATTTAGGAATCTTTTTATTTTATTTTTTTAATGATGTTGTGTTCGTTTGGGTATATACTATTTTGTTATATTCTGTGTATGTAGTGATTGCGGGAATGAAGGAGAAATTCAGTGAGGCTACGAGGAGGAGGGATGTTACTGCTATTGTTTTGACAGGTGAGTTTTTAAATCTGGTTGAATGATCAATAATCTCCTTTTTTTTTTAGTTCCTTTTGATAGTATTCTTACAGTAGTTTTGTTCAAGTCAGAGGCATATGTTAAGCTTATCCAAGTTAAGAAATTGTTGGGCTAAAGCAGCAATAATACATAAATTAATCTCGACTCGAACAAACACTTACCACACCCGCGAACACTCTCATTTTTCTTTAGTTTCTTAGAGTGATCTCAAATTAAACATCCAATACTTATAAGCGCTCTCATTCTCCCAATGAAATATCTGCATACCAAAACATTCAAACACACATACTTATGGCATTCTCAATCTCTTTTAGTCCCATAAAATCCTACAACTCTCTTTAGGTCTTTCCATCATTCCTTACAACTCTCATTATTTATACATCTACTAATTCGAGCGCCAAAATCTCTCCCCTCTTAGATTCCTGGTGTATTTATTGGATAATTTTTCTTTTTTTAAAGAATTTCTGTTCTTTATAAATGAGCACTGGATTAAAAGCCATATATAAGAGGATTTTGAGTTTGCATTTAAGTGATGAGACTAACTATTTCTACTTTTAGTTTTCAATTGTTTGTTTAAAGAAAAATAAAATTATAGCAAAGTGAAAGCATGACAAATGTCATCATGTTAAAAGTTGTTTTAAGACTGGAGATTTCTTGCTGATTCTGTGAGTTTTCATTGCAATTGAAGGCAAGGGTGGAAGGTTTTCGGGGGGGTTTGACATCAGTGCTTTTCAGAAAGTTCATCAGAGAGGTATGAGTTATTTATTGGCCCATTTCCAGTTGACCTTGTGATTGTTTACATGTTATATATATTTTCTGAAAGTACTCAAGTATACATCAATATTGTTGGCATGGCAGGTGATATTTCAGATTCACCAAATGAATCATTTGATCTCGTTGTCAGCACTATAGAAGGTGTTTGCTTGGCCTTAGTTGATTTCTTGAACTTATTACTTGTTACTGTTATATTCTTTTAATTTGGTTTGGGTTTTGAGGAATTCTTGCAATATTACAGAGTGTTCGTTATGTACTTTTAAACTCTTTCTTTTTCTTGCTTTCTCTCTTTCTTCTTTTCTATGAGTTACGTGAGTGCTGCAATTGAGTAAATGGTACAAGTAGAGACAGAAAAGAAGAGGATCTGGGTTAATCTTGGAGTAAAGAGTGCTATTAGAAATGAAGAAAGCAGGAAGGCATTGGAATAGTGAATAGGACTTGAGCGTAGAAAGTGAGAAGCAAGTGTGGGGAAGAGAAATTCTATATGAAAAAGTCCCTAGTTTCCAAAATGAGGTTTTATACGCCATACATGAAGATATGAAATGAATTTAGTGCATCCGATATTATGTCAGTTTGCTGTACTAAAGAAAGCTTTAGTAAACTCTAGGTAACTGCCTTCTAGTAAAAAATTGTTATAGGGCCGGTATTAATCAGCCAGATGTCAAGAATAACATATTTGATGACACTCATCATCTCAGAGAAAGGTTATCATTTGAGTCCACTAGGCCAAAACTTTCTAAAACATCTTAGGAATATGGAATAAACTCATAGACCCTACCAGAAAAAGGAGTTTAATGCACTAACTTGATTACATAATATATATATATATATATATATATATATATATTATAATTGAGATGCCAATTACCCTGCTAAACTAAACCAGCATCTACAAGTACAACAGACACATGACTTTCTACATAATAATCATTAAATTACAAGACATTCTTAGGAATGAGGTTAATTTGATTAATTTGTAATTGGCCAAAATTGATCTACAGTATTGTGACTCTGTCAATTCTGGTCTTCTTTAATCTAGATTGCAAGAAGCCTGTTGTTGCAGCTGTTGAAGGATTGGCTCTTGGAGGTGGCTTAGAATTGGCAATGGTTTGTATTTTCTGCAGGGAAGCAGCTGTGATTAACTTCTTTTGTTAGCAACTTTGACAGTAGAATCATAGCACAATTGTCTCATTCAGCTGAATCTCATACAGGGTTGTCATGCACGTATTGCTGCTTCAAAAACTCAATTAGGCTTGCCAGAATTGGCACTTGGGGTGATTCCTGGGCTTGGAGGTATGGCTGCTCATTTATGTAGAGTTCTTGAAAAATAGCATTGTTCTTCTTGCAGAATGGTGTTTGTTCAGGTGATCATATTTACGAGCATTCACTGATTTTCAATATGGTTGTTTTTTAAGGTACACAACGCCTTCCAAGGCTTGTAGGGGTACCAAAGGCCGTTGAAATGCTGCTGGTAAGACTGTTATGGGTGGAGCAGATACATATTATGGTCATTGATCATCATAGTAAAAAATTCATTGTCTTGATTCCTTAATTTCGTTTCATTGATTTCTTTTGCTTAGGCTAGAGGCATCATGTAGTCCTGTTTCTGGATGATTTGAATTTCGTTTCATTGATTTCTTTTGCTTGGGCTAGAGGCATCATGTAGTCCTGTTTCTGGATGATTTGAGTGGTTCCAATTCAGAATTTCTTTAATAATAAAATATTTGAATTATTATTCATGTCCCACTAGTTTTAATTTTTTTTAATGGTTATGGTAGAATGATACATAAAACTCACTGCTACAAGTAAGCTATGGAAGAACAAAACCACCACCTTTTCCTTATGAGAAGAGAACCTAACATGGGTTATATCCTTCCGCATCCATGCTTCTTTCAATGAACTGATTTTGAATGGTTAAATGATTTGTCGGGACAATTTTCTTTGTCACTAAATCTAATTCAATATAAATATAATCTCTTTACAGTTTTCGAAACCCATAACGTCTGAAGAAGGAAAGTCGCTAGGTCTTATTGATGACATTGCATCTTCTGAAGAGTTACTGAGAGCGTCTCGACTATGGGCTCTAGGGATTGCGGAGAGACATAAACCATGGGTGTGTTCTCTCTACAGAACAGACAAAATTGGATCCCTGTCTGAAGCACAGGGGTTGTTAAGAACTGCTAGAGAACAAGCCAAAAGGACTGCTCCCAATTTGCCTCACCACCTCGCATGCCTTGATGTAGTCGAGGAGGGCATTCTCCATGGAGGATATAATGGGCTTCTAAAGGTATTTAGTTTTGAGGCCTATGTATTTACTTTACATTGTTACATCAACATCCTTATAGAAGAAATTTCTTCCGCTGTTTCCTAGTAATGCTAATAACATCAAGCTGACTTTCTTAGCAATAGTTGTTTATTCCCCTGCAGTATGTTAAGTTCAGTGACAACCTGTCAGATATCTTACATTTTAATTTTCATTAGCGAACAACTTTTCATCTCATAAGATCTGCCAAGTCAATTTGTCGTGCACCAGCTGGGTTTAATCTATTCATATACATTCTTTATATGGTAATTAATTGGAACAGGAGGCTGCAGTGTCCAAAGAGTTACTTCTTTCAAACACTTCAAAAGCTCTTGCTCATCTTTTCTTTGCACAACGTGCTACTGCAAAGGTAACTAATGATTCTTAGAATCCCTAGTCTCTTCCCATGTATTTTAGTTGATTCCATCTTGCAGTGATTTAGTAGCATAGCAGGTTGAGTGAGTTCTAAACCCGGTGTTCTTGACGCACTGTCATCCTTTTGCCATATAGGGCATCCAAATCTTTTTTATGGAAGTTGATTGGTTGGTTTTCTAAAAATTAGAAACTGTAATATTTCAGATCTCCAATAGTTTCCTTGAATTTTTTACTTCTTCAGGTGCCAAACGTTACTGATGTCGGTCTCAAACCAAGGAATGTGAAGAAAGTTGCTATTATTGGTGGAGGCATAATGGGCTCTGGAATAGCTACAGCTCTTATCCTAAGCAACATATCTGTTTTGCTCAAGGAAATCAACTCTGAATATCTTCTAGAGGGAATGAAAACAATAGAAGGTGGCTATGACATTGATACAATATGTGCTCTTTTGGGAAAATGGGTCATATTTGAACATTAGCCTTTAAAAACCAAAAATGTCAATAGGTTTGTTGGAGGGTTGAATTACTGAAAGATGGCATCTATACATTGTCACTTGAATTTTTGCAAATATGTTCAGGTTATTGGCACCTATCTATTCAGTCAAATAGATGAGTTTATTTTATGATTTTGCTATTGACAATGTCAGAGGCAGTAAAGATTTAAATATTATTGTGACAATAAAAACAATTGATATTACATACATTAATTGGTATTTCTGTAAATTAGAAATATTTGTATTTTTAATAAGGTATAATGAAGAACTAACTGTGCCATCTTGGCCGGACTTGTTTCTAGAAGTGTAAGCATAGGGCAACTAGATCTTATAGTTGAATTCGAACATAAGGACAATCAGAGTATAGACCTTTAACATTGAGAACTGGATAAAGTATTTGGTTTTTTATCTTTTATTTTTTACTATGATATTTTATTTCTTGGATTCATTTTGGACATCACACTTTTTTCATGTCAGAGAAATTACATGCTTTTTTTTTTTATGGCAGCTAATATTCAAGGCTTAGTAACTAGAGGAAAAGTGCCACAGGATAAGGCAAGAAAAGCGCTTTCAATGCTTAAAGGAGTGTCCAACTATTCAGAATTTAAGGAAGTGGATACGGTCATAGAGGTGGGGTGTTTTATCATCAAGTAGTTGAAAATTAGCTCCTCCTCAAAATCTTGGTTGCCTTTGTCTCTGCTGGTAAATTGGTGTACCAGAAGATAATCTCAAGTTGGCCAAATAGAATTTGCTGTTCCTATTCCATAGATGGATGTAGTTTATGCCAATTTATAACTAGGTGTTAGTATTCCCAAACAGTCCTTGTTGATCAGAGCCTTCTAGCTAATGAAGAATAGAATTGTGAATAAGAAAACATAAGTGATGTCCTCTAGCATTTCCAGCAAGCCTTTCCACGTAGGATTTAGCTTCACATGTAGCATGAACAATATAGCACTTTCAATCTTTACAAAACATGATCAGGCCAGAAACTATAGTCAGAATAAAGAGGAATTAATTGAAGTTTCTCCTCTGTGAATTTTTTATTTATCAATTTTTACTTAGTAACTTAGGTTTTTATGATATCAGAGGATTTCAGAAATATAAGATGCATTTGTGCCTAGCTGTCTACACCCTATGCTAGTTGTAATTATTCACTTCATTTATACCTCTTGCAGGCAGTTATTGAGGATGTTCCATTGAAACAAAAAATATTTAGTGAACTCGAGAGCGTCTGCTCTTCTTGCTGCATTTTGGCAACAAATACATCCACCATTGACCTTAATGTAGTTGGAGAAAAGACCAACTCACAAGAACGAATTATTGGGGCTCATTTTTTCAGGTTGTTAAACTTGTTTAAGTTGTATGCTAATGTATTTATTATTACCGCCATAATAACCCCAATTATGTATTCCATGAAATAAAACCAGGAGTATACAGCTCCTCTAAACCAAAAGCATAAAAAGGAAAAGAGTTGTTGGCTTCTTCATTCCTTATTTAGACATGAACTTGTGTAAGGCTTGCTTTATCTTCACTACCATCATCTGGTTAAGAGGAAGCATATGCTGCTATTTACAGAAATGAACTACTTTTTGTTGGATGCACACCAAAAATTTTTAGTGTACCTAAATTTTAACCACTCTGTTTATCTGAATGACTTGTTTATGCTTCTCTGACCTGGCTCTCTGATGAACAGTCCTGCTCATATAATGCCTCTACTGGAGATTGTACGAACAGATAAAACTTCCCCGCAAGTTATTCTTGATCTCCTAACTGTTGGAAAAACAATAAAGAAAGTTCCTATAGTGGTAGGTAACTGCACTGGCTTTGCAGTTAATCGTACATTCTTCCCCTATATGCAAGGTCCACATCTTTTGGTCAATTTAGGTGTGGACTTGTTCAGAATTGACAGGGTGATCAGGAATTTTGGCCTTCCCATGGGTCCATTTCAGTATGTTTCTTCCCAAATCTTTCTATATGACTTTTGAGTCTGATGTGTGTAATGTTTCATAGATGATTTCTTTCTTGAAATAGAAAATGCGTCAACAGAAAGTCAGCACTACATTAAAGTAAAAATGTTGTATGCTTTAATGTAGCTATGTGGTAAATGGTAATGATGACTTTGGCATAATAGCAACATTGACTTCTGCAAATCCAGTTGCTAGCACATACGTAGTCTTGTGACCGGAAATCTGAGATGTCTAGTGGTTTTTCCATCCGCTGAGTTGTATGTTATGCTATGCATGATTCCTTAGGAAGCTGTATTTCAAAGCAATGCATGTAGACTTGCATTTAGAAGTGCCTTCTGAATGGATGTGATAATTTATGCTTTTCAATTGCAATGCTTGCAGGCTTCAGGACTTGGGTGGATATAGACTAGGCTTGTCAGCTGGGAAAGAATATGCAAATGCATTCCCCAACCGAACATTCAGGTCGCCATTGACAGAACTTTTGTTGAAAAATGGACGAAATGGTAAAAAAAAAGGGATTTTGATTCTGCTCCTAATATTTTCTCTTTCCCCTTCAATTCACGCTTTTAATGCTTTTCTATCATCTAGCATTTGGAATCATTGGATTTTTTTCTGGCATTTTAGGCAAAAGCAATGGAAAAGGATTTTATATTTATGAAAAGGGAAGCAGACCAAAACCTGATCCTTCAGTGCTACCTATTATTGAGGAATCTAGACAGCTTATGAATATTATGCCTGGTGGAAAGGTATTATAGCCTCTTATTTGAACAAAACTGTTGTACAGCATGAACTTTTATACACCACCTTAGATTGATTATAGGGGCACATTCCTCAGCTGGCTGCATTCTGTGTGAATTAACAACAAAAATTACTCTTTTTATATCTTCTGAGTGTCACTAATATATTTTTGTTGGACTTTATTTGACAGCCTATATCAGTTTCAGATGAAGAAATTATAGAGATGGTACTTTTTCCAACCATTAATGAGGCATGTCGTGTTTTGGATGAGGGTGTAGTTGCTCGAGCATCAGACCTTGACGTTGCTTCTGTACTAGGAATGAGCTTTCCATCTTACCGGTAGGTACTTCACTGACATTTTTTGGTCTCTTCTACATGAACTCCTCAAGAATAATCTCTGATGTTTGGAAAATTTTTTGGTTCCATTTTCAACTGCTGTAGTTTCTTCAATAACTATTTTTAGATGTGGGGTTCTTTGTTATCTATTAAGAGCCTCTCTTTGCTAATAAATTGCAATGCCAAATACCTTTCAGTTAAATTCCATCTCACACCAAAGAAATTGTTGCTGAAATACGTTGTGTATTGCCTGATTTTCATGTAATGTGTTTTTCTCAGTCATTTTATATACTAGTTTTCTTTTACCTGCTATACACGTAATTGTTAACCAAATTATAATTCTAACATAATAAAATAATTTTATTACTTTTATAGTAATAAAATTGAAATAACTATCATCGTACTAAATTAAATTAAAAATATAAATTTAAGTTTGAAAAAAATAAATATAACAAAATTTTTTAATTAAAATTCTAATAAAAATAAATATTTAATCTTTCTCTATTTTGATTTTTTTTAAGTCTTGTGTTTTTAGATCATCATCTTCATTCATTGTTTATATATTTTTCTTTCTTTTTAAATTTTTTCAAAAGATTATCTTATACCACAATTGAATCCGATTTTGTACTTTCCTTTCTTATTTATTTTATGCTTTTTCTCGAGTTTTTTTTTTTAAACTTTTTTTATAGTGGATTTTTATTTTCAATTTTATAAATTTTTGAGACAATCGATCATTGTTGAACTAATTTAAACTCTTACTTTTTATCTATTTGCTATTTAAAATTTAAATTCCTTATTTTGATTTGAAATATTTTGTTATAAAGTTTTTGTCGCTTGAAATAAAGTAAATATATGATGTTTTCTTTTTCATGATCACTTACCTCTGATTTTGATATGTACTTAATTATGTCACATAAATCATCTTGTAGTTTAATTTTATGGTAAAAAATTACATACTTACATGAATTTTACTAATTAAAAAAAATTACATAAACATATTGTCAAAAAAAGGATTTGAAGCAATCAAGAATTATTAATATTTCGATTTAATCATCAATGATGTTTATTTATGTATTTACAAGGAATATTGACTAAAACTACTTTTAATATCGAATATTGGTTTCTTAAAAAGCCATAAATACATATAACTTACTAAAATATGTTATAATAAAAGTTTAGATAACACACTTTACTTAAAGATATATCTTATCATAATCAAATGGTATTTTTATGTTGTTTTTTAAATATTGAAATACTCTTCTTAATTAATTTGGTTCAATATTATTATTGTTTGTTAAATAACAAAATATAAGAATTTTAAAATTAATAAGATATGACTTATTTTAGATAATTGTAAAAAGATATTATTATATTTTGAAGGTAAACTGTGTTTTAAATCTTAACTTTAAAATTGATAATGAATATATTTTTAATATTTGAACTCTTTTTTAATTAAAATAGAGTAATTTTTTTATTTGACGAATACTTAATCATATATTTAGTATAATTCATACAAAAAATTCATCATTTAACTGATATTATTATAAAATTTTAATTTATAGAATTCATACTATTATTAGTATTATTAAATCAGGTATTTTAATTTAAAATATTATGTACTTGATAAAATAACTTATACGTAATTTTTCTATGGTGTTTTCTAATAAGTTTAGACTAATTATTTTTTTCTTTCATTTTAAAAATATCTTTAAAGACAATAATTTTTTATATAGTTGCTATTAGTGTTATAAAGGATACCATATAACACAACAATTTTATTTTTAGTAAAGATATAGCATTACTCTAGTTACTATTAATTTATTATCAAGTAGACAATCAATGAGATACAAATTTAGATAAAGTCATTCCAAATTTTCACTTCAAAAATGGATTTTTTTTCAATAAAATTATGTTGTTATAGTAATTGGTATATGAATATTGTTTTAATCATTTATATAGGTATACAATATCCACAAATATTTGTAATTCAATACCTTGGTATTAAATGGCAATAAATATAATTTTTTAAATGAATCAAATATGTTACACATATTAAAAAAATATAGCTCCATATTAATATTCAACCAAAACAAAAAAAAAAAGTTAGAAATGATTTACTACTAAATTATATCACTAATTTACTATTAAAATATGAATAGTTTATTATTAAATTATCCATACTTTACTACTAAGCTAAAATTAATTTATTATAAATTATCATTAATTTATTGTTATCACTGATTTACAACTTAGTTATAACTAATTTATCATTAAGTTATCAATAAATTACGATTAAGTTAACACTGATATATTATTATAACTAATTTATTATTATATTATTAATGATTTATTATTAAATTATCAATAGTTTACTATTAAGTTATGAATAATTTACTACTAAGTTATTGATAATTTATTATAAAGCTATAACTAATTTTTTATAAAGGTATAAATGATTTCTATACAATTATCAATGATTAACTAATTTATTACTAAATTATCATTGATATACAATTAAATTATAAATGATTTATTAGTATGGTATTAGTGATTTATTACTAAATTCAATAATTTACTATTATATTATTATGCATTTACTAATTACCATTGATCAATTACTAATTTTTTAATAATTGACTATTAAGTTATTAATTATTTACTACTAAGTTTTCAATTGAATTACTAAAGTTATTTATGCTTTACTATTAATTTATCAATAAATTACAATATATGAGATAATTTTCTTTTTATACAATAACATCATTGTTTCATTCAAATTTAGAATTTTTTTTACTAATTTTTTTTAATGAATAAGTTTATGATAGGTCTATTATATTTCCTAATGATGAAAGTTCTAGCTTCGCTCTTTCTAGTAACCAATGTTCAATCACTGGTAATTTCAAATATAGAAAAATGTTATCACTAATTAACAAATAAGTTATCGATTACATATTACTATCTTATCACTGATTACTTCTATATTATCATTAATTTATCACTAAGTTATAGATGATTTACTATTAAGTTAAAATGATTTACTACTAAATTATTAATAATTTACTATTAAGTTATAGATAATTTATTATAAAGTTATTACTAATTTACTATAATTTATTATAAAATTATTACTAATTTACTATAAAGTTATTGATAATTTACTAAGAAGTTGTTAATAATTAATTAATTTACAACTAAATCATTATTAATTTATACTAAATTATCACTTATTTACAGCGAAGTTATCAATAATTTACTATAATATTATTAGTGATTTACTACTAAATTATCAATAGTTTACTATAAAAATAGCAATGATTTACTAAATACTATTATGCATTTGCTACCATGTTATCATTGATTTACTATTGAGTTTTAGTGATTAACTATTAAATTATCATTGATTTATTTCTAAATTATTTATGATTTATTGCTAAGTTTATAATTTAATTTATATTAAACTAAAACAGATTTACTATTAAGTTATCTATAATTTATTGCTAAATTTTCATTGATTTACTATTAAATTATCAATGATTAACTATTAAATTATCATTTATTTTTTATTAAATTATCATTGATTTACTACTATGCTGTTATGCATTTACAAATATGTTATAATTGATTTACTATTAAGTTATTATGCATTTACTATTATATTATTATTGATTTACTATTAAATTATTATTGATATATTATTAAGTTATCACTAATTTATTATACAGAATCATCATTAATTAATTATTAATTTATCGATGATTACTATTAAATTATATTGATTTATTTTTAATTTTTAATTATTAATTACTACTAAGTTTTAAATTATTTACTACTAAATTATCATTAATTTATATTAAGTTCTTTATGATTTACCATTAAATTTATCAATTAATTACTATTCTCTTTATCTGTCCCAGTTAAATTGTCACAGTTGATTTTTTTGGTTAAAATTTTCTAATTTTGACATCTATTATTTTAAATATTTTAATAAATCAAATTTATAAAACATATATTTAGAAACCATTTTATTTAAAGTTTTTAAAATATATATTTTTTCATATTTTTATCAATAATAAATATAAAATAATAAGTTACTAAAGTTAAAAAATTGACCAACAAAAATAAAAATGTGACAATTTTAGTGGGATGGAGGAATTATTAAACTGAATCATATTTACTATTAAATTATTATTAATTTACTATTAAGTTATCATCATTTTACTATTAAGCTATCATTACTTTATTATTAAGTTATCACTTATTTTTATTAAATTATCCTTAATTTACTACTGTATTATTATATATTTACAATTATGTATAAATAATTTACCATTAAGTTATTTATTATTTACTACTATATTATTATGAATTTATTATTATGTTATCATTGGCATATAATTATCTTATCAATTATTTATTACTAAATTATTATTTATTTATTATTAAGTTATCCATAATTTAATATAGAGTTTTCATTGATTAAATATATGATAGATTAGGATATATTATGATATATAAATTGAATTGATGAAATCAAAAAAAAAAAACGTAAAAAAAGTCTTTCCTTCTCTATCTCTGCCTATTTTTTTAGTCGTCCTACATTTATAATTTATACATCTCCATTTATACACGAAAAATACATCAAAACAAAAAAATGTAAAAAAACCATTTTATTTACCTAATAAAAAACAAACTTGAATTTTTTTCTATTAATTGGTAATTGGTCAAGCTCGAAGAGAGAGTATGCCCAATTTTCATTTTCAATCAAATTCGAATGAGATTTGTAGTTAATTTGTTAAATGATACATAATTTTGAAAAAAAAATTTTTTTTTGCCATTAGTAACTCGGTGATATCATTTGATTACTTTTAACTTCGAATATTTTTGAAATATTTGAGAAAGATTAAAAGATTAAGAATAGTGTCTAAATTATCATTAATTTATAATAAAATTATTAATAATTTGCTACTATATTACTTTTTCCATCTTTATTTATTTGTCTTGTATTAATTTTTATGGAGTTAAAATAAAAGTTTTGACTTTAATGTATTTAATATTAAAATTAAATTTTTTTTATAAAATTAAAGTTTTATGATTTTTAATGTTAAAAAATAAAAAAATAATTTAAAATATAAAAAAGTAAGAGTTTTAGATGTTTAAAACAAAAATAAACAAAATTTTAGACATCCAAAAAAAAAAAAAAAAGATGGACAAAAAATAAGATAGAGGGAATATTATACATTTACTACTATGTTATAATTTATTTACCACTAAATCCTCTATAATTAATTTAATTGTATAAAACATATTAATATGTAAAATGTGTTATAAACACTAAAATATTCATATATAGAAAAACTATTTTAAATCTTCTAGTTGTATTGTTTATGTTAAGTGGGGCATGAATGACTTAACTAAGATATTTTAATAAAAAAATAAATAAAAAGTAGACAATATTTTAATTTGTTAAAAAATATTAAATAAAAATAAGTAGAGATAATTTAATAAATTATCACATTTTATATATAATATAGATATATATATATTAAACATCTTTTTAATTATAAAATTTCCTATTTAAAGTAGGTTATAAAATCTAAAATATGCAAATGTTTGTCAATATTCTAAATTTTTAGCTAAAATTTAAATAACTACGTACAGTAAAGTTAGCTAAATTTCAAATGGAGCACTTTTTACACATTAATTAAAAAAAAACAGAGTTCATGTTATCATCTATAATCTAATGCTTTTTTTTTTTTTTCATTTTCACATATATTATGATGTATTGACTTATTGCGTAATAAAAAGACTAATTTAGTAATCTTAGGATCTATATGAAATATTAATTGATTCATTTATCTTATTATATATATAATTTAATTTTATCAATTGAGTTAATTTTTTATCTTAATTATAAGACTATATAAATAAATATATTTAATTTCGCATCATCATACTTCAAATTTTTTATCATGTGATTAATGAGTTCAATTATAAGTCTTCCTTTCTTTATGAATTGAAAAATTAGTTAAATATGCATGATTGGCATGTAGTGTATTATTAATAGTAGTCTACCTAATTAAAAAAATCACTTTTAATATTGTTTGGAGTTCACTTTTTTTATGTATATATCATAGATGATATATGTATTTATATATAATAAACACACTCATAAAAGTACAAATAATTATTAAATAAATACTTTTATGATAATAATATAAATCAATAATCATATACTTTAAGTATATAAACAAATAAAATGAAATGAACTATAACATTATTGTTTCAAAGAATATAATAATTGATTAGAGAATAAACAAAGCATTGATCATTCAACAAAATGCGTACAATTAATCAATATTTTTTACTATCAAAACATAAAAATATGTTAGAGTATTCTTAATTGAAAAAAATACATTTATATTTTTCAAGGAAAAATCATAAAATATATTCATAATATAAATTTTAAATTTCACAAATGAAGTTAGCAACGTAACATATACCTTTTAAGCTTTAGAGTATATTAAAAAAATTAATTAAAAAAAAAGAGTGATGTGTTAATTTCTTAACCCACTTGAGAAAATAAAAAAAATTCAGCTAACAATATATCAAATAATTTCTTTTCTTCAAGATTAATGTTTCTTAGCAATATTGACTTTAGTTTCATAAAAATATCTTAAGTACTAAATATTTGACATTAACTATAAAAAAAAAAAAAAGGATAGAATGAAATTAACTTGGGTGTAGTATAGAATCAATCTATAGAAGATAAAATAAAAACTAAGTTTAGTAACAATTCAAGGGTACATGAGATTATGTTCATAAAATAAACATTCATTTAAGTATTATAATGTTAAGGCGTGATTGCATAGAGTAATTAGAAATATTATAATCAATTATTGCAATCATTAAACATAAAAATTTATATTTATCATAAAAATAAAAATAATCAAACATATAAATTTACCATAATACACGTATTACTCTTTTTGAATAATTTTTTTATAATTTAATTTATAATTTTGTATGAATTTTAATTTCAATTAATCTATAATAAATAAACAAAAAGTACAAATATATTTAAGGACTCATGATATGTGTCATTAAAGAAGATTAAGAGCAAATTAGATTATATCTTGAAAATGAAAAATTATATGTTTTACTTAAGATAAAGTTAAATGTTTTGGGATATACACATTATGATCTAATAATTTAGACTAAAACAATTAGTAATTGAGAAACAGGAAAAAAATTTTATCTATGTTTTGTTCAATATTATGGATTCATAGTATGCCACAGCCCATAGGATGATAATGTGTTTTATATTAATTTGATTGAATTATTACTTATGAAATTTAACAAAAGAATTTTAAAAATAAAGATAAGAGTAAATTTGAGTTAATTTTGGACAATAGGCCTACCATATCCGACAAATAAATTTTTAATGTAGTTTAATTTGATATAAATTTTATTTGTAAATTTTTAATTGATTTAAATTTAAATAACTAACAAATAAAAGCTATATTTTTAATGACAAATAATCTTTATTAAATAAATAAAAATGCTAGAAATTGAATTATAAATTTGTTATTTTTTAAAATTTATAAAGATATTTATGTTATTCATTTTTAACACTTTTAGATTTAAATTTAAATAACTAACTAATAAAAGCTATATATTTAATGACAAATAATCATTATTAAATAATTAAAAAATGTTAGAAATTTAAAAGTAAATTTGTTATTTCTTAAAATTTATAAGAGTATTTATGTCGTTCACTATTAAGACTTTTAGAGTTCACACTTTTATATATAGATGATATTCCATCTCTTCAGGTAATATTTTTAAAGTAAATCTACTTGTGTCTAGTTTGTTTGCTATTTGATTCCTGAATATGCCAGAAAGTCACCTTGCTCTGTTGCACTCCTTTTTTCTGGTTCATTACTTGGTCTCTTATTGCCTCCATGTCTTACAAAAACAATCTCTTCTGTGGCAGTGGTGGTGTCATGTTTTGGGCAGATACAGTTGGTTCAAACCATATCTATACAAGTCTCAAGAGGTGGTCAGAAATGTATGGTAGCTTCTTTAAACCATCTAGATTTTTAGAGGAACGAGCCATGAAAGGCATGCCACTGGTAAGAACTAAGAACTAAGAACTATATCCTTGTTTTATCTGTTCTATCATGAGTCTAATAAATTGAAAGTTTATCTGTCACATTATAAATTTCTAATGCCAACTTAAAGAAGTATACTAACTTTCTGCAATTCTAGTTGACTTTAGAACCCGGTATATTTTATGTCTCATGGTGCTCAGTTTCTAGTTTGTATCATCTCTTGTTCCTCTTCTTTTGCAGAGTGCGGCAGCATCATCATCTCTAAAACCAAACTCAAAGCTCTAGCCGGATAACAAGAATGTGGTGGCTGGGAAAAACCAGTGTTATGGATACATCTGTCTTAATGCACACCAACCTTTAAAGCAATAAGAAATTGGTATTTGTCCCAATTTCATTTTCTGAAACCTTAAAAAAGTATTGAACAGGCAGAAGCATATGCAGTTAGGATAAATTACATGTCAATTTCTTCTGTTTCTTCTTTTTTTTAAGGGTAAAGCCTGACTTTCAGATACAACAATCACATCTGAATTCAGATATGCCAACTAGCCAAGTGCCAAACCATATGTTTCTTTGGTGTAAGGTAACTTTATCAAATTCGGACATGCCAAACACTCAAACTTCTGATTGAAAGTGAACCACGACGAACAGAACAGAAAAGAATAGGATAGGATTTATGTGCATGCGGTGGCATTTTTCTAGACGTTAGCATGTCGTGCTGTTTTGTGTGGGTGGCAACGTGTTTCAATTGAGAGTGACAACGTGGAAGTTATTTGATCGTGTTATAATTCTGTCCTTGAGAAATAGATGTAATTGTCAAGGTTGAATCTTGGTTTTTGCAAATGCTTTTTTCACCCACATTTTTATAAAGTAACATGCTTTAATAATATTACTAAACAAATTATTTTTCATTTAAGTTCCTTTTAATTGATACTTTTTCTCTTCTTCTTTTTTTCTTTTTATTATTTTTTGCAAAAAAAAAAAAAAATCTTGAATGAAAATGAAATCAATCTTTGAAGAATGAGAATCATTGTTAAAATGAAGAAAACTGGATTTAGGCCCATTGGGATAGGGGCTTTGAAGTTCCCACAATAATTCAACAACCTCCTTTTTGGTGCACTAAATTCAAATCCTCTTTTTAAAAAAAAAAAATGCAAAGCCTTCTTAAGCAATCGAGTTTGTCGTCTTGTCTCCTTGACTGGTTGACTGGTTGACTCGTTGACTCGTTGGCTCGTGATTCAGACCAAGACCAAAATACAAAACATAATGCCACATTAGTCATCTGTGCTTATTGACTGAAGCACTAAAAACAGTACCGGTGGATCCAAGTTTCAATAAATTAATTGTAAATTTACACTTTTTAATTGATTATTATTGAAAAATTATTTCATACAATAACAGAAAAAATTGTTTACTCTATCAAAAAAATAAAAAAATTATCATATATTTTTTAAAATATACTAAAAGTAAAAAAAAAAAATATAACTAAAAAAATACACTAATCTTTTAATATTACTTATGAAATTTTAAAAGTTCTACCGAACGAACTCATTCATTAAAAGAATAGGTAAGTATGATGGTGGAAGTTTCGAAAAAGAAATGAGCATTAAGTGAAAAAAGAAAAACTAGGAGTCCGGGTCTCCAATAAAAACAAAACTTAAATATAAAAATAACCTTACACTTGTACTCGTTTTTCTTTATATTACTTAATTGATAATTAATTTAATAATGTTAAACTTTTTCAACAAATAAATATATTATGAATTTTTAATAATAATAATAATAATAATAATAATAATAATAAAGACAATATGGTTATATGAGTTGTGAACGCAACAAAATAAGTTACGATGTGAAATTGGAAAGTCATTCACAAAAAAGCCCTAAAATTTCTTTCTTCGAAACTTCTTCTTTCGTAAATTCAAACCAACAACCATTGACTTGATTGAAACTGAAAACGACATAGTTCGTACACCTACCTTCACGATTTTCATGGGTTCATGGATTGTAATTGTACCGCCAAAGATACCGGCCAAAAATCCAAGTGGCACACGACGCAATGGGAAAATTCCTTACAATTCGCATTCACCTCCGGGAAAAAAAAAAGCGGAAATTTTTTTTTTCAAAGTCCAAATTCTATTGTCCACGTGAATTGAGTAGACATCTCCAAATTCTCCACTCAACGGCTACATAAAGCGAAGCAACGGCACTCTCACTTACATGTTATCGTGTTGGGAAAGATCTATAACTGAGAGCTAAAAGAGCGATGTCGCAAATTCAAGTAACGATGGAAGTCGGAAAAGACGGCGTTGCAGTTATCACCATCTCTAATCCTCCCGTTAACGCCTTAGCTCTTCCCAGTAAATCTCTGCCCAGTCACACTCTATGGCTTTCTTTTCATTTCTCTTTTATTTCTTCATTTGCCATTTGGTGATTTAATTTGATTTTCTTTTCTTTTTTTTCTTGTTGCAGTACTTACTGGATTGAAGGAGAACTTCCATGAGGCGGCGAGGAGAAGCGATGTTAAAGCTATTGTTTTAACCGGTGAGCTTCCAATTTTTAAAATCGAATTTAATAAAATATATTTTTTATAATTATCTTATGTTGAATTATCTTATAATTTCTTGAAATTTTTTTACTGATTTTTTCAAATATATTTTTTGAATTGGTTATTGAAGGCAGGGGAGGAAGGTTTTCTGGTGGTTTTGATATCAATATTTTCCAGAAAGTTCACGGAACCGGTATGAGTTAGTTGATTAATTAGACTCTTTGCAGTTCTTTTTGTGCGGCTAATTTTACTAATTCACAAGTTAGTTACTGGAACTTACTTAACGAGAAGTGGAAATTTACAACAGGTGATGCATCAATTATACCCGATGTATCTGTTGACCTTGTCGTTAATGCTATTGAAGGTCTTTCCTTATCCTTTTTACTTATTTTAAGTGTTTTTTTTTTTTTTTTACTGTTATTAATGGCTACTCTTATGCGGTTCTTTTCATCCTCTCAGATTGCAAGAAGCCTATTGTGGCAGCTGTTGAGGGATTGGCTCTTGGAGGTGGCTTAGAATTGGCAATGGTTTGTTCTTTTCTCTCTTGATGAATATTTTACGTGGTTAACTTCTTTTGCTAACAATTTTTTTTGTCTGTCATGATCGTTAATTTGCTCAGTTGTCTAATCCTGTTATCCGTATGCAGGGTTGCCATGCACGTGTTGCTGCCCCTAGAGCTCAACTTGGCTTGCCAGAATTGTCACTTGGAGTGATTCCTGGGTTTGGAGGTGTACCACTTGTATATGTTGAAAAAAACATGTTTAGATGTGCAATTATTTTGAGTTTGGATGATAACTACTAGTTTGTACTTTACAATCATTGACTGACTTCTTATGCTATGGCTCTTTCAAAAGGTACACAACGTCTTCCAAGGCTTGTAGGGCTGTCAAAGGCTATTGAAATGATGCTGGTAATACTCCCTGTCTGTGATGCTTTTTGAAAATTTTTATGGCTTGTTAACTTATTTTTCCCACTTTTAGTGCCTTGTAATTAATTCTGCATTGTCATTTTACCTATTCGTCACTACAAAAAGGGAGTGATGGAGAGGGGTTTATTTTTCAACACATTAAAAAGTCCATGTTATGAATTCCATCTTCCCCTAGAGTTGGAAAACTTTGTCGTTACGTTTCATTCCTTTGTTGTAAACTAGTTTCCGGACACTTTGAGTGGATTAAGAAAAAGTTTAGTTTCCCTATGCTGGTGCTTTATCCTTCACCGCCTGAACTTTAAATGCTTTTCATTGTTAATGGTTGTGGAGTCCACTTTTTTCACTTAATAAATCTAATTCATATATGCATAATGCTTTGCAGTTATCCAAACCAACGATGTCTGAAGAAGGGAAAAAGCTAGGTCTTATTGATGCTATTGTCCCTTCTGAAGAGTTGCTGAAAGTTTCTCGCACATGGGCATTAGAAATTGCAGAGAGACGTAAACCATGGGTACGTTCCCTCCACAGAACGGACAAGATTGGATCCCTCTCTGAAGCACAGGAGGTGTTAAGAATTGCAAGACAACAAGCCAAAATGACCGCCCCAAATTTGCCTCAGCATCAGGCCTGTCTAGATGTAATTGAGGAGGGCATTGTCCGTGGGGGATATAACGGAGTTCTAAAGGTAGTTTTTGCTCTTACAGACCTGTTGCATTTACTTGTATAATGGTCTTGCTGTAGAAATTGCTTCTGCTGTTTTTTTCTTTGTAATGCAGCATTTATAATAGTACCTCGTAAACTTTTGGGGTGTGCATTGATGGATTTTATATGATCCCCTGCATTTAATCTTATCTGTGACTATGTTTAGTCCCATAAGAATCTCTACTTGGTTGTACTTAAACATTTGGTTTGCTATATTCATATTTATTTTTCACATAGGAATTTATTTATGCAGGAGGAAAAAGTTTTTAAGGAATTAATCCTTTCAGACACTGCAAAAGGTCTCGTTCATGTCTTTCTTGCCCAGCGTGCTACATCAAAGGTAACTGCTGATACCTGGAACACTTTGCACCTTTTTCTCATTTTAATTCAACTAGCAGTAATTAAGCAGTGTTGGCACTTGCCATGTGAAATAGTTGGCTGTCTATATAGAGTGGAGGAATCCAAACTTAAAAGTTGAAATTGAAGCCTCACAAATAATAGGATCTTTTGTGGTCTTATTTATTCTGAAATTTTACTTGTGCAGGTGCCAAATGTTACTGATGTTGGTCTAAAACCAAGGCAAACAAAGAAAGTTGCCATTATTGGTGGAGGCCTAATGGGTTCTGGAATAGCTACGGCTCTTATAGTGAGCAATATATTTGTTGTTCTCAAGGAAGTTAATTCTGAATATCTCCTGAAGGGGATAAAAACGATAGAAGGTGGTTATTCATAGATTATGGTTGCTCCTTTAATAGTCAATAAACTGATGATACTAGTATTTTCTTGACAAGGAATTATAATGTTCTAATTCTTATTTTTAAATTTTGACATTGATAATTATTTCAAGATATATATATATATATATATATATGTTGTACGTGGAACTATTTGCATGTTATAGATAGTTAATACTATCCTTTTTCTCCTTTTTTTTTTTTGGTTGGCAGCGAATGTTCGAGGTTTAGTATCTAGAGGAAAATTGACAAAGGATGAGGCAGAAAGAGCTCTCTCAATGCTTAAAGGAGTTTTGGATTACTCTGAATTTAAAGATGTAGACATGGTAATTGAGGTGAGCCATGTTATGGAATTTATAACACTTCTGAACCATTGATTGCCATGTGGCCACACATAATCTTTAACGACTGTCTTTACTTGTAATTTGTCAATATCTACTTACTTTGGTTTTTGTCATGTTGGAGGATTTGCCATGAAATATTTCTAATGTAGTTCTTCTATGCAGGCTGTTATTGAAAATGTCCCTTTAAAGCAAAAAATATATAGTGAGATAGAGAAGGCTTGCCCTCCTCACTGCATTTTGGCAACAAACACATCCACTATTGACCTCAATTTAATTGGAGAAAAAATAAAATCACAAGATCGTGTTATAGGAGCTCACTTTTTCAGGTTATCAAACTTATTTTCCTTTTTTTTTTTTTTTGCTGATATGTTGTTGACATTCTAATTCTCTATCATATGCCTTGTACATGGAGAATCTAGCATCTCAATCCTCCATGAAGTTTGAAAGGTGCATTATTTTGGGGGTTTATGGAGCTATAGCCCTCTTACATCTTGTGGCCCTCATGGACATTGGGAGAGGTTAACATTTCTGCAAGAACCTTAAGTGATTTTTAAGCAGCCTAGTTAATATAATCTTTATAGGTGCTGCGAACGAAGAATATTTTGCCAATCTGTAAAACTTTCTCTTCAGTTCTTGCATATCTTAACATTTTCTGTTTTAACAACAATAAGTGTAATCAGTAGTTACACTTCAATCGTAGTTAAAAGGATCATCCAAAACAAACTGATTAAACTTCATTTTTTACCGCCTTTCTCTTCTTCCATTTGGTACATTGAACTTTTGTGTTTGGGATAGCACTAGAATGTTTCTTAGGGGCCCTGACATAAATCGATACGGAGTGTTTCTTATGTGGACATTCTTGGAGTCAATGGCACTTTTAATTGATTGCATTCGAGAATGATTTTGATAGCAGGAATGCTATTCCTCAGAAGCTTTCATTTCTTCCTTTCCTACTTTCTTTTCCCCCCTCCTCTTTACACCTTGGACAATTAATTAATTTGTAGGGATTTGTTTGTTTAGTGGGAAACCTGTTTTAACAAACATGAATTTTTCACCCTTTGGATAAATCATAAATGGCACAAGATGTATGATTTCTTTGCAGAGCTTAAAGAAATGAATACTTAAGGAAGTGATGATACTTGAGTATAACAGACTAGACCTTACATAAAATGAGTTGGTTCCTTAAATGTCATATGCACTATATCTGTTAAATGTATTTTCTAATATTGATTCTTAATAAACCGGCATTTTTTATCTGCTTATTTGACTTGGCTCTCTGATAAACAGTCCTGCCCATGTGATGCCTCTTTTGGAGATTGTACGAGCACAAAAAACTTCCCCACAAGTAATTCTTGATCTCATGACAGTTGGGAAAACAATAAAGAAAGTTCCTGTTGTGGTTGGTAATTGCACCGGCTTTGCAGTCAATCGGACATTTTTCCCCTACACACAAGGTGCACATTTATTGGTCAGTTTAGGTGTCGACGTGTTCAGAATTGACAGGGTGATCAGCAATTTTGGCCTTCCTATCGGTCCTTTCCGGTAATATTCTTTCTTTAGCATTAGATAGCTTTGTCATGATTTGAGTACCTATGTTTCCAATTTTCATGATCTCTTATGATAGAAAGTGAGCCAATCAAATAACTTTTGTGTCATCGAACTGTCATCTTACTTTATTGTAGCTTGGGTGTAACGATGATTTCAGCATAATATGCTTCTACAACTTAAAATCTGGGTACCAGTGGTCTATCCGTGAGGTGGAAACCTAAGAAGTAATAATTGCCGCATATTGATGCATCTGCACAAACACACACAACTGATGGCTGATGGCTGAATAGAAGATGGATCAGTTAAACTTAGAGCTCTAGTACTGATCAGATCTCAGTTCATCTGATTGTGGAGATCCGATTGAAGCAAAACATATGAACTTGTATGTCCTGATATTTATTAATGAGTGGTGATAAGTTATGCTTCTATTTTGCAATACTTACAGGCTTCAAGACTTATCTGGCTACGGGGTGGCCTTGGCAGTTGGGAAAGAATTTGCAAATGCATTCCCAGATCGAATATTCAAATCTTCGTTGGTTGAACTTTTGGTTAAAAATGGACGAAATGGTAAAGAAATACTATATTTCCATTGATGTGACATTCTTTTCCCCGTTAACAATGTTGTTAATGCATGTTCCTTTGTTATTGGGGCATTTTATGAACTTTTGGTATTTCAGGGAAAAACAATGGGAAAGGATACTATATTTATGAGAAGGGAAGCAAGCCAAAGCCTGATCCTTCAGTGTTACCTATTATTGAGGAGTTTAGACAGCATACCAAAAAAATGCCAGGTGGAAAGGTACACTTGCCTTCAAAAACATTCTAGAGGCATGAAATTTGGTCAACTGATGCCAACTATAAGATTTATGGCCCATAGTAGCGTTGTTGTTAGCAGGCTATAAAAAATACAAAACAACTGTCATCATCTTTTCTGTTGTTTTTGTAGGCAAAATAGCTAATGTATTGTTATTGCAAACGTTTGACAGCCTATATCAATTACTGATAATGAAATTCTGGAGATGATACTCTTCCCAGTAGTTAATGAGGCAAGCCGGGTTCTTGATGAAGGAGTCGTGGTTCGAGCAGCAGACCTTGACATTGCATCTGTTCTTGGAATGAGCTTCCCATCTTATCGGTGAGTCTTTGGGGGCAGTTTTCTTTCATACTGTTCTGGGGTTGAGAGCAGGAAAATTCAGGGACAGTTTCTATTTTATTTATTATTATTTATAGCTAATTTGATAATTTCTTAATGCCATTGCAGCTATCCTAAATATTTACTTGCATATTGTTTCATCAAACGCATGGTCATTTTGATTAATATAGGTTATGCAGTAATGCCTCACAACCCATATTTTGTTTGTGGGTTCTGCTGCATCTGACAGTGTTTATCTCGTTTTTGGCAGCGGTGGTATAGTGTTTTGGGCAGATACGGTTGGGGCAAATCATGTATATAAAAGTTTAAAGAAGTGGTCAGAAATGTATGGTGGCTTCTATAAACCATCAAAGTATTTGGAAGAAAGAGCCATTAAGGGCATCCCATTGGTAAGAACCAAATTCATTTTGTTTGATTCACAAGCATTTTCCGGACATAGATGTGTTTCTCAAAATGGAGTTAGAAAGGGAAAAAGATTATAACTTCCTTCTTTTACCTTTTTCTGTTTGCAGAGTGCAGGAGCAACATCATCTCCATCATCAAAGTCGAGGCTCTAGGCTAATAAAATTTCAAAATTCACCCTCATTAAAACCAACAGAAAGAGTTTGGTTTCATAAAGAAATATTATATATGCCTGTCGTCATTCTCCGAGAAACTCCAACATAATTGTTGAAATGAAAGCAATAAATTTATGGGCTACTTGCTGTAAGGATTGATAGACTAACTCGGAGTAGGATGGGTCCAATAATGTTTTGGGAGCCCATCCAATGCAGTAAGAAGTGCTCTAATTCCCGCATCCTATTCCTATTCTTATTCCTGTTCCTATTCTACGCACTAGTTTTAGCTATAACTAGAAATATTATATATGCCTGTCGTCCTCCTATTTCCTTTTGTCATTCTCCGAGAAGCTCCGACACAATTGTTGAAATGAAAGCAATAAATTTATGGTTCAATAATAGTATGCTATAAGGACTGATAGACTCTAACTCCAACATAATTGTTGAAATGAAAGCAATAAATTTGTGGCCTACTTGTTGTAAGGATTGATAGACTAACTCGGAGTAGGATGGGTCCAATAATGTTTTGGGAGGCCCATCCAATGCAGTAAGAAGTGCTCTAATTCCCCCATCCTGTTTCCATTCTTATTCCTGTTCCTATTCTACGCACTAGTTTTAGCTATAACTAGAATTTGGCCAACCATTCATGTTTTGATAAAAAGAATGTGTTTTTATAGGGAAGAGAAAATTACATTTTGTAAAAATGTGGTAATTTTTTAATTTATCTTTATAAAAAAAAAGACACAAATATTTTAATTTAATTTTAGTTATAATTTTATTTTATCTTTTAAATAAATTCTTCAGTTGAACCGATGATACTTGCATCACAATACTAAATCTAGACTTTTATAATTAATATAGATTATAAATCTTTCATACCATGGATATATATTGACGCATGCCTAATTGGATACAAAATAAGGACTTAATTAAACAATAATGGTATTTTAAGAACTCAATTGGATATAATAAAAATTTTAAGGTTTATTTAAAAAAATTTTCGCCAGTTTAACTAAAACTACCGTTGGTCAATAAACATTACTAATAACATAGCAGACTTTGACAAATGATGTTAGAGAGAAGTCAGCTCCGTAACTTCAAATTTTATATTGCATTTTAATTCCAATTAATCTCACATTTTAAATTGCATTATAATTTATATAATTAATCTCATATAACATGCTAGGTGTAGCAGATATCTTGTGCTCCATATATTAACCTAGGAGCTATTGACGATCGTTGGCTGGCATGTTTGTATATATTGTACTCCCATGCAATTTACAGTGGTATGAGCTGAAGTGTTGAGGCAGAAAACTGATAAATATATCAATAATGGGAGAAATTAATCAAAGCAGTGGTCAGTTCCAAGAATTATGCCCACAATCACCTTGATATTGAATCAAAGCTGAAGGTGGAGTGAACAGTGGAATGTTGCAGAGAGCTGCAGTATCATACCTTGGGCCAATTGTCAGCATTTAGGATCTTTACATCTGTTTTTCGGTTTTTGATTTAGCATCCCCGTTTTCAGGTAGGGATGGAACTTTTGGGAGATCATTGTTAGCCGTGGTGACCACCACAGCAGCCATCTGAGATGCTTTGACTGTAGGTGAACTGACAGTTTTCGCAACTCCATTGGTAATGGATCCTTGTCGATTCCCAGTCTCAGTTCTGACAATTTCAGTTCCATTGCTGAGAGGGCCTCTTTGACTACCTATCTCTGTTCTAGCTAACGAACATTGCGTTTCTGTGATTGAAAAGAGCAGCATCGTCAATATACCAGTAGTTTTGTGCATGGAAAACATAATACACCATAAGATACATATATTTATATAAAAATTGAAAAAGTACACTCTCTGCCACTTTACAGATAGCAATTTACTTCAGCACTCCAGGATCAGAAAAGCGCAGCAATTAGATACATATTACGACTTAGGAATCTCTGCGGGCTGATAGGTGCTGATGCAAACTGTCTCATTCTAGAGAACCTATCAATCATGAACCATGTTTTACATTGTCATATGTGAAAAAATACTTATTTACAGTTGATTGTAATCTTGTAATCTATATATTTATATTTGTATCTCTAGAATTAAATATTTGTATCCCTAAAATTAGGATGGACAATCCCTCAAATATAAGATTAGTTTTTTAGGAAGATTTAATTTCCTAGTTTAACCCCTAGTTAGTTGTATATAAACATAAGATTCTTGTATAATTCATAAGAAGCAATTTTTTAATATACATTTAGTTTCCACACTGATTTATTTCTTAGTTTGTCCACATGGTATCAGAGCTTTAGGCTTTTCTTGTAAAGCAAAATTTTCAGCCCTCATTGCTGACTTTTTTAGGCCTTCATTGCCGAATCCTGTTTAGGCCTTCATTGCCGAACCCTTTCAAAGAAAGATACCACTACCACCCAATTTGAGAAAATGTTAACTGAAAAAATCACTGGAGTGCTACAGATGTCTCATAAACAAGGAGAGTTCGACAGGGAAGAGATTGAAAAGCTGAGAAACTTATTGAAAATCCTTGAAAAGCCTACTGTGGTATGTTCTTTGGGTAAGGTTTCTAGTTCAGGTAAAACTTCTGGTTCTCATGGATTAAATGTCTCGGCTAAACCTATTACGAGTTTTTGGGTCATTGACTCAGGAACCACAGACCACATGACTAATTCCTCACAAAAATTTATTACATATAACCTGTGTCCTAGTAATAAAAAAATTGTTGTTGCAGATGGTTCACTTACCACAGTGGCAGGATTAGATGTTCAAATTAATCCCTCATTTGTTCTAAAAAAATGCTCTTCATGTTTCTGGATTATCTACTAATCTAATATCTATATAAAAATTTACCAGAAATATGAATTGCAAAGTAACTTTTTATCCCTCTTATTGTGAATTTCAGGACCAGAGTTCGGGAAAGATGATTGGACTTGCTAAGGAAAGATGGACTAGACTATCTTGAAACATGAAATAACACAAGTAGTATCAAGAATAGTTTACCTTTGTCATTTCTTTCTGAAAAATCTTCCAATAAAGATAAAATTTGGCTTTATCATTTTCGTCTTGGATATCCTTCTTTTGGAACCTTGAGAAACATGTTTCCTTCTTTGTTTAAAGGATTAAATGTTGAAGATTTTCATTGTGATGTTTGCGAACTTGCAAAGCATAGACGTGTGTCTTTTTCAATCAGTAACAAAAGAAGTTCTACTCCATTTTACTTGATTCATAGTCACATTTGGGATCCCTCTACAATTCTTAATATTTTTGGTATGAGATGATTTATTTCATTCATAGATGATTGTACCAGGGTCTCTTGAATTTTTTTACTTAAATCCAAATCATATGTGAATAATATATTTTTAAACTTCCAAAACATGATCCAAAATCAATTTGGAGTGAGAATCAAGAGATTTAGGTTTGATAATGCAAGAGACTATTTCAACCAGAGTCTATCTACCTATTTTCAAAAAAAAGAGATTATCTATAAGTCATCTTGTGTTAATACTCCACAGCAAAATGGAATGACAGAGAGAAAAAACAACCATTTACTAGCCACAACTCGAGCCTTTCTTTTTCAAGCAAATGTACCTAAATTTTACTGGAACAAAGCTATTCTCACTGTCACACATATTATAAATAGATTACCTTCAAGGGTTTTGAGATTTAAAACTCCTATGAAACTACTCTCATAATTTTATCCCAACCTCAAAACCACAAATAATCTCACACCTAAGATATTTGGTTGTACATCATTTGTTCATGTTCACAGTCATAACAAGAGAAAATTGGATCCAAAAGCGATTAAGTGTATTTTTGTGAGGTATTCTTTAACTCAAAAAAGATATAAGTGCTATCATCCTCCTATCAAAAAATTTTATGTGTCTGCAGATATCACTTTTGAAGAAAATAAACAATTTTTTACTCAACCTTATCTTCAGGGGGAGACTTCATTCATAGAAGATAAAGATAGAGACTTCTTTTTGCTTGATTTGCCCCTTTCTTCAACATTTATACCCATTAATTCTTCTAAGTCGAAACCTATTTTTGTTGAGCCCAAGTCAAACACTGAATTTGAGTTTGCCCCATTCCAAATGCGAAAGATGTGACAAAAGATAATATTATTCTTGATTCTATGAAGGAATTACAAGTGTACTCAAGAAGGAAAGTTTTAGATCCTGAACCAGTGCTAGTCCAAAAATCTGATCCTAACTTTGAAAATGAGGTAACTACAGTTTTTGACTCTGTTTCTCAAAATGAGCATGAATATCCTAAAACTATAACTAGTGATTATGATCTGCCTATTATCATTAGGAAAAGAACCAAAGAATGTACCAAGCATCCACTATACCCAATCTCTAATTTTGTGTCATTTGAAAAATTTTCACCATCCCATAAAAATTTTCTTGTGAGCCTAAACACTATTTCTGTTTCAACTACATTATCCGAGGCATTATCCAATGAGAAATGGAAGCAAGCCATGAAAATAGAAATGAAAGCCTTAAAGAAAAATCAGACATGAAAACTGGTAGAGTTGCCTAAAAAAAAAAATTCAATGGGGTGTAAATGAATTTTCACTGTAAAATACAAGGCTGATGGTACTATTGTAAGGTATAAAACCAGGTTAATGGCTAAGGGCTACATTCAAACCTATGGAGTGGATTACTAGGAAACCTTTGCTCTAGTTGTCAAGATGAATACAATTAGGATTTTGTTATCATTGGCTGCAAATTACAATTGGTAGCTTCAACAATTTGATGTAAAGAATGTTTTTCTACATGGTAATTTGGAAGAAGAAATATATGTGAAAGTTCCACCGAGATTTGGAGGTCATCTAGAAGCAAACAAAGTATGCAGGCTGAAAAAAGCTTTATATGGCTTTAAACAGTCTCCTAGAGCTTGGTTTGTGAGATTTGCCAAAGTGATGCTAGCAATGTGATATAAACAGAGTCAAGGAGATCACACATTGTTTATCAAGCACTCTGATTCAAGGAAAGTCACAGTTCTATTAGTGTATGTTGATGATATAATTGTAACTGGAGATGATGAAAAAGAGAGAGAATTTCTAAAATAGTGTTTGGCTAGAAATTTTGAGATAAAAGAACCAGGAAGATTGAAGTACTTCCTAAGAATTGAAGTAGCTCACTCACGGCATGGTATTTTCATCTCACAATAGAAATATATGATAAATTTTCTGAAGGACACTAGAAAGCTTGCATATAAACCTGCAAATACCTCTATAGATCCTAATCATAAAATTGGAGAAGCTAATAAAGATGTTGCTGTAAATAGAGAGATGTACCAAAGATTAATTGAAAGACTCATTTATCTCTCACATACTAGACCTGATATAGCATATGCTGTGAGTGTGGTAAGTCAATTTATGCATAGTCCTAAAAAAGTGCACCTACAGGCTGTCTACCGTATATTGCACTATTTGAAGGCCAATCCTGGGAGAGGTATCTTATTCAAAAGAAATTCAGGGTTAGTTCTAGAAGCATATACAGATGCTGATTATGCAGATTCAGTAACTGATAGAGGATCCACCTCAGGCTACTGCACTTTCTTAGGTGGTAATCTTGTGACTTGGAAGAGTAAAAAACAGAATATGGTGGCAAGATCAAGTGCTGAAGCAAAGTTCAGAGCAATGACTCAAGGAATTTGTGAACTACTATGGTTAAAGATTATCCTAGAAGACTTGAAGATCAAGTGGGATGAACCAATGAGACTCTACTGTGATAACAAGTCTGCAATAAGCATTGCACACAATCCTGTGCAACATGATAGAACAAAACACATTGAAGTAGACCGGCATTTCATAAAGGAGAAACTAGACAATGGGTTGATTTGTACACCTTATGTATCAACCAAGGTTCAACTTACAGATGTGTTGACTAAAGGTCTCAGTAGTGCAACATTTCAAGAAATTATTTTCAAGCTGGGAATGAAAAACACCTATTCACCAACTTGAGGGAGAGTGTGAAAAAACACTTATTTACAGCTGGTTATAATCTTGTAATCTGTATATTTATATTTGTATCTCTAGAATTAAGTATTTGTATCCCTAAAATTAGGATAGACAATCCCTTAAATATAGGATTAGTTTTTAGGAAGATTTAGTTTCCTAGTTTAACCCCTAGTCAGTTATATATAAACCTAAGATTCTTGTATAATTCATAAGAAGCAATTTTTCAATATACATTCAGTTTCCACACTGATTTATTTCTTAGTTTGTCCACACCATCATATAGTACTATTCCAAAAAATTAAAATTCAGGAACCTTATTTCAAATATCTGTGAAACAAAATGATCTAACTTTCTAAATTCCAACATATCAACTTTATTTATTTCAGTAACCCCTTCCTTTAAACATCCACAAACTTTTGGTAAACTGATTCTTTCCTAGTTATTAAGGAAGTTTTTCAGTGTCGGCAAGGATGGTTTCATCATTTGAAACCTTCTTCCTTTTTGATGTACAGAATATAATTCATTATAAATCAAATTTTCAGAAAAGAGAGGGAAACTTGCCCTTTATTTCTCCGCAAGTGATAAGCCTATTGAGAGAATCTCGGAACTTTGTCAAAACAACTCTTTCCTGCTCTTCATAGATCTCTGTCATGCCTTGTCCATAAGGCAATTGTGAAGATGTGCTGCAGCCATGGCCCATGATCCCATTAGGAGAAGCAGCTGCCATGAACATTGTATCTTGTTCATCACACATCAATGCCAAAGTTCCTGGAGACATAGGCCTTCCCTTTGGCATATCAGCACCATCTGAGCTGGAATCCTCAGGGCCAGCTTTATCAGCCTGGTTGGCACTTGAACAATCATCAGCTGTGGTTTTCACAGCATCAGAATCCTTATGGCTCTGCCACCTGTCTTGAGTGGATGATGCAAGGGAAGTTTCTGTCTGATCTTCTACCCGTTTTTCAGTCAAGCTTCTCTGATCTGAATGTATACAGAAATTGAAGGAAAACCCATAAGATGAAAAAGTGGCACATTGATTAACTTCTTCTAACTGACTCAAAAGTTAATTGCCAAAAGCAAATTCAAAACATAAGGACTTTTTTAGTGGCTTCAACTGTCCAAGTATTATTTCTTACAAGTACTCACTACAAAAAGAATGGTCTAAAGTAAAAGAAATATTTACGGAACCAACATCAATACCAATATTCAAAACATTTTTAATACGGTATTTGTTGACTAAGGAAGTCTCTAACTTTAAATGCTGGCATTATGTCTTCATTTGAAACAAAACTTGTTCCATTAATTTATTTATCACAAAGAAAAAAGTTGTACCATTAATCTTCTTACATACATGTACTTGCAAAGGATTCAAATAAAACAACATTACACAAATTTTTTTCCATTAGAGAATAACATATCAGTAGACAAATACAGCTAGAGATGAATACAACTGCAAAGCAAGCATAAGTTGATCATCACGCAAGATAAAATTCATAGTGTTTTTGGATAAATAAGCACAAATGACCATATGCTTACTCATGCAAATGCATGAATTAAGCACTGATGTCAGGAATTAGACTCTGCAGGTTTAGACCAGTGAATTGAATACATGCATTCCCTTTTACCTTTAAGTGTCTTTGCAGCTTCTCCAGATAGAACTACCAAAACAGAGCAAAGCTCCTTCAAGTCCTGCTTTTGAATTATGTCTGCTAACAGAGACCTTCCACCAAATTGCATAAGTTAGTTTCCCGAACAAGCAGACTACAAATATCTTTCCATCAAGACACTCCATTTACCTATATGTGAATTTTGATGGGCTAACTGCAGCAGTTGTACCAGCACGAAAAACTGGCATAGAAGACAAGAAAGAGGAGGGTGCAGAAGCTCTGATATGATTTGCCTGATTAACATATAAAATAATCAGCAAATGTAAGTTCTAGGAGCATAAGCTCAAACTAATAATGAGAAAGCTTTTATTGGGACAAGTGAAGCACAACTCAAATGTTAAGCAGCAGAAGAAGAATGAGAATGGAAAAATTAAATTCACTAGCTGTGCACGCATTCTTTTCTTTCAAAACAAAGGAAGTATTAGCTTAAGACAAAGTAAACTGTAATTGATAAAAGATTCACAAAGTTTCTCCAAAGACAAATGCCAATAAATATGCATAGACCTGTTTACCTGTGGGAAGTGTCCAAGCCTGTGAATAGATGGATCCTTGGCAGATGACCCAAAGAACAGATCCTGACCTTTTCTCTTCTTATATACTGGAGCGGATGCATAACCAGATGACCCAATAGCTCCAGTTATGGCAGCATTTGCTGCCTGCTGAATATATGCCATATTGTTAGCATGGTCACCATGAAATAGAGCCTGTCTCTCCTCACTTCCCTCAAAATTTTTGCAGTCCATGCATTTGCAGTTTTCGGAGCAAAGAATGTTGGCTTGGAAACACTCACAGTACTTTTTAAGGCACCCAGATTTCTTACAGTGGCATCCTTTGTTGTGCTTTCCCAGCATCAAAACTTCCCCAGCCTCTTCCTAAAAACAATTCAAAACTAGTCCATATGAGAATGCCAATTTTAGCAAGCTATATCAAATCACAAAGGCATTCATGCTATACTTTGAATTGTATATTTTGCTATCAGAAACTCAGCCGAAGTCCTTTTTCCATAAGATAATTTTCCAAGAGTGTAACCAGATAGAATTCAGAAAAGAGGATATCAAATATGTGCTAAACCAAATGCATGGTCATAAATTTCAACAGAAGGATATTGTTTTAAAAGATTCAGTATATTCCAACAGGCCCATCAATAAGTAAAGGCAACAAAAATATGACCCTGACTAGACATGTTAACTAAGCCCTATAAATATTAGTATCTTCAATGATAAAAAAAATTAATGAAAAGATCATGTGGCTTTTTGTTGGATCAATGCTGTGCAAAATCTACAAGGTAACTTTTTATTTCATAATGTGAATCAAAATGAAAAAAAAAACAAAAATCAGGTTTGACATCCATACCCTTTTATCCCGTGCACCATGTGGGCTGCTAGCAATTTTTGGCCTGAATGCGTTTGGATTACGCTCCAGGGTTGCTTCGACAGCATCTCGTCTTGCAGCTTCATTCTCAACATTGTTATAACAATTAACACAATTGCACCCATCACAGTATATGCCAGATGCAAAGCACTCACAGTACCTGGTCAAGGCATTGCATTATTAACTTTCTACATCTTATATCATCAAACACATTGATTACAATTCACATATAAAATCGTTTAATCACATTATATGAACAGAAAAATCATACAAAAAAATAATAAAGGAAACTTAGTATTATCTAAAATGCCAAGGCAAACTGCTTAGATGCTACCAATAAAAGTCATAACCTTAACTTCCTGTCATGCACACTTCTCAGTAGATAGAACATACGGGAACTTTAAATCTAATCAGTGTGATCTATACATCTGTCATAGAGATCCTAAGCTAGAAAATTTATTTAGATACCTCAAGTGAATAGGGTAAAAAATAAGAAGGAAATGTTAGCCTTAAGGAAATATTTTAACAGAAGTATCTGTTATTGAAGCATGCCAAGGGTCTTGGCACATTTGGATGGAGAATGAAGTGAATTTTTGAAAATTGAAGGCATGTTCCTCCTATTTCAGCAATTAGTAGAGTTCATCTTATTTCCGCAATTAGTACAGAAGGAAATATTCCTACACCTTGTACTACTTTCATTTTGAAGCTACTTGGGCCAAACCAATCTAAATGTGGAAAAAAGGTGATGCAAAACTAACTTGTAAGCTAGGAAATACCACTTATCAGCCTGATAAAAGGTGACATTGGATTTAGCTAGGGGCTAGTGATACAGAAATTAATATTGCAAGACATATTTCAAAGAACTATGCATTAACTAATATTGGTACCAAATATAGAAAAGAGTATTTACTTTATTGTTGCTGATTAGTTGTAGTACTCTTTTATTAAAACATAGATAGATATAACACTAAATCAAATAGGAAGTACTAAACTTCCCTATTTATGGCAAAATATTTCCTTCTATTATCCAACTCAACTTTGCAAGTATTTTCTTTTAGTGGCCTTCAAATTCATTGGACATTTATTTCCATAAAAATTTGAAAGAAGAGAAAAATAAGAAAAAAAAGGCTTGAGGTAATCAGATCAATGGCATTGTTAAAGTAGCACAAAAAGATGAACACAAAAAAATTCTTAAGATTATGGTCACAAGACTAAACCTAAACATTTCTAGCTAACCAAAGCTTCTTTAGCTGCAAAATGAGAAATTTCTGTTTTCAGCAAAATGATACACTTAAAGACACTACCTATAACCTAATGAGTATTTCATGAACTGTAAAGTTGCATGTAAGGAAGAAAACCAATTTCTCATCATGTACACGAAAAAGATTGCACGTCTTACGCATACAATATCTAAAATGGCACATGGAATCCAATATAGAAAACTTTGTAAGAAATATGTCACTAACATGTAAAATAGTAACAACAGCTGCTAATAAGATATCCAGAGTAAAGCAGCAGTGAATCATGGAAGAATAACTCATTCATGCCAAATGAGCATATAAGTCAATGCACTTACAGTTTCAGACATCGAGAATGTTTACAGTTACACTGCTTCTGCTTCTTCGGAGTACCATCTTTTAGTTCATTTGGTCTTGGTTTTGATGTTGGGGATTCTGGTTTTCTGAATAGAGCAAGAAATGAAGAAAAAGAATAAAATTAAAGGTAACTAGCTTCAACAGTAAATTTTCAGACAATAACACATTGTAAAGTAAATATCTTCAATAAATGCAACAAATATTTGTGAAGATCAGCATTAATAATCACCATAAGTATTTCATCAGCACTTTAAGATTAATAATCATCAGAGATAGAAAAGGAACAGCAATGCTGAACACATCCTCAGTTGGAGGGTCAGAAATATGAGCATTTCAATAAATGAAATCAAGAACAATAGAAAGAACGATTTTTCCATCCAAATTGACAAAAAAAAAAAAAAGAAAAAAGAAAGAGAACAAGACAACTTTCATTGCAATTAACATGTAAGGAGGAAAATACCCCAAACTGTTATGTCCTAGAAAACAGTACACCCTTGACAAAAAAGACCAATGTTCACACCGTACAGTTACAGCCTATGATCAAAACAGAAAGAATGGGACAAAAACAGGAAAGAACCTAGGAAGCTATATACGGTGACTGATAAAGCTTAAACAAAACCAAGTTCCCAACAAAGCAACTGATTCATTCCTTCACTCCAAAACAATGTTCAATTTGTAAGAGGAAAGGATGCAAAAGCACCAATTAGCCCCAAGAGATCAATTCCCAAAAGAAACCAACTATTCTGTTTAATAATCAGAAGAAAAAATACTCAAACATCGTTCATTTCTTAGAGGAAAAAAAAAAAACAAAATTAAACAGAATTTGATTTAAACATAATTGACTATTGAAACTAAAGAGTTAATTTTGAAGCATGTAAAAACATATGTTACTCAGGATATGGAAGACCGTAACCTAGGCTTCCTTACCATGTACACTCTCAAAAAGGAAAAAAAAAAAAAACAGTTAATTTTTATTAAACAAAAAATTAATCTACAGAGCAAACACGAAAAAAGAATGACAAAATAAAAGAAAAAATCACAAAATTTTATAGCAAAAACGTACACAACCCTCGACGATGCCGTAGTTAGAGGAACAGATTGCCCGGCGGCCACAGGAGTGGTCGCCACTATCTGCTGCTTTATCTGTGGCTGCTGCTGTTGCTGAGTAACTGAAGCCGACGCAGCCGAAGACGAAGCCACACCCATCCCTTGTGTGGATTGCGGGTGCTCAGGCAAAACTACACCACCGGAAGAAAACCCGCCAAAACCGGCCGTGAAATCTAGCTGCCTTGCTAGCTTCTTCGCCGGAAAATCCACCGTACCCGATTGCACATTTTTTGGCGGGAATTCACCTCCTTCTCCTTCCCCCATTCAATTCCAACTCCCCTAAATTTAAAAAAAAATTTAATCAAATTCCAATCTTTTTTCCAATTCGTCCACACGGCCACGGCTGAAAATCCACCACATAATCTCACAAATTGCCTTAAATCAACCCAAATTCATCCACTTTTAGATCCAAATCCCAATCTACAATCTCCAAATCCTCAAATTACAAAAATATCCGCGACTTCTCCAAGCTCGATATTTCCACCGAGTGCTGCCAAAAAATCGAGAAGATTTTGATTGCAATCGGTGCATAGAGAAAGGAGCTAAATAACTCTAGAAAGACAAGAGTGGGTTAAGGTTTTTACAGCAGTGATTTTGTAAAACAAACAAGGGAAAAGAGAAGCAAAAGTGGAAGGACCTTTTTTATTTCGTTGTTAGTGTTCTGCTTCTCCTCTTCTTCCGCTTCGCTTCTCCTCCCTCTCTCTAGCTAAGTTTTGAAATTTCAATTTTTTTTATGTATATTGAATGGTGAGATTCGCTTGAGTTTTCGATCGACGGTCCACGTTGAAAGAATTAATCTGACGGGAGAAATTCATAGGAGTGAGTGTGATAAGTTGCTGACCGTTGAATCTGATTAAACGCAAGGTTTCCACAAAAACGGTGCGGGCTACTTAAAAGGCAGAGTGTAAAGTGAGATTGTGACTATAGGGTACGGTAGTGACTTCCAATCCAGTTTTGACACGTGGAAGATATATTTGGAGATTATCTGAATGACGCTAATACTACTACCATTTACTATCTGGCTTTGTTTGTTTTAACAAAAGTTATAGTAGTAGCATTAGATATCTGATTATGAAAATAATTTAAAAAATAAAAACAAAATACTATAAAATTGTGAATATTTCAACAAAAAAAAAAAACAGAATACAACAATACACAACACACCTACTTGATAAATATTAGCCTATCGAAGCGAAAAAATGGAGCAGGGATTTATAAGTTAGCACATTGTTTCGAGCAAGGTTTTTGTCAGCTAGTACATTGTTTAAACTTTGGTCCATTAGATTTAAATGCAAAGTCCTGTGCAAAAGTATGAACAAAACACTTACCTTAAGACTTTTAAGACACGCACCTTACAAAAATGACCAAGAACGTGTTAGTGAAAGAAGGAGATGACAGCATAATGACTTGAGTCGATTTGCAACGTAGAGTTTGGTAAGACAGAAGAACAACGCCTCCAATCTCTTTTCTTTAAGTCTACACTTAATAACAAGAATTTTTCTTCAAGTCAACAAGCACAATAATGAATTTAACAGTCAACTCTCACAAATTTACCAAATGTTTCGGGGGTAATAGGAATCATAAGCAAGAACTGGAATTAAGTCCTAGCTGTCTTGTCAACACTTCCCTCAGTTTACAGAAAACACAAGCTCCATGTAAACCAATATCTAAAAGTTCTACCCTTGCTAATATGCGTCTCCCATTCTATCTCGTCCCACACCCCGATGATCCTCTCGTCCTCTTTCCAAATACATATCCCGACGATATTCTTTTGGCGGAGGACCACCCCTGATTGGTGATCTGCTCCTCTCTCTCTCATCACGTGGCCATCTGCCACGAGGAGGAAGCTGTGGAGGTGGAGATGGTGGTCGTCTCTCATACCCTTTCCTTTCATTGAAGAAGTTATCCCTTCCGCGATCTCTATGTCCCCAATCCAAAGGCAGTGGCCTGTCAAATCTACTCTTCCCCCTGTAGTCATCATCTAGATAATCCAGCCGATCTCTACGCATGCTATGATCAGAAAACTTGCCTTCATGCCTGGGAGGTGGTGGACCACCAACTCCAAAGTCTCTGGGGAACTCCCTAGCCCAACCACGAGGAGGAGATCTAAACCCATTCATATTCCTGCCAGGCGGTGATAGATACCTGGGAGAGCAAGGAAAGCGCCTGGGAGGAGCATGCGAAGGAGGAGGACCAGGGTAGCCTCCACGAGGACTTCCCACAGGTGCATAGCGAAATCTCCTGCAGTTGTTACAGTACTCTCTCCTTGCAAAGTTTAAGTTTCCACACCTGAGACATGGTGAGGATATAAAATAAAATGTAACTTCCGATGCTTCAAACTTACAAATTCATAAGAAAAGGCACTAGACAGAAAATAGGCTAATTATATAAAAAAAATCTGTCATCTGTGCCAGGAAAGCAGGATTAAACTTAAAACAGTAAAGATTTATAACTCTTGCTGATTAAAATACAACTTGTCAATCAATTAAAATTACACAATCTATGTTTGTTTAGAATTTTGAAGGACAAGAACTGGCAAAAGAATGCCTCAACTGACGCACAAAAAAAAGCAGGGAGACAAGGCATAAAAAAAATGCAAAGCAAGCAGCATAAAAATATTAAAAAAACAAGAAAACTAGAAACAAAGTTCACATCATGAAGGTCAAAAACTTACGAAGGATCAGGGCATATCCAGTCTCCTTCCCGAGGATGCACATTAGGATTATTTCTAGTCATGCCTTCACCTCTGAAAGGTGCAGGACCATATGCAGTCCCATCAAAACCTCTGCTATTATGTGGCCTGCCACCACCTGGTCCTCGACTATAAGGAGGTGAAGAGTCTCGATATCTGCCAGGATCCCTCCCATTACCAAAATCACGACTTCTTGATGGGCCACCTGAGCGATCAAAATTGGAACCATATCGATGATCCACATCCCTGTGACGTACAGGAGAACTAGAACCTGCACGAATTCTATATCCTGGAAAAAAAGCCAATAATGCCTATAGATAAGCAAATCCAATTCAATAAGGGAAATATTATGGAATATGATGTATTTATGATATTGGAAGACTTATGGCTAGTCCAATGTCCAAATGACCAATAAAATAAAGTTTGCAAGGACTGTTACCACCAGTCAAGATCTCCTCATCATAACTACAGAAAGAAAAATCCAGAATAGAAGGGATTACTTGTTTCGAATGTTAACTGTCCTTGTCACTTTCAAACACAGCATTTTACCAGCATCAAGCATGTCAAAACCAGGAGTGTTACCAACACCCAACATACATTAGAACAGCTCACAGTCCTCAGGAGGAAAAGAGGCCAAGTTCTAGACTCAAGCGCCAAAATCGTCTACCTTGTAAACCTTACATGCTTAAAGATGGATTTTCAACCTAATATCTGAGCTATCGACCCCAAAATCATAAATCTGGAGCAACCAAATTTGATACAGTAGACGTAGAAAGCAGGAAAAGGACAGCATCTACATCCGCAGCATGCAGATAATAAAATGTACATATACCTAATACATGATAGTCCAACACAAAAACCATTAACCACCAAAATTTATGCCTAAAACCTTCATCCAAATTGCATTAATAAAAAGCAGCAGTCTGAGCAACAAAGCAAAACTAAAGGGTGTAAACCACCAAAGAATATCCACCCATGTGGAAATAGAAAATTAACCAGTAAGTCAACCACCACCAGATTTTATGCTCTTCTGAATAGCTCATCCCAGCAAACTGTTTGAAAAGGTTCCACCATTTGACACTACAAATTACCACCCAAACCTGAGCTCATTATCTCTATACACGACTTGGTGGGTAGAAAGTAGAAACCAACAGGACTTCTTCCATACCCAAAGCAGCAATGCATCATTCACTGACCACTTTTGCTAAATGCTTATATAACCAGTAACTTTGTCCAACAGCTTAACTACCCCATTAAACACAAAATTATACAGAAACACACAAGATGCCTCAAGAAGATAGAATATAGCACATGAAAGATTTCCACAATATCCCATTCACCTGTAAAAGAATACAACTAATCACAAAAATTATTATTCTAAAGCCATCTAACTTAAACCTATTTACCCCTTCCAGAGGAAAAAGAAAAATTAAATTAAATAAAAACCACAAGCAAACCAAGTAAAATTCCTTCCAAAGTGTCCCACTATCAGTTTACCACATACTCCACTATTGAGCACTTCCACAAATTAACAAAACCAACAAAATTCCAGGAGAGACAGAACTCCATTCCCACCAACGAAATTAGTTATCATGGCCCAATACTGTCTTCCATTAAAACATACACTGAAGGCCTCAACTACGCTAGTTTTTCCAGCCAAGAGACCAACCTTACCATTGAGCAGACCCAACTGGCTTCCCAAACCATTTGATGCTGTCAGTATTTCATTTCCCATATCATGCTTTGCAACTATCTTGAAACGCATAACCACAAACCCTTTAAAATGGCATTTAAATTAGCATATCAAATTAGATATGATACTCTATCGAAGCCAACCCCATAGTCACTATCTTCAAACTGTTGCCCAATCTGAAACTAGTGATAATAGCTTCAAAACCGAGATGCAATAATTTGTCTTCCATGATCAGCATCACAAGTTCTTTCATCATACCCAACACATATAGGGGCATTTGGCACAAAACATTAACCCCTAAACATAGAAAAACAATTAACCCCAAAAATGATCCAAGATTGCACTCACACCAACATGCCTTCGTCAAGACCCAAGTTCTTGCAGGCAACATTCACAGCTGTAACACACAACAGCAAAATTCATTCTCAACTCAATATTCCATAAGCGTATTAGATCCACTTGGTCAGCATGCAACATAAGGAAGAGATAACAGGCTGTACAAACCCAACTGTTATGTAACAAATACAGTCATTGAACAAAATCATTGAACTTTAATAGTCACCAAATAATGTTACAAATCTCACTCCGCAAGAACATAAACAATTGAGCATTTAAACAACAGCTACAAGACCCTATATATGCTTATACCATAATGCAAATGTGTCAATAGAGAATCCTGGTAAGAGGAATACCAAAACAGCACAAACAGGACAGGTTACATGACATTGAAACACAAATATAAACAAAACCTTTTTATAACCTATTTCTTACTGAAATGTTTCATCAAATTTACAAAATACACTGCAATTAGGCTGTTTGCCTCACTGCTATGTTTCCTCTCTCGGGAACATGAATCGTATTTTTGTTAGGAGCCCCTAAATTCACTGAGTAGCCTATTTATCATCTAATTACTCCTCAATAGCACAAATCACTAAATGCAATTAAAGTCATTTAAGTTCATCAGTGCCATCTAATCAATCACACAGTATATTGCCCAATTCAATTTGGTTTTAAATCCTATTTCGATCTACGGTTTTAACTTTCAAATCACAAGATTCATTTTACTTTCAATTAAAACAACGTCGCAAATGTAATTTGAACTCCAGATTATCAGTAGATTAATAAAACACAGAAACAAAATCAAACAACAAATAGAAAATTAATTAACAAATTAACAAAAAGGAAAGAAAAAAGAAAAACGAACCAGGCTCATCATTGTGTCGATCAGAGCGAGAATAAGGAGGCGGCTCGCGTCGAACCTCTCCAGGCTCGTAATCGCTACCACCGCCACGGCCTCCTCCTCCGCCTCCACCGCCAGCAGCTCCGTCGCTGGCCGAAGGCCGCACAACAAGGCTGCTTAGGAGTGGCTGGTGATGCGAGGTCGTTTGGTCCTTGTCTCTAGACCCCATTTCTCTCTCTCTCTCTCTCTCTCTCTCTCTCTCTCTCTCTCTCTCTCTCTTCCCCTTTGTATGAGAACGTTTGTCTGATGACCAATCGCCGAGATTTTGGATACTATGGTGTGGGTGAAGTATATAAACCCTAGCACCAAGTACTTGATTTTTCGGCCGTGGAATTACGTGAGAAGCGAGAGCTTTTTTTCGATTTTGCAAAGGGACTTCCGGAAAGTTCGTTTTGCCCCCCGATGTTTCTTTTTGTTTTGAAATAGCCCCCGGTGCTTCTGAATTTTGTACTTTCTCCCTCAAGTTCTTCTATATATTACAGATAATTCCTTTTAATTTACGTAACATTAAATTTTCATTAAATTCTTCAATACTTTTTTATTATTATTTAATTTTGAAGTTTATGATTTAGTTGCTAATATAATTTGAGATTGGAAATTAAGGATAGATTAATAATTTTTAAAAAATATAGAATGTTTTTTTAACTAGGATAGTTTAAAATATTTAATCTCAAAATAAGTACTTTTAAATTTATTTTTATAAATAAGGTATGTTATGTCATTTTTTTCAAAAGAAAATAACAAATCATAAATTTTTTTTAAAATAGAGTTCCTAATAATAATTTTTTCCAAACAAAATCTTGGTAAAAATTAAAAAATTTTTTTGGTATTTAATCCTTTTTCTTTTTCAACCCTATATATATATATATATATATATATATGTAAACTCAAGCAAAATGTAAGATCAAAATCCACGTCAAGCATGAATCTTTTTTAGTTTTTGCACACTATGCTTTTCGGTTTGTCTCTTTTTCATTCGAATTTTTGTTAAAGAAGCCAAGCTACTCTTCATTATTACAAATGGATGATTTATCATATAATCATTTTGGGTCATCAAATTTGGAGAGATGTGGAGTGGGTAGGGGAAGAATGACATCTCACCGGCCAATTGTTTTAGATTTTCCAACATATAAAGAAACTACAAAACTGGAAATTCGGGACAGGGTGAGGAAAAGAAAATTGAAGTGCATTTTTCCTTTGTGAAGGTATATTTGTTCACGAGAGGAGGCTTTCACAGAGATTTTTCAAGTTTTTTTTTTTTTTAAATATTAAATTATTAATTTTTTTTTATTCAAAAAATATTTATAAATATTAATATTATAAATTTTTTAATATTTTATATATTTTTTAAAATTTTTTCAATCTTTTAAAATTGACAAATTGAATGAAACCTTTAAAAAATTACTTTGACTTAAGACCTAGCTTATGAAAAAATTTAATGAAAGGCTAATAGGCACAGCAGATTGTGATCTCATATTTTACTAACAACCAAATTATGTTAGCAAGATCGCACAAAGATCCCACCAATATTTTTTGCTTTCTTTATAGGTCTCTAAACATCTTTTTTTATAAATAAATATATTAAATGGAAAGAATTAATATCTAATGGCCCTCCTACTAAATTATTATGAAGGATAGAAATGTAAGTGTCATTATCTCTTATGACAATAATTAACGATAAGTGCGTGCTTATAAGAATGATTTTGGCAAAAGAAGATACGAATCGGAGAGAGATCATGTGAATATATATATGGTTGGAGGAGAGAATAGAGAAAGAGAGGAGCAGCATTTTCACTTTTAACATGCTAATTTGGAGTCTTCCTAAAATGGAATCCTGACATAAATTTAGACAAACAAAAATATTTCTATTTTTAAAATAAAAGTTTACAAAGTACTAAATTTAATTCAAGAGTGGAATTATTTATTACTTAAAAATTTGTTTAAATTTTAAAAAGATTTAAATAAAAATTTAAAATTCATTAAATGAATTTAAATAAATTATTTATAATTATTTAAATTTTGAATCTATATAAAAATAAAAATTGAATTTGATTTAAATAAAATAAATATAATTAAATATTATAATTATATAAATATATATAAAATTTTATTTTAATATTATATTTATTTTATATTTTTATTACATAAAATATAAATATAAATTATTAATATCTACTATGAATTCTATTCTAATCCGACCTTATCCGAGAATGAACACCGTTAAAATGTACTTCCCTTAGAAATTAAGATTATAAATTACTTAACCCTAGAAAAAACTTGTCTCCAAAGTGCTTTAAAGCATGAAGATATTAGCACTGCATTACGTAACAACGACTCTGCAGTCTCTTTATGGCTGCAACAGGTTCAACATTTCGCCACCTGTCTTCTCCACGACCGTCGAAATTAAATTCCCCATACACGAAATGTCTAAATTACCCCCACTCACCGTCTTCTTCCACCCACTTGTCACCTTCCCTTTAAAGATAGGTGTCCACCTTAAAAAAAATAATAAACAATTGGGACACCAAATCAAACCCCCTGGTTTTTATCGTACGGACTGACAGTGAGTTCATAAATCACGTTTCTTTAAGACACTAATTTGATTTCCCAGATACGTAAATGTGTTTGAGCTTCTAATCAACATGTTAATTAACTTAATTAATTTTAATTACATTAAAATAAGCTTTATTAAATAGTGTGCTATAAAATTTGTCTCTTTCTTGTGCTTTAATTCTGCCAGTCTCTGTAGAAAAAGAAAACCATTGCCTCCGCTCTCTTTCCTTATTTCTCATAAACCACCTCACCCGGCGCACGATAGCACCCAGCCATATTTTTTTTCGTTTTTATTCACTTATAAATGACGAGAGAGCTTTCTCTCTTTTCTCGAAATTTCGTTACCTTACAGTGAAAGCGTCACCAAAGTTCTCTGCTGATTTCTTACGCCAGATCTATCAAAACATCTTAAGCGAGGTGAATTTAATTTTACCTTTTTTTTTTTATCAAATATTAGCTTGTTTAGCGTTAATCTTCGTTGGTTTCTTTTTTTAATGGGCATTCCGTTGTACGGTTTATAACTTAATTTGATTTTCTGTTAAAAGAAAAGCTAATTGCATTTGTATTGATTGATGAAGGTGATCTATTTTAGTTTCATAGTTTTAGTTCGGTTCACTTTGGAGATCCTTTGTTTTCCTTTGCCTTCCGTTTGGTTGTTAAGAAAATCAAGGAAAAGGGAAAAATGAAGTGACTGTTGAACGGTAAAGATAGAAGTTAGCTTAATTTTCAGGTTTGTAGTGTCAATTTAAATTTCTGGTGTAAATTTAATCAAAATCAGAGTAAGATCATTTTTCTGTTATTGTGATGACACTAAAGAGTTGTTTGCTTTTTATTTACATAATTGCAATCTAAACAGTTATCTTTCAGTCGATTATATGATTTGTTTGGAGATTTTGTTGAACTTGTTTGGTTGTTGGAAATTAGCGTAAATTACAAGCTGTTGAGCTTGAATGGTTTAACTTTTATATTGAAGTTCTAGTACAGGCAAATAAATAAAGCTTTTTATGTTAAACGTTTTTTTTATGAACGAAGGAAATTGGATTTTGATGTTCAATGCTAATTTATGTCCTACATGCAATGTGACAGTACGGCCCTTACAAAAACGAGCAAGATTGAGTGATTTGAAGGCCAGAGCTGGATGCACTAGTTTGGCATGTGGGGACGTCAACGTTAAGCATTCTCGATGTACAAGAGGATGCCATCAAGAGATCATTCAGCTGTAGTGGATGTAGAAGAGAGCTCAGGTAAATTTATCTATAGACCAGCTGAGGGTCTCTGCACAGCCATGGCTGTGGAGTTGAGAGACCCAGAATCAACAAACTCCAATTTGACTCTAATTGCCTGAAGCACTTACTTTTATTGTTCCTGTGAGATGGGTCTTTGTGAATTTTGTATAGAGAAAATTTTTTACCAATGGCAGGATTTTGGAATTGTTTTTCTTCTTTTCCTGCATTACATTTTTCAGTTGCAGAATTTTTTGGCTCTTTTTAATTGATCCTTCAGAAATTGGCATTTGGTTATTCATGATGTGAAAAACAGATTAAAAATTTGCAGTTGTTTTAGGATATCTAACTAAATTAGGAAAAGTGTTACTTGAATTAATTCTTTTAAATCATTATTAGCGTTTATTGTTCAAGTATTTAAGAAGAATTTTGTTCTTAACTATTGTGTTTGTTTAGCTCTCTTACAGAACAGCGCGGATGTGGAAACTACAAATCCTTCATGGTGGCTTTCTTTCCCGCATGTAATAGTGGCAACCATTTCTTCATTCCTGTTTGGCTACCACCTTGGGTTTGTGTGCTATCTTAAACTGCCATCTCTGTATTTTCCTTATTTTTCTTGTTACTCATTTTGATAACCCTCATAACAAGACTAGGTGTTTATGTTTTGCATATTGTCCATACTATACAGCGTAGTTAATGAACCGCTTGAAAGCATCTCTTTAGATTTAGGTTTCAGTGGGAATACCCTGGCTGAAGGTGACATTTTTTCTCAATCTTTCTTTCCTTTTTCTGACTTTTGCATCTAGAGTCTTGACTTGTAACATTATAGGCTTTATGATGAAATGTTAAATGTAGGTCTGGTGGTGAGTACATGTTTGGGTGGTGCTCTTATTGGATCTTTGTTCAGTGGTTGGATTGCTGATGGTTTTGGGCGTCGTAGGGCATTTCAATTGTGTGCTCTGCCTATGATTATTGGTGCTTCTACAAGGTGATATGCAATCTAATCAAATGCTTGTAATGAATGATTTTGGTGCTATGCTCTTTATTTTATTTGCTAATGCTCCTAATAATAGCTTGTGATTTAAATTTAACCCCCTCCCTTTTTTTAATATATTTGTTTAACTTTGGTGCAGTGGATTAAATTTTACTTTTTATAATGCAAGGAATATGGATTAGATATACATTGATAACCTTTAGAAAAACTTAAGACTGAATTCAACTCTATTATCTTGAATGAAGAATAGGTAGGACATTGATTGATAGATGTTAAACAATTATTTTTCTTCTATTTTAACCTGTGACAACTTTTTACTCTGACTAACAAAAATTTCATTTTAGTGCAACAACAAAAAGTTTGGCAGGTATGCTCATTGGAAGGTTCTTAGTTGGGACTGGAATGGGACTTGGTCCACCTGTTGCAGCTCTTTATGTGACAGAGGTTTTCACACTGTTAATTTTATGTTGCATTAATCACGGACTTTTATAGCACTCTCTCTTTTGTGCATGAACATGAACTGTGTTTTGTCTGCTGATATTATGTACTCAATGTGTGTAGGTTTCCCCTGCTTCTGTAAGGGGAACTTATGGAAGCTTCATCCAGATTGCAACATGTCTGGGTCTTATGGCAGCTCTTCTTATTGGAATCCCTGTCAAAGAAATTGCTGGCTGGTATGAATCATGCTTTAGGTATCACAGTATCTGTTATTCATATGTTGCTTTTCAGACTTAATTTGCATAATTTGCTCAGGTGGCGCATTTGTTTCTGGATCTCCACTATTCCTGCTGGATTCCTTGCATTTGCTATGATGTTTTGTGCAGAGAGTCCACATTGGTTATACAAGGTTTGCTCTCTGATTTGCATGATTTGCAATTCCAAGATAATTTTCCATGTCAATCTTAATAGTATTATATGAGTGTTGAATCAAAGCCTTGGATATTGATTCTTATCATTTTTCCCTTTTGCATTATTCTAATCATCTGATTTTATGTTTGAATATAAATTGTTTCCATGCCCTTCTCTACGTGTATGTGCGTTGCTTCCTCACTTTTAAAGATGCAATTCATGGTTAGAATCACTATCAATTTTTACTTAGATCCCTTTCTGTCATGTTATTCTATTCTTTCTACTTTTTCCATATAAAACTGCACCATTATTCTTTTGAAGATTTTCCAAGATGCCCCCACTGCCTGTAGCATGTGACCAAATTCGTTAAAAACAGATTGTCAGTTTTATTAAAGCTCATGCTGAAGTAAAATGATTGCATTGTCTTGGTGGTGTCCTGCAGCAAGGAAGAAGCGCTGATGCTGAAGCTGAGTTTGAGAGGCTTTTAGGTGGATCACCTGTCAAATATGCCATGGTAGAATTATCCAAATTGGACAGGGGGGATGAAGCAGACACCGTGAAACTCTCAGAACTGCTCTATGGCCGCCATTTCAGAGGTAGATATTTCCATTTCTTGCTATGCTTGTAAAAGGCTTTCTGAGTACTTTTTTGGTATCTACAGCTGCTTTCATTGCTGCTGCCACCACTGTTGCTTCCTCTTCTGCTTTGCTTCTTTCCTTTTGGGCTTTGTTATTCATGTTCTCCTTTTGCAGTTGTTTATATTGGGGCAACCCTATTTGCTTTACAACAGCTATCTGGTATAAATGCTGTATTTTATTTTTCATCATCTGTCTTTAAAAGTGCGGGAGTACCATCAGACATTGCGAATGTGTTAATCGGAGTTGCAAATTTATCAGGTATATATTTTTCCCTTGATAGCTTTCTTGCCCACATTGTATTATGTTATTTTTCCTTGTCTCATGATGCATGATCTTTCCTTCATGATAGGATCTATCATTGCGATGCTTTTAATGGATAAACTTGGAAGGAAGGTGCTTCTTTTGTGGAGCTTCTTTGGCATGGTAAATAGCAGTCTCACTAATTTTCTCATGGAAAGCCCTTTCATATATACACAGTATTGTAAGAGAGCTACATGACGTGCAACCAGAGAAATGAAGAAAAGAAGGCATATTGTTTGCCCATGCGCATTAGAATTTACATCCCTTATGCTTTTACACGTTTTGTCTTTTGTGCCAATGGAAAGGAGCCCTCATTGGTTAAATTTTACCATGCATCTCAAGTTTGAAACAAAAATGATTATTTTTAGTGAAAGAAGCTAGTATATCATTCTTACAAGGAATTTGGAAGTACGGTTTTAAGTTACACTGCTGCTACCATGTTTGCGTGGCTCAGCTAAAGCAAATGTTTATTCTCTTTTCTTGAATGAAAGAATGGAAATTAATTTTGAAAATTGGACTTTATGTGTGCGTTTGATTTTTTCAGACTATATCAATGGTCCTTCAAGTTGCTGCGGCAAATACTTATGTGTCTGGCTCTGGATCTTTATACCTATGGCTATCTGTTGGCGGAATGCTAATGTAAGTATTGCTATAATTCACTTGCTTTTTAAAAACTCTAAACATGAAGATTTTATATGGCGTGGCAGAAAGTATTCAAAATTTGTGGAAGTCATGGTTGGAAATCTTGGTTGCAAGTTCAGTGCATTTGGGTCCTGAGACCTGAGTCCCTGACTGAACCTGATCAATGGAATAAGCAACAACTTAGAAGTGGAATTGATGTTCCGCAAATGATGAAAAGATTATCAAATATATCTAATATTAGTCTTTTTGCATCCAGTCAGCATAAACCATGAGGCAGAACTTTCAGTAATTGATTATGTCCTTCATTGTGGAAAACTGGAAATGTAAATTAACTATCATGTAAAATGTCAGCCTTGGTTGCTGGAAGGCAAATAGATAGATAATTTCAGGAAACGGACTCTAATTTCGAACATTGTGCAGGTTCGTCTTAACATTTGCACTAGGAGCTGGTCCTGTTCCAGGTCTCCTTCTACCAGAAATTTTCCCTAGTCGAATTAGGGCAAAAGCTATGGCATTCTGTATGTCAGTGCACTGGGTAATTTACTTCTCTTCTCTTCTCTCTCCTTTCATTTTCATTGTTGGTTGTTTGCTTCTCTTCTTCCAAGCACGAATTAGTATCCTTGTGATCGTGACAGCTTTTGCAATCAAATGCAGCTAGCTACACAAGCTGGGATATCAAACTGGAATCTTGCTGCTATCTTCTGATGGTTTTTCTTGGTTGCTTTTGCATTGCTCTTTAGGTAATCAATTTCTTTGTTGGTTTGCTGTTCCTGCGTTTGCTGGAGCAACTTGGGCCGCAACTCTTATACTCAATATTTGCAAGCGTTTGCATGACAGCTGTGATCTTTGTTAAAAAGAATGTAATGGAGACCAAAGGAAAATCTCTTCAAGAAATCGAGATTGCTCTTCTCCCACAGGGATAGAGGTATATTTGCATCCTAAATTTTCTTGGCGATTCAATCTCCGATGTTAGTTATAGAACAACTGCAGAATACCCACCTAACACGTAAAATGGATTTGCTTGTACCATATCACAAGTACATGTAGTGCTGAGAGAGGGAGATACTTCTGCCTATAAATAATTCCTTCTGACATGGTGGAATGAATTTATGTGCAGGTCAAACATAAATCTTGATTTAACAATAGATTTCATGCAACCAACTTTTCGTAGACAGATGGGTGTTTGACGTAAAGTTACGGTTGTAAAAATCCATCTGGCCCCTTAATTCTTTCGGGCCAATGTGATCTGTGGGGGGCTTTATTTTCTCATAATATTGTAGTAAGACCGATGTATTCCGGCCTCAAATGATATAAGAAGTGCCGTCGATAATGCTAAGTGACATTTGTATGGGATCTTTGTGGTTCACTTCATTTCGCTTGATTCTCAGGTAACATTGCATTTCTTCCAATCAGCATATCGTTTGCATGCGCTTATAGAGAATTGACTTCAGGATCACGCGACACAAAATCTTCGATTTCTAACTTGTAAGTTGAAACCAAAGCAACCCATGACCTTAAACTTATAGTGAGTAATTGATAAATCCCAAGAAATTGCTTCTGCAATTAGTACTTTCAATCGAAACCTAACCTCAAACAAAGACAGCGGAACGGTTTCCCCACAAAATGAAGAAAAGTTGAGAGCATTGCCTACAAGGTAGGATTTTGAAAGGAGTTAATTTTTCATATTCTACATTCAATCACTGGGGATGAATTTGTGATTTATTTCTAGTTACTAGCTTTTTTCAATTACTCAATGCATACTGAACTGCTCCATGGATGTTACTTAGTCCCGGTTTTCACTAACCATGACAGTATTAACTAGAAAGATGGATTTTAATAAAAAGTTGGGATGAGAACTAATAGGTTAAAGGTGTTTTCCTTATGCCTTTCCTCAAATAACTAAAATAAAAAAAGGGATAAAACTTTCGTTTTACCACGTGTATAATATATTTTTGGTTTTTACAATAAAAGGAAAGTTTGACAGATTCAAGATTTCTCACCTTGCTAATTTGTGGTTTTAATTATACCTTAAACATAATGGAATAATATAATTTAAGCATTCACCAAACCTAAATACAGACCAAGCTCAAAAGAATTGAATAGAAAAACCACTGCTGGTGGTCCTGAAATTAACAGGGCCAAACTCATCGAAATCAGAGTCAGAACCCATATCATCATAATCATTCCACCCACCAGGTGAATCCTCATCATGGCCCTTCTTTGTGAGAGGTAAATGCACTTCAGAAGCGGGAAGTGGAAGAGGCTCTTCACTAAAATACTTGTCATTGAGAAGTTCCATTGTAGTGCCTCTATTAGCTGGGTCATAACAAACAAGTCTTTTGACAAGAGAGATTTCATCTGGGGACCGGTTGGGTCAACAGGCTTCTAAACCAGTAGGATTTTCTATCTTGGCAAAAGAGATTGTTCTGTAATCAGGAAGTTTAGAACAGCTTGGCGAGACTTATTCAGTCAAGTTTCCTAAAACACTGATGATTCTGCCAAGCTGACCAATGTAAGAAATCCCAGGGAAAAGGGCCTCGAGGGTTCTGAAAAAGTACAACGCAATGGTCACAAATTCACATCCAGTTCATAGTCTATGTTAGAAAAAATAAATAACAGAAGATATATAATAAAAAAATAATTTTAAAGCATAAAAATATTTTTTAAAAAATAATTATATTTTTATGATACAACAAAATCTTAAACTTTTTGATCAGAAGTAGTGAAAATAATTATATTGAAAAAAAAATTTATAATAAATGAATAGACATAAATTTTTATTCAAATAGTTATGATTTTTTATATAATTATGATCTTTATGAATAATAATATATTTATATTCAACTAATTATGACTATTTGTCATATGATAATTATTTCTGTTCAAATAAAATTATTTAAAATATGAATATAATTAATATAAATTAATTTTATTCATCAATAATTAAATCTTTTTATTCAATGTGAGATTCATTACATTCTAAATTATCAACAATCCCCTCACTAGTTTAGAATATTTGTGCTTAATTTTTACCTTTCACATAAATAAATATTATGAATACAAGAAGGTATCTCTCAATTTAAACTTTCAATTAACGTATATATCTTAAAATTCTAACGAATTTGATGGTGTCCGCAGATTAAACATCAACTCCTAAAGTTAGAATTAAACATATAACACATATAATACTTATTATTCTTCTGTTAGGGATTTATAATCACTTTTAGTACTATTATAGCCATGTACTTATCTTATTCATAAATATTTACAAGAGATACATTAATTTTTCTTGTTAAAGTAGCACTATCTCTATGTTTATATAGGTAAAATTTTCATTATGTCTCAATTGCTTTAGACATTTAAAACTCCAATAAGAGTGTAGAAACTTATCATTCTCATGTAATGGATCACACTAGTTTCTAAAATTTGAATGGATTTTACTAGTGTTTAACAGATACATAACAATAATTTATTTTTACCTATTAAACTTTGTAATTAAAGGTTACTAATTCAAAGTTTGGTTCTCATTATTGATGTATAATAGTAAGTGTTTTAAATCCATTCTACTTGTAATACTACTAACCAAATATCTTAAAATTTAATTTTTTTTATGGTAATTACTCTCACTTAAGATTGAATCTCCAATAAAATCACTTTAAATTAATATGTCTAAACTTTTTATTTTGCATATCATTTATATGCTCTAAACATTATTGCCTCATTCTTATCATTATAAAAAATAGATGGTTTTGGTTATGGCCACAACTATATATTTATTAATTTCGACTATTCTATTTCCATACTTTTGCACATTTTTAATACAATTATACTTCTAATACAATTAGATAAACTCACTAAATAAACCAAAATTTTAGTCTTTTTAAGACTTTTAAGGACCTTTTTAGGACTTTACTTTAATAAGTGTTTAAACTTATTAGCTTATATAATTTGCTCATAAAAGTATACTAAAATCTTACAACACTATGTTGATGATTTTTATTTCATTTTATTCTCATCACTCCCACCATATGCAAGTATGCATTCTTTTATTAAAAAATATCTCATTCAATTATCAAAATATCATATATACTTAATCAAGTTACCATTTCATTTATCTTTTCATTATTTTTTTATTTTTTTTTAGTGGGAGGCCTCCAAATCCACCCTTAGTGAAAGATAATTAGCTAATATCTTAATATTTTAATAAAAGTTTCAAAACTTTTATATTTTAACTCAATATAAGAGTTTGCATTAATAAGCAGATTTCAAATATAATAATATTTCTATAATTTTTTTTAAGACTTTTATGTCAATTCATAAATATTTATATGAATCTATTTCATCATGGACACTATTAATAATTTTTTATTACAATGAACAAAACCATTTTCATCACCCAAATGGATCAAATAGCATTCTTTTTGCTATTATAAAAGTTTTCAAATTCACAAGATCTTTGAATTACTCATGGCTTTCAAAGTAAATATACTTTGAAATTTTCACTATATAAAATTATAGATGATAAATCATTTATACAATCCATAAAGTAGACCATATACATAACAAAAACTACCACAATGTGATTAAGATTGTGGCATCAATTTTGGCTTATGGCTATTCTAAGCCAACCATAATAATCCAACTTATACTACAAAACATGTAGATTTGGCTATTGAAATTATTTCATTTATAATGATGACTTTTAGTAACAACCAACTATCTTAAATGTTATCATGAGTTTTCAATGCATATATTAATTGTCCATTGGCCGATTCCAAGTTCATGATTATTGAAATCTCTAAACTTGATTTCAAAATTTTATGAGAATTATTTCTCTACCATTGTGTAGCCTATATATTTTTGTTATTTATCTCTTTTAATTGATAATAACATTTTTGAATATATAATAAATTCAAACTTTACTCATAGGACCAATATGCTTATAAACAATAAGAGTCTATAATGTATTTAACTCCAATTTCAAATATTTTCATAATCATTTTGTGACAATATGTTCATATCTAGATCATCATATCAATGCAAGTCATGAAACATGAATCAAAAGAATCATTTTTATAAAATATTATAAACAATAATTATAATATAAGTTCTACTCATATTTCATGAAAAAATTCATAATGAATTTGCATAAGTTAAATCATTGATTGGCTAACTCTAAAGCTTACAGCTTTTACAAACCAATATTATTATCTAAACCCATATGTTAATATGGTATATAATGAACTACATCCTTGCCATTGTCATGAAACTATTGAAAATCTCGAAAACTTGTTCACGTTTCATTTTAATAGCTTGCAAAACGTCATTTTTCTAAGTATAAGAAGTAAAAATACCTGCATTGTCTTTAACCAATAACGTATTAATTAGATGATGGCATTTTATCTTCATAGTCCATATATTTCTTATATATATAAGAAAGAAAATTCTATCACATTTAGTTCATTTTCATAATATATGATAATTGTACCAATGTTTTCCATGCCATCACAAAATAAAATTAAACATATGCATGTATTGGTGTTTTTGGAACATTGAATCTGTATGTTATTTTATAATTTATAAAATGCCTAATTAGATATCGATGAGCATCCTTCAAAATGCTAGTAACTGACAAATGCTTCAATATTTTTAATAGCATGCCTTTTCGTTTAATCAATATCCCATATGCAAAAAACAACAATGCTTTTTTTTTTGTAACAATTGATTAACTCTTTGACAGTTTTTTTTATGATTTTCACTTTGTGAGTGTTCACAATAAAATTTTATTTTGTAAAATCACTTCTAGTGTAATACACCCAGCAGGCAAAATATATGTCACACTATTCATGTTTATGATAATAATCACTATTTGATTTATTATCCATCAATTAATCCATAAAACACCATATCTTAATAATAATTATTCGCATATATTAATTTAATTTAAAATTATTTTCATGAAAATTAAATACTAGTCAAATTTTGAACCAACAATAAATTTTAAATATATATATCGACATTTGATTTATAAACGACCAACAAATATATAATCATACAAATAGCTTAACTCGACTTATTATTTCAATTTTGGTGCCATGATTTAATAATAAAACTAATATTGTAGCCAAATCTTATTATTTTGCATATAGTTTCTACTTGCATCTAATTTCTTATGGTAAATTTCTTTATCCATTTATGATTGTTTTCATAAAAATTATAAGACAATTTTTCTGTTGTATATATAATCAAGACATGACAATTAAACAATCGATCATTCCATTAAAACCTAATGTAATTTGTTATTTGATAGCAAGTGATAATTATTTTGATCGTAAATCAATTCATATCTTTCTCTTTTATGTTTTCAGGCTATTTTCCATCCTAGTCTTTATAAGTATCGATTTTTTAAATAAATATAATATAATTCATTAAACTCAATTGTTAAGTCAATTTCAATATATACATAAACTTATACAATGTAATCAATATTTTGCACATTGTGTTTTGACTTTACACATTAATGAAATAAATTATTAATGTGTTATCTCATTCAGTCAATATCTTTACTAGCAGTTATGTAAAAAATAAAATACATACATTTAATGAAAATCTTTATGAAATTTAATATTTTGATCTATAGAAACATTAATCCTTTAACATCTTGAACCTTCTCTAATATTGATCTCCAAATCATATCAATTTCTTTTTCTTGTATCTTTCTCGTGCAAAATATAAATTTATCATAATTACCTTTAAATTGTTAGAAAAAATAAATAAAAAAGATAAATAATAAAAAAAATTTCGCTTTAAGACGTGAGAAACATTTTTTTAAAAGCAATTATGCTTTTACGATATAATAAAGCTTCAAACTCTCTAATCAAAAGCAAATAAAAATGATTATACTAAAAGATTTATTTATAATGAATAAACAGATATAAACTTATATTCATATGATTATGATTTTTGTATAATTATGATATTTATGAATAATAATCTATTTGTATTCAAATAGTTGTGATTATTTGTCATATGATAATTGTTTTTGTTTAAATATAATTATTTAAAAAATATATAAAATTAATACAATAATTAATCATCAATAATTAAATCTTTTTATCCGACATGACATGAGATGCACCACATTTCAAACTATCAACAGTATGCGGATCCATAGAGTAGTTCAGGGGCTCTGAACCAGCGAGTGCCAACACACGATGTGAGAGCACCATGTCTGTCATCCCCACCGTCTTCAGCCTCGTATGAGTAAGACTCTTGAGAGGATCATCTTCTATGTCACTTATGGTACCTGCTGCAAGCCAATATGTGTCTCTGTCATTAATATTTGTTTCTTTGTCAGTTTCATCCATGGCATGTCGTTTGGCCTTGAGCTCAACTAACTCCCTAAAATATTCTTCTCTACTCATATCTTCCTCTACTTGGTTGTTATATCCTCTATTGGGTAAGCTGCCTGCTTCATGGACAGCATCTAATGGTGGAGAAATGTTTTCCTGGTATCCTATGTTCTGCTCAAACGGCTGTTGGTTATCATTGTCAGCAACAAATCCAGGCCCCATGAGTATCGTTGCCTGAAAACAGAGCCAAACAGACATATGACACATGGAAGATGATAAGTAGAACAAATTTACACAGTTCTTTTGTAGACTATAATTCTACTTTACATTCTTGAGAAACATTCTAATCACATGCAAACAAGAATATTTACCAGGGCAGTAATGCAGATGCAAACAAGTTATTGTCTTGAACACTTGAAAATTCCAGGTTCATAAACCTGCCGAGAGTGCCATTAAATTAAAGCAAGCTCAAAATCCAAACATTCCCAGACTAAAGATAAGAAAATCGAATAAAAATTACCTGGCCAAAATCAGCTAACTTAAGAACCCGATCATCAGAAACCAACAAATTCCCAGGCTTTAAATCCCGATGAACGATCATATTCCGATGACAGGCGTCAACCCCACATAAAATCTGAAGCATCCATCTTTTAACTTCTCCGAGTCGGACCCCACCTTCCTTCCTTTTGGCTTCGTGAATAACCACCGCTAAATCGGTCCTCAAGAACTCCAAGACGACCACGGCGTCCTCGTATTCCCGCGAAAAGTACTCGTGCAAGACGACGATGTTGGGGCAGTTTTGGAGCATTTGCAAGGCCTTGATTTCTCGGAACGCCGATTGATAGTCGTGGACTTCCTTGAGGGCAACTATGAGGTTGTCGGAGAGTCGACGCGCCTTGCAGACGTCCGACTAGGCACCAGAGCCAACGCGCTCTAGGATCTGGCAATTGGCGACGATATCGGGTCGGGTGTGAATGCTCCAGCTCTTCGGTGATGGATGCTCCATTTTGTTTTATTGTCTTCGTTGCGTTTAGAAGAATCAATCTGACGAGGATGAGGAGTTAGAGTAAACGGCATCGTTTTGAGAAATGGGTCACTTACTAATTAATCGGTAGGGCTTGCATCTTTTATTGGGCCCGACATCAAAGCCCAAGAGATACAAAACAAGGAGAAAACAATGAGGGGCGGGAGTGATTCAAGTAATTTACTGAAAAATGAAATGAACTACTCGGCTGAGCTCCAGTCGTCAAAATCATCAGCCTTTCTTTTATTTTTTGGCCAGTAAAATCATCAGACTTCAGCACATGGATTTCTGGGTCTGGTTTTTTGGTTTCTTAACTTTCTTTTTAAATTTGTTTTTGAGAAACTTTATCCGGTGCGGTGGTCGTTAGTCACGCTGGTTAATATGATGTTGAAAGAAAGAAAATTGTAATAAATGCATTATTTTTTCTTGAATTTAATAAAAATAATGTATTGAATTAAATTTTTTAAAATAATAATTTAACTATCTTTTTTTTTTCCTGATTTTATAATTTTCTTAAAAATGTGAAGGGATGGTAAGGTTTCCTACATGTATTTATTATGCCTATCAACTTCCTCCAGTTGGCCAGTTGTTATTTATTATGATTTTCAGTCCTTGTCCAGAAATCCCATAGTTCCGTCCGTACTTGTTCACGCTTGTATCACTAGGGAGACAAATTGAACTTCAAAATTTGGCATTCTTAATGAAATGAAGATGGGAGATGATCAGACAAAACTCCCAAAAGTGTCCAGGGACAGTGAAATGGAGAGTGGTAATCACTTGGAACAATCGAAACCTGATTTTGTTATTAAAAGTTACTTATTGCTTGTCTAATATCAGGATTTCTTTTAGATTATAATGTCACCGAATTAACTATTTTACAAAATTTACTCTTCTAGTGATTCCAACAACAATCTGAGATAAAGTTGATGCACCATAACCTTTTTCCTTCTTTCTCTTTTCCTCTTCTTCACATGGGGTAATGCAACTTGAAATAATACCTATTTTTCAGGGTATATAAGAAAACCCAGTTCAAGTAATAGTTTTCATCACAAACAAGATGATGAACCATGACAATTGACAAGACAGCCCCAATATTGACACAAACAGCAAGGAACCATGAGAGTAACTCAACAAATAGGGAACATGAGATATTCTAAGTAAAGGGTCAAAAAATGAGAGGTGGACAAGGACTTTAACAACATATTTTTAATTCATACTTTATAGCGAGTTATATTTCTGCAGAAACCACAAAAATACAGTTTAGAAAGTAATACTGATAATACATGAGAGAATGAACAATTCCCTCTGTCCCTCTTCCAGTCAGTTTCTTGGTCCACTACATGCCATTGAGTCCCCCAAAACATTAAAGCATAGTATGAAATTTCCTGTCAGGAAGCAGTAATTGTCAAACACCAAAATGATCTTCATCAAGAACTAGCAATCCCCAACCACTATCTCCTAATTACGCATCACATCCTCCACAGACCAAACTCCTGCAATGGTTAAGTTGAAAGATAGCAAATAATTAGTAATATTTGTAGACAAGGTAGTGAAACATTTGTTAACTGGTGTTAGATTCCACATCAGTGAAGTTGAAAGATCATGGTGAGATCAGGTCTCTTCACCAATAGTTACTTTGTTTTCTGCTTGGATTGCTATCAAATTGACAGAAGCTTCTAGGGGATGCCTTAGATGAGTCTAATCGTGTAAAGTGATCTGAATTCATAGGAAACTTTTACTAGATCTGATCCTATAAGAAAAGGACATCAGATAAGGTGTTTCATTCAAAGCCTTTCCCAAACAGTTCATTTATGCTCTCTACAGGACTTATCCTCTCCACAACCATCAGGATTCTGTAACCTTAACTGAATTTATTTATTATAATGGTACAAGACAACTCAATCATGTGCCCTATGTCTATAAGAGAACACTAACATACTAAGTTTTTTACATGAGAGGATTATGTCTTAAGCAACCATAAGTATCAAAAGAGAAGAAATGGTATACTTACGCAATTGAGCAGCCAGACCTTCGGTGCCTTTTCTTCCTTACCACCTCCTTCCTCCTTGGGGGTTGAAGAACAACCTTGATTGCCGTATCAAAAGCAGATTTGACATTCTGAACAGTCAACAGAGATGAAGTTGTATTCATTAAAACATTTACAAAACAATACAGAAACGAGAAATGCTGGAGATGGAAAAGACAACAGTACAAGCCTTAATACAGCGACATCGAATTCACCTGCTGAGTCTTGGAGCTGCATTCAATATATGCTGCTGCACCAATTTGTTTCCTCAGTTCCTCTCCCTGTGTAAGCATGATCTGAGTGAGCTACTTCCTTCATGCCAAAGGGCAAATAACGTCCACAAATAAATTTACAATTAAGTTAAACTTAAGAAAAGGATACCTGAGCAGATGTTATAATATTCGACCCCATTTGATCAGCAAGATATGCTCTATCCTCCCGAAGATCTGATTTATATAGAAACAACATAATCCGATGCTATTCATGAACTCCCTCCGTATAAAAAAACTTATGTACATCATTATATGACAAAATTCTCAAAATAGATGCCTACCTAGCTTTGTCCCAACCAGAACAATTGGAACATTTGGGGCAAATCTACGCAACTCTGGCATCCACTGTTAACAGATTAAATGGATAGTTTAGGATATTGGATATGACAAACTAAAAACAGCTCGTGACTTGATGCTGTTAATCCAATTTTCAGTCACCGAGATAACAATAAAAATCTTTTGTTCTAAGAAAGAGTATAAAAAGCCAACAATCATTTGACTTTAATTTGAATTGAAAAAAATCCACTTTTTTCAAACATGATCTAAAAGTACCATAACAAAAAATACTTTTTTTAGAACAGAAGAGAAGTTAAAAGTAGAAAACATTGGCATCGAAAAATAGTACCTTCTTGAGAACATTTTCGTAGCTTGCTCTGCTAATTAGCGAGAAAGCTAAGACAAATATGTCTGCACCTCGGTAACTCAGTGGCCTTAACCTGCTATAATCCTCCTGACCTTTAAATCAGATAAAAAGAAAAGGAAAATCAATTAGAAATGAAGCATCAAGCAAAACCCACCAAATCTTCGACCAATGATAGCAAGCAGCAAAGAAGAACTAAAGTTCACATAGCAAGAAAACCTAAATACCTGCAGTATCCCATAAACCCAAGTTAACAATGCTCCCATCCACAACCACATTAGCACTGAAATTGTCAAACACTGTTGGTATATAATCCTGACACCAATAAAAGCAAAAAACAAAAAAAAAAAAACTGAGATTACTTAAATTGCACAGGTAAGGAAACACTATCCAGTGCTGCAAGACAATTCTGAGTTTGAAAAGCCTTAATGGTGAAATGACTTCAAAGTACATAAAAACAACGAAAACAAATAAAAAAAAGAGTGAAGGAGGTATTTTCAGGAGGTGGGTACTATGAAAAACTTACAGTTGGGAACTTGTTGCTAGTGTAACAAATAAGCATACAGGTTTTTCCAACAGCTCCATCTCCAACTGTAACACATTTGATGAACTTTGTAGCACTCATGATCTCTTAAACTTCCAACTTGTACAGAAATAGCAGTAGTTCTTTAGCTACAGCACTAATGTATATGTTAAAACTATTTGAAAAGTTGAGGTAAAGTAAGCAAGGTTCTTCAGAGTAAAAGAGTAAAAAGTTAAACAAGAGAAAGAAGAGAAAAGTGTTTTCTTTAGGTGAGTTGAAGAGTGAGACGATGATATATTATAGATGCTGTAGTTTCAAGAGAACAAGAAAAAAAACAAAGCTTATGAGAGAAGTAATCATCTGTAGTCAAAGGGTGTTGCTGCCTTTATCGTCCCTCTCAATAGATTTCAAAAATCCAACAGAAAAATTTTTTGAATTGCAGAAAAAATGGGCCCCTCTCTCAAACGGGCACCTATAGCTATGGCCTTTCTTCATTGTTGTTGGTTTCCAGCTTGTGATTTTTCACATTATTTATTACTGCTAAGGTTGGTATGATTAAACAAATAAACCTCCAATGAATTTATACAACTGTTAAAACACTGGCTCATTGAAGATTGATTTGAGTACGGACCTAGAAAAGAATGTTATGAACAAATTTTAAAATATTTATCCAAGTTCCAATCTCCCAATTCAAGTAAATAACTTGAATAAACTCGATAGCTCAATATTAATTTCATTCAATTTTGATTTAAATACCAAAAACCTCAGTAAATTACTATATTAATTGTAGTTCTACAGAATAATGGCCAAAAGGTGATCGAAAGGACCTAAAAAGAAATTATATGGGGCAACATCATTTTCTTAAGGCCCAGAACAAAGATGCAACAATCCATTACTAAATGCCTTTTCTGTACCTGTGCTCCAAAAAAAAAAAAAAGAACACAGTAACAGTAAAGAAATGGTTTCTTTAATAGTTCCCAATTTTAAATATTTGAAATGAAAGGGACCGTTAGATTTCATTCAATTTAGTACACTAACATATATTATGTCCTCTTGTCTTTTGTCCTTATTCATCATACACATGCAAGCCATTGCAAAAGACAAAATACATTAGCCATATTTTTTCTCTGCTTGGTCCAAATCTCTTTTTTTTTTTTTAGGTGTTTTTTACTCAAGTCTGTAACAAATAAACGAGGGTACAAAAAATTGTATTTTTTCTTCATTGGTCATCAGTTTTCTACTTTTCTTGAAAAGAACGACCAGTTTTGGCTTTTGGGGGACTGTGAAATTGTGTTTCGTGTATTAATGTTTGATGGCAGGGTTAGTTGGGTTTGTTGGCATTAATTGCTTAGCAGGCTGATTTGGTTGCTCTTCTCTGCATTGAAGAGTTCAGTTTAGTCACTCACCTACCTTTGAATTGCCACAACTTGGATTGAAAGAAAAAGAGTTAAACCCAAACCTGAAAAAGAAAATTATGTGTTCTAATACAAGGAATTCAACTTAAGTTCAGTAATAATTGGTGTGGAAGGACTATCCTCTCTGTTGCTTTACAGAGGATAAAGCAAAATTTGGGGCAATCTGGAGCATAGAAAAGATCTAGCTGTCTTAAACCAAACTTACACTAGATCTTGACAAACCATCACTTAAAATAGTGACAGTGTCCAGATTAACTGAAGGGACAAGGTCTCCCTTGATTTGGGGATGTTTGACGAGTATATGCAAATTCACTACTTCATTTCACTTGCATTTGTTTTGTTTTGATAAATAGTAACTCTTTTTCTCCTTAACATATTCTATTTCAGTTAAGCAGCCCTTCCCCTCCCCCACTTCGGGGGAAGTGGGGCACAATGTGGAGTGAAAATGTTACTGTTGAGCGTCAATCCAAAAATGGACACTGCTGGAGTAAAAAATTTACTTTTATCATCACTCATAACGATTCAGGGGCCTCACGTCCAAAGAATTAGATTTGTCACAGATTGCCTCGGAATGCTGATATTTCATTTTCCTCACTCTTCTTTGGCTAAACTCAAAATAATGTAATCTATGATACCTATCTTTATACTTTATTTCAAAGTCTAGTTTATATTTTGTGTTTCAATCACTCACCTATTCCATATTTTATAATAATGTGATATTAAAAAAGAAAAAAAAAAAAACATTTCACTTCTATGGAATTGAAAGAGTCAAAACACAGACAAACAAAATTGGAAGTTCATGCTTTGGGGATTGAATCTGATACTCTGGAATTCCAGAAGGTTAACCTTATCTCATGAGTGGTCACAATAGATAGACCATGTAAACAAGCAAATATTTTAGAAGTATTTTTTATCAATCAAACGTATGAAATTTGTTAAAAATATTGCTACAATTTGTTGAAAGCAAGGCCTAGACATGTCCATGGATTTGGCAGGTCAAGTCGGGGCCCAAGATACTATTTAATTAATAAAAATGGTTTTTATTTAATTTTAATTCCTTCATTTAATTAAATATATTAAACTATAAATATCAAAAAAATATTTTAATATTTTAACAACAGTATCGAAACTATTCAAGTTTGACCGGACTAAACTAGGTCCTAAATTAGGTTTTCAAAGAATCAACCAAACCCAATCCAATCCATATATGCCTCCAAGTCTCGCAGCATTTCAAAAGGCCATTGAAGAGCCCAAAAAAATTGATGTGGAAGTCTTCCTTGCATCGTGAAACTTGAAGATGCTGATGATGCAAACAAGTGCTGAATGAACTTCCGAGATGGTAACAAAGCATTGGAGAGGTTAGTCAGCAAGGGATAGAGCCCGACAGCAAACAAATCACGATAAGTTCAGTCCGTCATCAGGCTTATATTTAGATGAACAGTTTTTGGAGAAGAATAGTTATGCATCAAACAAATAATCATTCCCTTCGTTTCTACTTTCTAATTCTACCTAGCACGTCCTTTTAGCATGGAAGAGGCCCTCATAAAATCTTGAATGTACCATTGGTCGAACTGCCCTCACACTCTCTGGACGGATGCACTTATGCGGAATGCAACTGAGAGACCATACAAGAGAGAATCATCAAATAGTTTTGAATATATATTATAGCTTCCAATTGATCATAGTTTTTGCAAGAGCATTTCCTCTAACCATGCCAATCATGGCATTCTCATCATGTCAAACAAACGAAAGAAATTGAAGAAAGGTATTTATTACCATAACCATCAAGTACTACATAAAACGATCCGTATTCATAGCCACTAGCCAGTATAAAAACCAAATGATAGCTTAACAAGATGACTAGGAATTATAGGGCCAAGAAGAGACACCTCCGTGGACAAAGCAACTCTATTCTCTAAAGAGCTTTAACAATGTCATCAGCACTGGAGACGGTAAACTCTCCTCCAGATTCAACATTTGCAGCCTTCACCTTGAGGTCCTCGACCAAGAGAGCAAACCTCCTGGAACGAGTGCCAAGCCCTTTCTCACTAAGGTCAAGCTCAAGACCAAGAGCATGGGTGTATGTTGCTGAACCATCGGCCAGAAACTTGACATCTTTGTTCTCGGGGTATGTTTTGGCCCATGCCTTCATCACAAAGGGGTCATTCACTGCAAAAAAACCAATTCATGACCAAAGTCAAATTACAGGACTTTCACAAATGCTACAAAGCCAGAGCTAAGTCCCCTTACCTTTCAAACATGAGAAAATTGAATTCCTGTCAACAGTCTAAAGCCAAATCTGGTAATCAAGTATCAAAAACATAGGATGTGCATTCTATTTATTGTAATTTCTGTTTTCAAGAAACTATATAGACATTTCACTATAAGATTTTCATTGAAAAACATTTCATAAGGCAAAAGAGAAAACAGTCTGGTTATAAGATTATTTACTTTTTGATTCCTGGAATGTAATTATAAAGCAAAAATAGTAAAACTAAGAAAATTATATTAATTGAGAAAAAAAAAGCAAATAAATAAGTAAAATAAAACTACAAATCCTGCAATTTATTATATAGGAAAAACTATATATTTACTTTTTTTAAAAATACAAACTCAATTTCACTTTTACTTCAAGAACACAATTTCCATTTTTAACCAAGAAATGAAGATTTTATCACAGCAATGACTTCAGCATTCTATAACAATACATTTCTTAAATACATGATAAAAAAATGACTAACTCATGAAAAATGAAAAATTACCACTGATGCAAATAATCTCATCAACACCCTTGGATTTAAGCTCCCCTGCTTTCTCGATGAACCCAGGCACATGTTTCAAGCTGCGTTTACACCAAATCAAAGCCCTCTATTAAAATATCCGCTAAAAAAATACTAAAACATAATCGGCCCCGTTGAGCGGCAACGAATGGTTAAAACATGAGAGGAAGGAGAGAATTGTTTACCTGCAAGTGGGGGTAAAGGCACCGGGAACGCCAAAAAGAATGACTTTTTTCCCGGCAGCGAGGGAGTGTATAGATACTTGCTGGAGGTTATCCTCAGCGTCGAAGTAGGAGAGAGAACCGTCCGGGAGCGCGGCACCGACAGCAATCGGGGCCATTGGATAAAAATCGACGGTGATGATATTAGTGCTGTGTTAGAGACACTTGATCGGACAGTGATAAATGAGGGCGGAGGAAATGAACGGTAATAAGCGAGGAAAGGGGAGGGCATTTATAGGGTTTTAGCTTTAGGGCGTTTAAAAAAAAAAAGAGAGAGAGAGAAACTCTTAGCTGGATTTTAATTACATTTGCAATCCGCAAATCAAAATTATGGGAGATAAAATATATGCGTGGACCCCGCATCAAAATTTTCCAATGATATTTCGCCACGTATTGAGAATTCTCCAAGTTTACCGAAATAACCTTTAAGTAACGGATGACTTTGGCTTGTCTGTGAACCGTTATGCTGATGCTGCTGACTGTTTCCCGTTTCTGAGGTCAGCTTCAACACCACTCAAATGGTGTAGCAGCATTTCCTTATTTTTAGGGTCGCCTTCTTTTGAGTGGGTGAATTAATAGACCTCTCAAATATATTAAAAAAAGGTTACTTTATATTCTTGATTTTTTTTTTTTGGCGATTGCATGAATATTCTCTTTCAATAAATTTTTTTTATTCAAAATGTTTGAATACTAAGTTAACAATGACATATACATTAAAGGAAATGCTAACAAATAAGATAAAGCTTATAAAATTTTTTTTATAAATAATATATATTTCTGCTTTTGAAATTGAGAAGAATCATAATACTTTAAATAAGAAAATGTTTCCTAAAAGAATATTTTAATTGTCCTTAATTTAACCTGTTAACTGCAAAATGCATTGGTAGACAAAAGTCTTGACTGTTGTCATGTTTAGATGCTAACCCAATTATTCCATTGACAGTGGTTGAAACTGCGACTTGAAAATCAAAATCTCGATGTTTTAAATGGTTGATATTACGCTTGAATTCAGTTAAAAGAGAACCACAAGAAAGAAATAGATATAGAGTTAAAACCGGAATGGAGAGATTACACTTCCCATTTGGAAATACCATATGACAAAAAGAAAAAGACAATTTTTTTTTTTTTTAAGAAAAAAATTCATTGTCCGTCCATTTAATATATAAAAAGTAATTATGCAGTCATGACAAACTATAATTAAACAATAAAAATTATTTTTAGCCATTTGAATTTTTATATGAATGGTACCATCATGAAATTAATGATTTTACAATCAAATAAGAACATAAAAAGTTATGAGAATTTTAGGGTTTGTGCTCTGGCATTTTTTAAAAAATTTTAGAATCTCTTGAGTCTTGGACTAAGTGATATATAACATCCTCCTCTCCTCTATTTGCCAAATGCCATTTTCTGAAATGTCAGAATTTCCTCCAATAATGCTAAGGGTTCGGATAAATGTATATTAATGTTCATCTATATATACAATTCTAAACAATTATTAATTGTTTCCAAAACTTACAATTCAGTTTGGTGCAAAGTCAATTCATAGAATGACAACTAACAATTTAGGTTGAGCTGAATTTTGTACAACTTTCACTGGTTTTTTTTTCTTCTTCCAGGGTTTCCAATGATGGTTATTTGAATGGTGCAAAGCATATGTCAAATTAGTAAACAAGTCTATTAATTCGTAGGCAATGTGTTCTCTTCCCCATAGTTTACAGCATCCTTTCTCCACGTTTTCAAGCGTTTAACTCAATCCCCATGCCTGCAGAAGAAATAAGCTTTGACAGTTAACTATCACATCAAATAATTCAGCTTTAGTGAATGTTTGAAGGTTGAAGCATACATCAAATATTGAAGACAAAGAGGGAAGTAAGATCTGTTTTTGTTTTTTTTTTTACCTGAATTCTGCCATCAGAAGTTCCGATAACTAAAACTTCTTCATTAGCATCCAGAGTCATGCAAGCAATTTTACCATTAGTTCCTGTTTGCAGTGTTTCAATTCTAGTTTGTTTTTTCTGATCCCAAACTTCCACAATTCCTCCTTTGCATCCCAAGTATATCAGCTCTGAGCTTATTGCCATGGACCTCACTTCTGAAGTAGTTGGCAACGATCCTACCATATTATAATTTGTAGCGCTCCAAATCTTTCCAGGAAAAATAAAAGAAGATCAAAAGAAAGTATAAGTCATTGCTTGTCACCACAATGCAGAAAAGGCAAAGAAGGAAGGGATAGCAAAAAAGAGAAAGGAACCTTCACAGCTACTCCATCCAAGGCAGTGCTGGCTGAATATACGTGTCCGTTGTGAACCTGGAGTGCATGGACAGGATGTGCTTTGCCTAGTAATTTTCTAGAACCAGTTTGAATGGTACTGAGTGTTCCTGACGCCAAATCAAGTTCCTGAAAATCAAACTTCTTTGATTAGGATTTCAATAATGACTGAGAAGAAATGAAAAACAATGTGTCCAGAGAGATTAGGTACAATGATGCTTTTAATTTTGTGAAAGAAAACCTGATACCTGGATACCGTTATCATGGCATCCACAATATAATCTTCCATGTACAAGAGCCAAGCACTTGATGTGTTTATTTTGATTCAATAGTTTTGATTGTCCATTCCATCCATGAACCTGCAAGGGGTAGGGATAAAAAGGTTAAATTCAGTTACACATTAAAGTTCTCCCTTCAGATGCAGATAGCTAAGAGAATAAGGACACTCCTTGTAGAATTAAGCATGAAATGAAAACCCAGCACAAAGAGGAAGAGTGAAACGATCTGATACCTTGACCCCAGCTCCTTGGGGAATGAAGCATGAAATGCTATTGGCAACAACCAAGTTGTGAACCTGATCCTTCATATCATGTACTTCTACACAATGTATTAGTTCATTGCCAATGGACCAGATCTGCTCATTGCAACAAAATGCATCAGTGCGCCATTGAGGCGGATGTAATCTGGAAGAGGCAAAAGAGCATACCCTTGCTGTTTTATCAAGTGAACCACTGTATAATCTCTCTCCAGATTGTAGAATATACAAGCTTGTAACTGCCTTGCTATGTTCTTGAATTTCTTGGACAAGATGAAGAGTGCTGCCTTTACTGGTCCAGACCTTCAAATTTTGAACAGAACAGTCAAACTCAAGTATCATAACTTTCTATCAAGCACGGTTTCATAAAATAAAGTTTTTAGTTCAAAAATAGTCTTAATGTGTTCATCTTAAGTGGTTTACTCAAGACTTTATTCTACTGTCAGGTGAGGTAATCATCTGGATCAGTGCTAAACTTGTATCATCAATTAAGGGCTGTATTTTCTCCAGAAATAAACTCCACGTATATGGAGTGGCCAAAAAAATTCAACATAGGAGAAGTGGCCTAAGGAACCTATTGAATCCTACCGCTTATTCATTGAAAGCTCACATAGATAATGGTTTAACCATTTTCTGGCATATGTCTGTACCACCATTTAAAACATGAGTAGAACTTCATCAATGCAAAAAACTGAAAGTTGTCTTCATACAAAAGGATGCAAATGCAATTTCTTCTTTTAATATATTTGCAGGATCTGATTTATTTGTATATAATTGAATATCCATACACATACTTGCATACAACAAAGTTATAAACGGTTGTGCAATGAAGTTAGTATAATTATTAAACAATACGTGGAGTTCTGAAATATAACATCAGAGCAGAGCGTTACCTTTATAATTCCATCTGAATGGCCTGAAAAGAATTTGTCTTTGAAACTAACAATTGACAATACGTCTCCATTTCCACTGGAGTCTACTTGAAATAATTCTTTGTGATTCCATAAGTCCTACAGCACAACAGAAATAGACAAGTTTGCTTATATACTTCATTCTTCACTTTTTTTTTTCCTGGAATTATTAATTCAGAAGTTTATCAAACATACAGCACTGGAATCTTGTCCTTCAGAGAGAAGTTTCATAATTTCAAATGCCAGTGGGGAGGATTTCCTAAGCTCTCTTAGAACTTTCAAAATGTCCTTCGAATAGGAAGTCAGATCACGCAGTCCTTCTGAAATTCAGATAACTTTGCATAGTTAGCCAACTTCAGAGCTAAATTAGCTGATCTGAGCAATGAGCTGGTGATTAATTTCCCTTTACAGAAAATTCACTATAATATCTTATTGCTTAATCCACCATATGCTATGAAAAAGAAGTCATGATTCTTATCCTGATGGCACATAAAAACGACCAAAAGATGAAAAGAAAGGAAATGAGGATTTCAAGCTCGAAGGGTTACTTGAGAGCATTTTACTGCAACTTTTAAACAAGTATGAATCTATCATTTTTACTTCAAAAATTAAAATCTACCTTGGTCATGAATGAAGCTTTTGAGAGCCAACAAGGAAAGAGTTCGGTCGTCAATGTCCTTTGCAGACTTGAATATTGATATAAAGTGCTTGAGTAGGCAGACACGGGCTGCTCCTCTTATTCCTGTGTCTGGAATAACACTGAGCATGTATACTAGCCATGTTGCTGCTACAAAGGACGCCGAACATAACTCTGCAGATCTGCTCTTCAGCCCTTCTGCCAGAGCTTCAAAAACCAGACCGAATTCATGACTTACTAAAACAAATGCCGTTCTTCTTTCCCAAGCATCAGCTGCCTTCTCTTCGTCCTGTTGATTCAATTGTTAATTGAAGTGACAAAAGAAAAATGAAAAGCATGTAATAGATGCAATACACTAAACTAGCAAAAAATGGTGAACAACATAAAGTTTTCACTATTTTTGAAATGACTCACGGATATATCTTCCAAGTCTCCGGGATTCTTGTGTAGCTGCTCCATCCGCATGAGCTTTCTGTAATTTTTCTCGAGTCCGGCACGTTTTAGAAGAAAAGGTCGTGTAAGGGGCTTCCCAGAGCCAGTGAACCTTCCCTGCAGTGATACAATTGTCTCTGCAGCTGCAATTTGAGCAGCAGGGAATTCTGAATTTCTGAGGCATGAAACAAGGGTATCTATTGCCTCTTCACGGTATATACTCATTTTTCTTGGCTCAGCCTAGAAAGCAAGAAATCAATTATTAGTTTAATGCTACCATCTTAAGAGATGTAACCATCTAAGCAATTATGAAAGATTGTTGAAGTCAATTACTGTATGAAATAGACAAATCATAAAGCCTATAGATACAGATTTCTTATATGTTAAATTCTGGAGGGAGATATTAGGACCAAACCAGAAGATCAATTTGGAGCAAGAGACCAGCCACAATAGGACATTGGTCTAGGAGTGCGGTCTGTAAATAAACTAGGAGAGTGTGCATTGTACTAAAAGCGCCTTCATCCCTGATAATGTTGAGAATTTGCTCATTGAATGTCCTCCTGGAGAAGACAAATTCATTCATGCAGGCATTAGCTCAAGATTCATCGGCAAGAAAGGTGATAATAATGTATATTGACTAACACAAAGATAAATGTACCTCTTTAATTTGACTAACTCAGACAAAAAGCAAACTATCTCAAATCGTTCTTCATTGCTTGCGCCCATGAAGCTTTCTAAAACTGGAGCCAACTGAGCTTTATCGGCTATGATGCTTCTGCATTTACCATCTTCTTGTATGCATCTTCTTAAGATACCAACTGCTGCAATCCTTTCAACTGCCCATTCAGCTCCTGAGCTGACAACAATACTTTCTATCACTTTTGAAGAAAAAATCGTACTGATAATTGAAGATGCAACATCCTCTTCATTACTTTGAAGAATTTGTCGCAATAAGAGAACAGAAGCTGTTTTTGGCTTCAAACACATTTTAACCAACTCGTCGTCTTTCTCCTTTATAACTGCTAGGAGGGATTCCACAATATCCATCTTCACTAGGCCAGTGATTGAAGGTCGTAACAGATATATTAACACAACTGCCTCCACCAACCCTTCCTTAAATAGAGCCACAATACGTTCTACATCAGAGTCAACTCGGGTAAGTGTATGGATCACAGCTTCATCTCTTGACCCCAGTTCACACAGGAGAAAAAGGGCTGCTTTCAGCACCGGGAGGTCGACAGAATTGAAAAGGATCTCCACAAACCCATTGATTACCGGAGGTTTTGAGAGCATATTTAGGATATCAGGTTCTATATTCATTTCTTGCCAAAACCTCTCTATTTGGAGAACAGCCCTTTCTGTCTCCTTCAGACTTTCAGACATACATAGATTGGTAATCGCTTGGCGCAACTCATTGATAGTTCTATCCATGGTGGCTTGACTTATGACACTAGTAGGAGAAGTTGCAGGAACTACTGACTTGATCATTGGCTTAGTTTCTGCATCTTGATGATTCTCAGACTGATGTGGGACTGGACCTGGATTCTTTTCTAGCCAGCTTGCGATCAGCCTCTTAAGTACATAATTTGTTTTAGGCAGCTGAGTGCTATGTAGATTCTGGCGGGTAATTGGACATGTTGAGTTTCCTCGATCCAGCCATTCCTGGATTGCTCTACGCTCATATGTCTGACCTGTCTCAAGGGTGACAGGATCATCAAATAAATTGCTTGTGATGGGGCATACAAAATCCTTAGGGGGATGTGTATGTTTCCCACTGCCGGGGGGGTTACCATTATCTGCCATTAGATAACGAGGAGAGCTGATAGATAGCAAGAAGAATCCAAATATCAGAAAGTGAAGTAGACAATGTAAAGATGATTGCTAATTTTCTGTATTACATACTGGCTGGAATCAGCTAAGACAGGTTGCCTCTGTTCTTGTGTTAGGCTCTTTCCGTATTCCAACAATGCAATTTCTTTGTTGTTTTCCTACAAGACACAAACGTAATATTTCAAAACTAAAATAAATGCATAGTTGGATCAGTCAGGGCCTCAGGGGTTGAGATTTCGTTACTTGTTTGTATCGATTACCTCAATCTCAGCTTCGGATTCCGAGGAACAAGAATTGGCTGAATTGTTCTTGGAAACAGACTCCAGTTCTGAATCAGAATTTAAATAGGAAGATGTTGTCAATGTCCTAGAATTTTGTTTTCTCAGGATATCTAGAGAGACTCTCTGAGGATAAAATGGTGGAGACTTGGATTTGCAGCTGCTGCTGCTGCTATAAAATTCAACTGACCTTTCTCCTTCACCCCATATTGGCTGCATGAATTGAAGGATAAGTCATTGAACTTGAGCAACAAACTGGACTAAGCTAATAATTTTGAAACTGAATTCAGAGAACTACGCTTTCACACAGAAAATTATGCATCCATTAACTAAAAATGAGATAATTAAAACCACTATTTGAATACCTTTTACCTGTAGCTACAACATGCAGGGCAGAAGAGACCATAATCAAAACTTTTTAAACAAGAAAATCTTGGGCATAATTCCAAACCATTTTCTGCTAGTTGGAACTTGCAGCCTTGGAATAATCCAATCATATCATAAAGAAAAAAAAAATTTTAAAAGGGAGACTGAATTAGTTATTGGAAAAATGTAATAATTAAAAAGAGGAATCATTTTTTTTTGTTGAAATTTATCTATTAATGATTAGTTTTCATAAGAATTAAATTACAAGAAGAATTATTGGCCACTATTTACAAATTTAAATTCCTCAAGAGAGCTCTCAATCTAATTTGCAAAGAATTATTATTATTATTATTATTATTATTATTATTATTATTATTTTGCCTGGATCTGCTGAACCAAGTTTAGCCATAATATTTCTACAGTTTAAAGATGCTTTCTGGGGATCCAGTGCCAATGGTCCAGCTCCCGGAAGATGTTAGGCACACCAACACAAGAATAATTCGTTACTATTAGATCTTTTGCAACTTATTCTGCTTTTTGTTTAATATACTAATCTCTTTTGTTTGACTGATTCAAAAATAATGTACCAAACACGGTGGAGAAGAAGTTCAAGCATCAAGAGAAAATAAGAGGTATTAACAGACTGATATGCAATAAATATGTACAAACGAATGAAACATGGACTAGAAAATGTCAACTCAAATTCACCAGAGGAAATTCCCAAGGCAAGAACAAATGCAAAGAGCAAATATTTTGGACAAAAAAAGATAATTTAGGCTTGGCATTCAAGTATAATTTCATAACTATAGCTAAATGTGAGAGAAGGTCATGCACATTAAAACCAAGAGAAGAAATGTCTAGGAATAAAATTGAAAATGAAAATCAACTGAAGAAGAAATTGGGTTTGATTATTAAAAGCTACAGCATTACATTATACCGTCCGTGTTTCAATCCAAGTTCCTTGGTTTTAATGTTCATATCTTCATGGTTGTCTACTTCCTCAGCTTTCTCCGTTTGTTTCGACACCAAAGCTGGTAGACTAATCAATCTGTTGCCATCACTATTTTCTAAAGCCTCTTTGAAATACTTAACAAAAGTTATGCAGTTCTCAATTTCTCATCAAGAACCTCTCCATAATTTCTTTCCAATTCTTTTAGCTCTGAAGCTTGATCACCACTTATTTTAGATAACAATTTCGAGCATGGAACGATGACTGATACATCGCATATGGAATAATCATCTGAAGCTTGGCCACGTCGTTTCCTTCCAACTCGAATACCCCATCAAAGCTTGCTTTTTTTTTTTTTTTTGTTTCATGATTTCATCAGTGGATTCCTCGTTCACATACTTTTATACGACTAATAAATTTGGATTAATTAAAGCCATAATTCTTCTTTGTGATCCCAAGATGGCTTGTTTTATATATGCCCGTGTACCCTAAAAGCCTCGTTGTCATTTCTTATTTTAAAATGGAGGAATGCTATAATTAGTTTGGTAGGTTTTTCACCTAATTGTAATTAGCTAGGGGTTAAAAATAAATTTAGACAAACAACATAGCTAGGCGCTAAAGTATGATGTATAAACTGTTGAACATCCACTCTAAAATTAATTAGCTATAAGATCATAGGTAGTTAAGACTTAATAGATGTGGAATATATAACTCCAATTAACATGCCTCATCATGTTTAGACGAGATTATCACATGATAAACCCAACAAAGTTATATGATATGAAAGTACAACAAATTCAGGCAAAAGAATAGAATAAATATGGATTCTAATATAATTTTAAACATTCAATTTAAAATCAATTAATTATATATAAGTAAAGAAACTCGGTTTAAATATATATCGGTAACCTAAGACTTAATAGATAATACTGTTTAACATAAATATATACAAATTCTTTTTTGTTATGTTTTTATGTCGGTAGATGAAATGAAATCCACTTGCCTACTTTAAAGCTCACCAGCGTGAGAATTGCACTGAAAATTTGTTTTTGAAAGGTAAGGGAGCTTTAGGTGGGCAAAGCTGTAGCTAGTGCAAATTGAATATTTGAAAAATTGAATTTGTAACGAAATATTTATTAACCTAGACATATAAAAATAGAGTGCATGCATGATTAATTATATATTTGTCTGAAGAGTTAAATTCAAATCTTTCGTTCTTATATTAATAAATATATGTATATGCTAGCTTAATGGGATAAGCGGGCCTGATCTCATCCTTAACTCAAGGCCTTTTATGAGTGTGTTTAGTTGATAAATGCATAGGATGGTAGGGAAAAAGAAAGTAAATAATAGGAGGGAAACGTGATAGGAAAAAAATTGAAACCAAGAAAAGAAATGTCTAGGAATAAAATTGAAAATGAAAATCAACTGAAGAAGAAATTGGGTTTGATTATTAAAAGCTACAGCATTACATTATACCGTCCGTGTTTCAATCCAAGTTCCTTGGTTTTAATGTTCATATCTTCATGGTAGTCTAGTTCTTCAGCTTCTCTGCTTGTTTCAACACCAAAGCTGGTAGACTAATCAATCTGTTGCCATCACTATTTTCTAAAGCCTCTTTGAAATACTTAACAAAAGTTCTGCAGTTCTCAATTTCTCATCAAGAACCTCTCCATAATTTCTTTCCAATTCTTTTAGCTCTGAAGCTTGATCACCACTTATTTTAGATAACAATTTCAAGCATGGAACGATGACTGATACATCGCATATGGAATAATCATCAGCATCATGATTCGCATTTTGTGATGAAGATGACAAAATGATTGATCTTTGTTCATTGAACCATTGAAGAAGAGGGAGAAAATGAATAAGAAAGAGCTCCTCGAAAAGGGTAGGTGCTAGTTCTGATCTAGCCAATGAAGGGTCTAGATAGAAAAGTTGTAGGAGACTAAGGGAGGATTTGATGGGTTGGTTGGAGAGAGTGTAAATGAGGGATAGAAGGAACGAAGAGAATGCAGTTTCAGGATAGGAAAGGAGGAGCTGCTGAGCAGGGCAGAAAGAGGAGGATTGGATGGAGGCATTAGATGTGGAAATGGCGTTTTCTAGAGTTTCAGCTGCAAGGTTTAAGGGTTTAAGTATGAGTTGATCAGAGGGCAAAAGGTTGCGGCGAAGGATGGAGAAAATGTGGTGGCGGAGCTCAGATTGTGAAGGATTTCGGAGGTGAAAGCGGTGGTGTGATAGAGGATTTGGGATGATGTAGTGGCGGTATTCATGGTAGTGCCGTGGTGCTAGTGCCTAATGGTAGCGATTTTGTTGAGTAGAAAAGTTCTAAGAGAGGTTTTTGGTGTGGGATTTTGAGGGATTGAAGTTGAAATGGAGGCCAATGGAATGATATTAACAGCAATACCTAATTTTGCGTTGGCGCCAAGACAATGGGACGGCCTATCTAAAATGACCCATCAGTCCCCCCTCAATTAACAAGTTTTGCAAATTCTAGGGCTTGAAAACATATCGGCTGAACATGTTAAAAAGGTAATTAAAACAAATTTGAAGTTTGGCGTTGACTTGAATCCCTTGATAGTTATGCAAATCATTACAAAAGACGAGGAAAAAGAGGCCCTTGCCGCCCAGGCCGGCCTCACTGTAACGCGCTTCTTGCGTACTTGGACTGCTTCTAATCCGGGCTCTGCACAATGGTTTCTGCCATTTGTCGTCAGCTAGGTTTCCTGTATGATCAAAGCACGAGACTCAGAATTATAGATGGGCCACACCTTTGCTTAATTGGCCTATGAAAAATGGATTATAGATTCCATGGAAATGCTGCCTGCTACTTCTTTCAAACCCGTAGTCATGGATATGGATATAGCCCCCATTTCTTGTACTATATTTCTTGCCTCAGCGGCTGAGCCGATTGTCTGCAATTTATTCTAATTTATTAGTTAAAGTTAAATTATACGCAGGAATAAAGATTGGGTCATAGTCATACAGTAAATTAATAAGTATTATTTGACAAATTGCAGCAATTTTTTATTGAGGTGATGAACTCAACTTCTCTTCTTCACAGCTTACCCACAGCCTCAAACCTTAGCATCTGTCGTTATTGCCTTGCCCGTTAGCCGGAATGGGAAGTAGAGGTTATATATATACCTAGAGAAGCTTCAGTTCAGTGTTCATAATTCTTGATGCAAAAGCAGACAGGTCCAAGCAAAATAAGATACTGAGAAAAACTACCCTTTTTTTTTATTGAAAATATGATAAACCACCTTTTTGAATAATGTTCTCAAATACAAATAAGACCCACTGTTCAGAACGAAATTGGAACTTATATTAATGTAGTAGCCAACAAAAATCAAATTAGAACTTTAAAAATCAAAGAGATGCCTTAAAAGAAAATTGCTTTCATACTTATGAAGATAATAAAGAAATGAATTTAAGCAGAACATCAACTGCATTTTGAGCTGCCAAAGCGGAAAACACAGCAGCCTCATTTGACACGGCCGAACCTCCACCAGCTAAATCAGACAAGGATCTAAATGCAATAAAAGGCATCTTTTGTTGGTGACAGACCAGAGCAACTGCAGCAGTCTCCATGTCGATTGGAGTTGCATTGAACTTGGAATTCAAGAATTCTCGATAAGCGCTATTGTCGACAAAGATATTTGAGCTGATCCCTCTTTGTACTCTCACCACCACTGGAGTTCTTGGTAAGCAAGTTGCATTGAAACATCTACCAAGCTTCAAAGCCTGTTTCAAAAAGCCGAATTGAAAGAATAGATATAGTTTTTTTTTTTAACAAAACTTGCAGTCAAAGACACAGAAATTAAATGGATTTTTTAGGATGCATTTACTTTACCAGAACTCCTTCCGCTAAGGCAAAGTAATGCTTGTTGACTGGAACCCAAAAGGCATGTTGCCTCTGCTCCGGAATTCCATTCACTGGAAATATTTCTTCAGGCTGATACCACACATTGTTGAGGAGGTTCTCCGAAGACGTGTTGCATTTTGTGCTATTGTTGTAATCGGAAAACCTAAGATAACCAATTTTTCTGGTGTAATCTCCATTGGATTCTAAAGCTAGCTCATCCTCAGGTCCATCTCCATACCTCTTTAAACATTAATAAATTGTAAAAGGGAGATCATAAGGAACTGATTATAGAATAATTCTGAGGAAAAAAACAAAGGAAAGACAAAACATTTCTGCCCTCTTAAATCTTTACAATTATGAGATTTTTAGAATGAGAAAAGTCTCCTAAAACTCCTTACTCAAAACTTAACCCAAAATCCAATTACACCATTTTTAATAGCCTACTCACTTAGCTATTCTCTTGGTGTCTAACTCTCTGGGATTATCAAACTAAAACCAAAACATCTTATTTATAAGGGTGAAATCCTTTATACCTTTACTAAACTTTTGATGTGGGATACAAGATAAACTCAAACTCACTTAACTTTCAATGTGGGATTCTGAGATTCAAAGCAAATCCCAACAAATCCTCCCTTGACTTGAATCTCCAAACACTTCAACAGTATCTGCAAAGCTAACACGCTTACCTTTCTTTTTTTCTTTCATCACAGGCATCTCAGCAACTGAACCTCCATCAAACATGTACAAATGATTATTGACTCTATTCCCTTGTAGAATCACACTATCATTCTTGTACACTTTTAACCAATCATTAGTACCATAATATGTGTACCCCCGAGAAGCTAACTCATCCAAAGCAATCAAATTGTAGTGACAACTTGGTACATACCTTACATGACGAAGTGTCCTAATAACACCATCGTGAGATCTAAGGCGAACATTCTCAATGCCTTGAATCTGCACATTTTCTTTGTTAGCAACCACAATATCCCCATACTTTTCATTCTTATTCAACTCCACAAAGCAACTCCTGTCATTGCAAACATGAATTGTAACAGCTGAATCTAAAATCCAACTTTATCACTTTTCAAAGTCCGAGTCTCATCCATACAAGTTATCAAAACAATATCATCATCATCAGATACGACAGCAGCAGTATCACTCTTTTCTTCATCTGATTTCTTCTCATCATTCGTCCTTTTGAAAGCAGCCATCCCTTCTCAGCTTCCTGCAGCGCACTTGGATATGTCCCTTCTCACCATAATAATAATATTCTACATCACTGTAATTTGTGTCTCTTGACTTAGATCTCCATCTTGATCTATCAATCCTCTTTTGAGTCATCCCTCGATCAAAACCCTCTACAGTTAATGTACTCCCCCTAGGTGATGAGCTCTGAGCTCCCATAAACCTTTCATTCTCATGCAACAAGGTAGTCACATCATTCAACTTCAAAGTAGACCTGCCTACCAACACAGTTTGAACTAAAGGCCTATAAGACTTGGGCAAAGATGACAGCAAAATTAAAGCCTTCTCTTCATCTTTTAACTCATCAACAGAAATCGTTAGCAATTGAGAAATCAATCTATTAAACTCATTCAGGTGATTATGAAAACCAATACCTTCTTCCATCTTCAGAGAATACAGATTCATCTTCAAACATAATCTATTAGTCAATGACTTCGAAGCATAAATACCTTCAAGCTTATCCCATAAATTTTTCGAAGTACTCTCAGTCAATACACTGTACTTTACTTCTAGAGCTAACGCCAATCTAATAATACTGACAGCTTTCTTCTAAATCTTATTCCAATTAGCATCAGACATTCATCAAGCTTACTACTCTCTAATGCCTGATCCAACCCTTGTTGTACTAACAAATCTTGAATCTTACTTTGTCATAACATAAAATTACTCTTTTCATCAAATAACGGAATCTCAAACTTAGGCATAGGCATACTTGACATACCTTCTTCAGACATCTTGAAACACCGTTTCACAATCTCTTAGGCCCACGAACCTTAAACCTCGAACCTCACTCTAATACCACTTGTTAGGAAAAACAACACTCACACGCAGCAACCACACACAAAATAGCAAACTCAAATCAAGAATAAGAACACACACATATTTGATTCGGCCCAACTCAAAATGGCCTACTCCAAACCTAATCCACTAACAAATAAATCTTTACAATTGTGAGATTTTTAGAATGAGAAAAATCTCATAAAACTTTTTACTCAAAACTTAACCCAAAATCCAATTATACCCTTTTAATTGCTTACTCACTTAGCTCTTGATGTCTAACTCTCTGGGATTACCAAATTAAAACCAAAACATCCTATTTATAAGGGTGAAACCCTTTATACCTTTACTAAACTTCGGATGTGGGATACAAAATAAACTCAAACTTACTTAACTTTCGATGTGAGATTCTGAGATTCAAAGCAAATCCCAACAGATAGAAGGTTTGCCCTTCTTTTTTTTTTAATCTTTTTGTGCAATTGACAATATGCATAATCTGACATAGAGAAATCCTTCATTTGAGATAATACTCCGATTAAAAACAATTCCAACGGATTAGCACTTTTTCCTAATTTGTGCCAGCTAGGCTTCTATGATCATTTCAATAACAATGCCCATATCTAGCCAACAGGAAGACTGAAACACTTTGAAAACATTTTCAAAGTTAAATATGGTGTAATGATGGAATCTGGCATTGAGTAAGCAAAACATTTCAACGTTGAATATCCAATCATCTTTAATTCTAAATAAATATATCACCATCAATAGGGGGAGGGAGGAGGAATTGAATGAATAAAAAGTTTTTAGTACCTGCCAATTCCAAAGACCTGAATGAGCCCAAAATTGAGGGATGGTTACGTCTCCAATTTGAAGCTGAGGATTTGCATTTCCTGCTATCCCATAGTGCAGAACTCCTTTCACCTTGAATAGGCTGAGCAGCAATTGTGTAGCTATACCCGCATTTAGCTATAAACATTCCAAGGAGATAAGTGTCAATACCTTAGCAACCAAAAAGATAGATTGAAACTACCGTTACATATCCAAAATACACATACCATGCTCAACCCTGTCAAAACAATTATAACCCTTTCACTTTCCAAGCTTCCAATTCGAAACCTTCTTCCTGGACAAGAAACAAAGTCAAAGAATTGGTTTAATCTACATGTAATTTAAAATTTAACCAAGAAAATGCAATGACAAGGAAATTTCATGGGAAGTCATAATCACCTGAAAAGTCCAGGTAAGGAAGGTCGTGATCAGCCACAAAGCTACCAGATTGCATAAGAGGATTCATCTCAAAGGAATTTGGCACTATTATACCTAAGTACGGACCCTTCGTGTTTATTCCACTGATATTTCTCAAAGCGGAAGAAGAAAATTCACCGTAGACTCCATTGCTACCAATACCCAAAGCAAGAACGACCAGAAACAACACCATCCTCAAGCACACCCCCATCTTTTCCTGTATCCCGGAGGCTCACAATCGCGCACACTTTTATATATCTGTTCACTCCTCCATAAACGTGCAAATGTACTTTTACATGCTCCACGCTTCCTGCATGTAACAAGGGGTTGGAAATTTCAACGCCGCAAACAGAGTTCCCATACGAAATTACTTAAAAACTCTTTACCAAACCATAGATATTTCTCCAAGTTGATCCGAATGTGTGGACGCAGAATACTGGTTCCCCACTTCCCAATTCCCACCAATCAAGTAGTAGAAAAGTAAAATTTTGATATGTACATAAATTCGTGGAAAAAGGTTGTTTGCGTGCGTAAGTGGATTCACTGATACCGTCAAGAAATAGAATATTACAAAGTTTACAACCTTATGGATCACCAGAGTCAAACACCAATTATACTAGTATTTGTCAGCGTATCTTGCTTTGTTTTTTTATTTTTTTTTGAACTTTTTTTCTCTCGAGATTCCCGTAATTGTGTTTTTTTTTATTGGATGATAAGATAACAGATCACAAGGTAATTAAATTTAGGCTTGCTAAGCGGGCTGGTTCAGGAATCCAATCCATAGGAAAGGAAAGCAATTTATTAATTTTGATAGTACCATTTTTAATTGTAAGTCCATTTAGATTTTTAAAGAATTCAACTCCCACTCGTGGAATACATTTATAGTTGAGCAAAATTCTTGAATATATATTAAATTAAATCCATTTTATTCTTCAATATAAATTAAATTAATTCCATTTAGATTTAAGGTTATTACCTTTGGAAGGCACTATTCCTTGACATAATTTAGTTTACTAATATATAAATATGCATATATTTGATAATTCAACTAAAAAAACATTTTAAAAAAATATAAGGTCGGGTTCGATTCTAATCTTTTTCCTCTCTCTTTATTGTAAGATTTTATCCCCTTAAAACAATATATATATATATATATATATTATAATTTGGTACTTCAACTAAAAAAAAATCCCTACCTTATATTTAAAATAAATGAAAAAACAAAAGTAAAATAGTAGGCCATGGCTTCCCTCAGATAATCTCTCCACGTGGGTGCAAATAAAAAATGAAACAATTAAGTTTATATATAATGACTGTTACGAAACCCAAAAAACAAAAAGTCAAAGAAAGAAATATGAATGATGTTGTTTACATGTTCAATGAAATTACACTTCGAATTATGGACAAAGACTTTTTGATCTAGCAAAAAGTCAAAACTTCTTTTGATTTTCTGCTATCTAAATCAAAAACCAAAATTGAGATCATGTGCTTCGAAAACATATAAACGTTCCCCACATTAAAGTTTTCAAGAATCAAGAATTCATGGATTTGAGGAATCTTCGGCTTTTATAAGTGAAAAATTACTCTCTCAATAGATTTTTTAGAGGAGCAGAAGGCCGGGGATGGGAGCTCAAACAAATAAAAACAAGGTGATTTTAAAAGAGAGTAAAGAGATCTATGAGTTTGAAGTTTTGCAAGATATGAGAGATTTAAAAGAATAAGAGGAAGATGATTATTGATTTTTTTTTCTTTTGCCGTTCGGCAAGAGAAGTTAACTGTTTGATTCTGAAGCCCAAGTTTTAGGCCCATGACCAAACGAAACTGTGTTTCGTGGACAATCCTCACTATTATGGCCCAAAAACAAATTTAGAAGCAAAAAGTTAAGGCCTAAAAGAAAGATACGAAAAACCTTTTCCTATACAGCATCAAACTTTTCACATAATGGGCCAATGTCCTCAATTGCATAGCTAAGGCTATCTCATTCTAGTTTTAGATTTTTTTTTTTTTTTTTTTTTATAGTTGTCATAACGTGTAATGTCCTAAAACTAACTTATTAAATACTTGAGTCATCATTAATTTTTTTTTAATATGAGTGACTAATCACTTAAGTGAATTTATTCCTACTAAAGTTATTTTAAACTTGACTAAGGATCTCTTTGAAAAAATAGGTTTTGGTTTTTTAAATAAAATTAAGTTCGAAAATTTAGTTACATATAAAAAAGATTATAGCATCCCTACAATACTCATACTAAAATGGTATCAATTAATCTCAAATTATTTTTTTAGCCTTAATTCAATGATCCTAATTCATTCCTATTATTTGATTTATTTGTTAATTTTAATATTTAAATATTGAACATATTTTTAAATTTTTTCCAACGCTTTGGTCGATCTCATAAAAATATTCTTCACCTCAAAAATATTCAAGTAACACATTTGTTTTCTTGAATAAGCGTCATCGTTGGATTTATTAAATATTTTATGAAATTTAATACACACAAAATACAATAATCAAATATAAAATTCAATAAAATACAATGATAAAATAATCACAATTTAATCAATTATAAAATCATCACAATTTGTTTCCAATTTTAATTTTTCAAATAAAAATAAATAAAATTTTTTATATTAAAATCAATTTCTAAATCTTCAAATGTTTTAATCGAATTTAGAAAAAATTCTCTCCCTTAAAATTCCTAAGAAAATTACACACCTATAACTTTTTAAAAATTTCATCATTAGTTGAAATTTTATTTATTAAAAAAATATACATTTAATTTGTTTACCCAATTAAACTTTCTTTATCTTTTTAAAAAAATTAAAATTATATGCAAAAATTAAATATCCATGAAACAATAAACTAAAAAATAAATAAATAAATGAAATCAAATAAATGATAAAGAAAAAAAAAAAAAAAACAGAAACAAAGAAGCAAAATTACAGGTGGGACATTACTTGGTTTAAAAGTGGTGGAATTTGTGACATGAATCTATGTAATGGTACTTGCCCACTTAAATTAATGCCTTTGTTCAAGCTTGGATCACTTTCTTTTCCTACGACGCAGCCTTTCCTTGCGTTTCTTTTCCACTTTTTTTCCCAACCTAAATTGCTTAAAAGAAAGTCTTAATTAATTAAACCCAAAAATAAAAAAAATATAAGAAAACTTTTAATTTTTGCTTTTTTTTAACTTTTTTCTCTTGATTTTTTTTTAATTGTCCCTTGATTGATCCTAATAGGATCTTTTTACAGGCTTTAATCTAAATTATAATAGGAAAAGGTTTTTTTGGTTTCAATTTCTTAATCAAAATCAATTTTAGATTTTTAATCCAAGTCTATCACTCGACCCAATATATTCTTTTTTTCAATTGAAATAACTAAACTTCAAATGGAATCAAACTCTTCTCTTTCTTTTTTTAAATCATAAATCAATTTATTTAACAAAATAAATAATCTTAAACTAAACAAAATACAAAAATCCTAAAATTAAATTAAAAAACACTCCAAACTAAATGGAGTGTTATAATAGTTGAAGTTGATAAAGATTGAATTTTAATAATTTAAATTTAAATTTTAGTATTTTATTGATAGATCTAATGATTGTTGGAAAAGGAATTGAATTAATGTAAAAGATTCAAATGATCTTAAAGTCACTAATAATGCTATTATCGACATATCATATAGTTATTGATAAAAAAAAAAAAGTTAAAATTCAATTACTTGATTAAGAGGTTCAGATATATTCTTAATATATTGCATCAAATGCTCGATCTGATGCTCTCAATTTTTTAATTATTTGAAATAATTATATTTCTAGTAGAATTTTGCTTTTTCATGGTTGGTAGGGTTTGCATATAATTTTTAGTAGGTAAAACGTATGGTGCAACAAATTTTATCCCTGTAGTTGGATCTAATTATAGGGGGAGAAAAGAAAAACATTCTTTGGGAAAATAAAAAGGAAGGTTTTATTGAGCACATATGCAAAGCAAATAAACGTTGGTAGGAATGGGGTTGGTTGGACTTGGACATTGCAAACCATGCCAACAAATAACATCATGTTGACATGAAATGCATGAGCCACATGGGACAGAATCATTGACACGTAACACGTGTCACATTTTTAAACATTCTTGTAAAAAAACAAATATTTATGATTTTTTTTTGGAAGCACAAGTACTTATGATTTGTGGGTTGAATATATATGATTTAAAATGTTTGATGTAATATGAATCAAAATTTTAAAATTTTAACATTAAAAATACACAAGTGGATTCTTGTCACTATACACATATATTTCAGAAATTTTTATGAAATTAATTAAGTGCTTGAAAAAGTAAATCTTAAAACTAATTTAAAGAAGAAAATATATAAGATCATTATTTCTTACATCACCATCGATCAAGTTTTGAATCTTTGCAAGTGGAGTTAGAAAAATTATCATGCATCATTTTTCTTATTATATTCTACAAAGGTATGTGTCTATCATTTAATGTCATTTATAGAGTTTTTAAATTTCATTAACTGTGTATGATATATATATATATATATATATATATCTGTGTGTGTGTTAATTTAAATATCAAATATTGTATAACATATAGTAGATACTGTAATATTGCTCAAGATATTGGGTGATTCAAGAATGCTGCCAATCTCAGTCAATGCATCATCAAACTGATTAATTACGACTGGATATGCATAAAATTAAGCAAATAGTGTAGCAAGCAGCTAATAACGTAATGAAAGAAAGAAAAATAGAGATCATTAAGCTTAAATCTTAGTAGTAAATTAGAGATATCGAGGTAGTTCTTCCAAATCACCAGGCCAGCTACAGCTTAGCACACATCAGCTAGAAATAGTCCAAAGAAAGAATATTTGTATAGCATCATGAGCAATCAGCCTTTGAACTTTTTAGCAGAGTGACTGCTCATGATGTTATATCGTTTTGGTGAAGCTGCTTCTGATCTTCTACTACTTTTTTAATCTTTTTAAGTGTGCTACAGCTACCCTTTCCAACAGATCTAATAACCTTTTTATCGGAATCCACCGCCCAGAGCAGGAGCCCAGTAATCAGCTCCATTGTCACTCCCAACTTGAAGTGTGCACGACACTGGAACCAAGCATAGCCCTCTACTCCTGAGGTCCTTCTTTGGTTCTTCATGACAATCCTTTGAAAAGAAAATGGAAAAAAAAATTTGTTATTTCCATTTGATATATCATGCATGTAAAAAAAAAAAAAAATTGAAAGAAGAAGCTACCTGCTGATCAGGGCCACTTTTCCTCTTCAAGGAATTTTCATTCAACAGCTGCGCAAAAAAGTATTACCATTTTAATTCATTTGTCAAACTAAGCCTATCATTTTTTTCCATTTGTTTAGATGACCTTAATTAATTATTTCAAAATGCAAATGAATTGATATTAATAAAGAGTAAAGCCAGCAATAAAGCTGAGAACATTGTTCTTTGAACACTATCTTTATTGGTTTTAAGGGGAAAAAAAAACACAGTAAAAAGGTACAGCTTTTCCAAATTCAAGTTCCCTCCCCCCGAGTTAATTTGAGGTAATGGATCCAATAAAGCTTACTACCTGACCAGGGTCTTCAGGAAATATACAATTTCTCTCCCCTTGAACCTAAACAAAAGATTTATAGTAATCATTAATCAATTAATACCACATTATTCATAAAAATTTATTCTCATGCACATGCATATATTCACAATTCCACATGCAGAGAGACATAGAGAGATCCTTGTCTTTATTTCATATTTTTGGGAAAGGATACTGATATAGTTTTCTTACAGACTGTTGCTGCCTCATGTTTCCTGATCCACGGCCCAAGTACGGTAAGCTGAGAGCCTATATTCAAGGGGGATATACATGTATAAGAGAAGGAATAATATTTACGTACTTCAATAAACAAAGAAATGTTAAAAGGAAACATTGGGAGGCTGAGACTTCAAACAGTGTGTGCCATCACTGGCTCGTGGTTGTTTGCAAAAAGAAAAGGGAGGAAGGAAGGAAGAAATATCACCTCAATTTGACTCTGAAGGAATCTGATGTACCCAATAGCCTCTAACAAGACAGAGGCTGTGTCAGTCTGCAAAAGAGAAAAATACCACACCAAAACCCTCCAAAGTCATATTTAGTATTCCCTTTTTCAAATGCTTAACTAAAGAAAAAAAAGGAAGAAGAAAGAAAGCTTTCATCCTTGGAAAAAGACCTTCTTTATGGGTTTTCTACATAAAGAATATAAATGTTTTTATTCCTTTAATTTCCATTCTGCAAAAGATCTAAATATTTGAGCCTTGTTAACTTCATTGATTAAAGCTTTAATTACCTTCCCGAATGGAGAAACAAGTTGGTGAAGTGCTGTAATTCTGTCTCCTAATTTTTCCTTCCTCACCTGGTATATATAAATAAATTTGTAAAATCAGAAAAATAAGCCGATGATTAACTACTTTTCACTTACATTGTATTTTTTTTAATATATATATGAGAGATATATAGCAAGGCCAAAGAATCGTCACCCGTGAAGAAATGGACAATCAAGAAGGACAACAGTACTTGACCAGCGCAAATGTGTGTGTTTTCTGGTTGTGGGTATCTGGTATAAGTGTGCGTGCAATTTGTGTTTATGTGGTGAGTAGGAAAGAGAGTGAAAGAGAAGGTTGAACGGGTTAGGTAAATTTTTTACTTGGGTTTTTTTTTTTTTTCTTTGTATTGTACGTTACCTTGAAGGTAGAGTGGGCTGCAGAAGGTTGAACCCTAGCTTTCTTAAATGCCCCACCAGTGGCAGTGCTGTTACACTACAGAAAAATAAAAAATAAAGAAAGTAAGGACTAAGGACTGAGGACGAGAATTCTGATTGGACAGCAATCTGATAAATCAGAGACGGTTAGTTAAAAAAAAAACCCGTTCATGGCCTAGATCAAGACATTCAGCCAACTAACCTTGATAAAAACACTGTTCATATCAACCATCAGTTGTACTACTTTATCAAAGTAGAATAATAGATCAAATTCCGGGTATATATAATTCATTAATCTATAAATATATAGATCACGAATTTGATATAACTTCAAATGAATCAGGAAACCCTAAAATGTGTTAAAAATTTTTATTCAATTTTCTTTTTTTGTCCCCTTTTACCTCAGAAGACCGATCTGGGGGTGGCTGCCTTAAATCAGATTTGTTTCCCGAAAAATCCAACATGTTACTGCTGAAACTTGTTACACAGGACTTGGGGGATGAAGCTGGAGCCATTATTTGATGAGACCAAGCTGGTTTAGTTGCCTGATGAAAATCTTCATTTGCATGTCCATACACATAGCTGCTTGTAGAGTCTTCTTGCTTCACATCCACAATAGAATTAACATTTGAGGCTTGTTGTAATGCTTGTTCCTCCCAGTTCTCCCACTTCTTGGGTTGAACTTGAAACTGGCCTATACCACCCTTTTCTTCTTCTCCCATCAATCCTCCCCTAGAAATAACACATGTAACATAAATTAACACAGTTAACTGTCTGTCTTTTATCAAGCTCACATGAAAATCAATTTTAAAGATCGAATCTCAAAACATGCATCGTATATATATGTATAAATATTATACTTAAGTATTGAATCAAAGTTCAAGCTTTGTTAATCTAAAGCCTATACACCAGAGACAGAAAAGCGTAGAGAGAGAGAGTTACAATAGTAGTTGACTCAGTGACTCAGGAAGCTGATCCTGGTTATCATGCCAAGAAGGAATAGAAAGTAAAGAAGAGGAGGAAGAAGAAGAAGTGGGTATGAATTGAGGGAAGAAAGTAGTAGGAGGAGAAGGCAAGAAAGGAGACGGTGCTTGTTGATGAGTTGGTGGACGCATGCTGTTGATGCTCCACCAGTTAGGGTTTCCGGCCATCATCTGCTGCACTGGTGAGCTCTGCAACACTCCTCGGTTCATGGCCTTCCCTTCCAAAAACTAATTTGATGATGATGGTAGCGAACACTTAAAACTTTGTTTTTTCCTCCTTGTTTTCGTTTCACTTTCACTTTCTCTTTCCCCTTCTTTTTTTTCTCCTTGAAGCTAGCTCCCAAACAAGTCTTTGTAGAAATTTTGAGAGGTATTCCTACTCTGGTTTAAGTAGAGGGAAGAGAGAAGACACCCTCAAGTCCTATTCCTTGAGAGAATTTGAATCATGGAGGTTTTGAGAAGCTTTGTTTTTTCTCTCTTTCATTTCTTTTTTTTTTTATTGCTTTGCCTTTTTCTTTCTTCCTTTCTTTTATGTTTTTCTTTTTCTTTCTTGCTTTTTCCCTGCTTTTGCTTTATCTCAAAGTGGGACAGAAAAGGTGGAGGCAATTCTCAATTTCTAATTATTAAATAACAAAACAAACAAACACAAAAAGCAAAAGAATTAACCTTGCTACTGTAACTTTTGACATAACCATTTTTTTCATCACATATATCTATACTCATGTTTAATTTCACTCTACTAATTGTACTACTTAGTTCATGAAATTGGGTTTTTATTTCTTTTTGGGTGCTCAATTTTTTTCCAAACTTATAAATGGGCTAGAATCAATTCCTGAGTTAATTCTATTAACTTTTTATAATATATTACAGAGAAACACACCAATAAAAATAAAAAGTGATATTTCACAAATATTTGAAGAAATTAATCACAATTGAAAAGAAATATATAACTACATTTATATACTTAATTGACGAGTATCTTTTAGGATGACCTAATAAATAGAATTATATTTATATTATTCTCCAATTATTAAAAACTTGAGTGATGAGGAAACTTAGTTGATCAGCTATATATTATTAGTGGATATGTATGGACTCACAATTATTTTGATGGGTGTAGTGGTTTCATATATATCTAGGTAGCTAAGCTTCACATCACAACCCTTGGTGTGAGTACGAGAAAGTATGATTTCTTAATTGAAATTAAAGATTGGATTTGTCCTTGTCTTAGTATAGGGGTTTCCTTAATTGTGAGGTTACATCCATATATATATATATATATATATTACTAGATAATTTCCAGCTAGCTATGAAATGGTTTTCAAATTATACTACTTAATTTAGAGGGTAGCAATTATTATTCATTAATTTTATAAAAATAAGAACCCTAATTTAATTGATTTTATGCAAGAATAAATAGTAATACTATAATTTTGGGTTTGATTAAAGATAACAGTAGTAGAATTTTTGGAGGCAGTGTTAGTGACTGACGTCAGGATGATGGAAAAATGGAAAATAAGGGTAAGGTTTGTGTTTGGATTAAGTATTAATTATTAAGTTTTTGTTATTATTTTTTTTAAAACAAAATTGAAAAAGGATGGTGAGCAGCCCGTGAGAGGACAGAGAGGCCACGGTTTTCAAGAGGTCAAAACCTAGGGTTTGGAGATTCCTAACCTCAGGTCTTCCAGGGAATGATTACCATTTCCAAGATCAATAATATTTTATCCAGCATTTGTTTTTTGTTTTTTTGGTTACATCCAACATTTTTCTCTGTAGTTTTAGTTTGTTACTTGAGGTGCCATTCTTTTTTGGGTTTTTAATACCGCTACTCTCTTTCATCTCTCACCTTGTTTTTATGTAAAACAAAATTCAATTTCAAAATTTTTTCCAATGGTCAAAAAACATTAGTACTTTTATTTATTTTTACTGTAAATTTAATTTTAAAGAAAAAACCCATCCCTATTTTAATTAGTAACAATTACTAAATCAAATGTTTAAATACTAATTATATATATTTTAATAACACCATGAAGTAAAAAAAAAAAAAAAAAATAGTACTCCATTTTTATTGTGTTTGTAGTAAAAATGGTCTTGCAAGCTAGTATGTTGAAAGGACAATAATTAGCTTCTTCTCTTTGAATTTATAATTTTTTTTTGGTTAGCATGCCCTAAATGGAATGTATGTAAAACAACTTACAAAAATTAAATAATATTCAACAGATTTAAAATATATATATTTTTTGTACTAATTTTAAATATATGATTTAAGTATAGTATAGGAGATTTATGAGATTTTTTTTCAAAAATAAAACATTGAAAATACTCATTATTGTTGCACCGAATATCTCCCAATTAATTCGTGGGATTATTCCATGACAAATATTCCCTTGAACCGCATTTCAACGTTGTAGCCCCTTAAATCCCGAGCTAATCTGACAATTAAGCTATTTAGGAACATAAAACAATATTGTTTTTGGGGAGGATTTTATAAGGGATAGGGAACATGGATAGGTTTTGTCCGTACTGCCAAAATCTTTGTCGGGGTCACCATGTCTTTTTCTAGGTACCTCAATTTTTTTTAACCCCCCCCCCCCTTTTCCTATTTTATGCTGCTTGTCCCTATTCCACCTTCCTCCAACCAAATAACAACGAATGGCTGGAACAAAAAAAAAATAATAATAATAACAAAGAATGGAGCGAACACCTCTCTCCTGTCTTCTTCTTCCTTCCCTTATATTCTCTTCTTTTTCCATTTTCACTTTTTGTTCATTCCATCTACTTCCATTTTTTATATTAGGATGGAGTTCAAATTGGTTAATGTATGCTTTGATTGATTAACCTCATTCCTCCTAAAACTTTTTTTTTTTTAATACAAGAATAAGAATTACATTAAGTTCTATCCAAATCCCACCCTACCACTTAAGTGAAACTTAAGTAGCATTCCTTTTAAATTGATACTTAACTAGAGTATTTGAATTTCGAACGTTCATTTTTTACAATTCATTAAGTCAACTATATAATAAAATTTAATATTAATTAATCCTTTTTTTTAAAGAGATTGTAATTTGTGGATAAAAATAGGAGTTAGATTTTAGGATTTGAATCTCAAATTAATTTATTGAAAATTATCTTTTAAAGGTAATTACATGAACCAATTGCATTAAGTTCATAGATTCATTCTTTTAATAGTTTTATGTTATAACTTTAAATTATTTTCAAACTATAGATTTTTTCCCTAGTAAGAGGGATATAACTATAACTATAACTATAACTATATATATATATATATATATATATTAGTAGTAAAAGGGAATGAATTATTTGGGTTTAACTCAAGTAATTAGAGTGGAGGCCGGAGGATTAACTAATAAGTAAAAATCTTAAGCTCGAAAGAATAAAAAATAATAAAAATGAATGAATGAGGATTTGTTTAATAAATTAATTAATTAGTTAATATAGCACCTGGTATATACGACTTTATTTAATTGAAATTCTTCCTCGAGAAACAACAAAATTCATGCATCATCACGGTCAAGCTAAATTAATGTTAATTAGGCAAATTAAGCATGATGGGTTTTGAATCATCTAATTGTCGTTACACCAAAACAAAATCTAAGAAAGAATGATATACCGACACCATTGAATTGGCATGACTTGCTGCTGCAGCTTGTTGTTTCCGCAGTAATATCTATTATAATCCCTGACTATCGAAATCGACAATTAATGTTTCAAAGTTCAAACCCCCCTTGGCCATGTCGTTTCCTTCCAACTCGAATACCCAATCAAAGCTTGCGTTTTTTTTTTTTTTTGTTTGTTTCATGATTTCATCAGTGGATTCCTCGTTCACATACTTTTATACAACCAATAAATTTGGATTAATTAAAGCCATAATTCTTGTTTGTGATCCCGAGACGGCTTGTTTTATATATGCCCGTGTACCCTAAAAGCCTCGTCTTCATTTCTTATTTTAAAATGGAGGAATGCTATAATTAGTTTGGTAGGTTTTTCACCTAATTGTAATTAGCTAGGGGTTAAAAATAAATTTAGACAAACAACATAGCTAGGCGCTAAAGTATGATGTATAAACTGTTGAACATCCACTCTAAAATTAATTAGCTATAAGATCATAGGTAGTTAAGACTTAATAGATGTGGAATATATAACTCCAATTAACATGCCTCATCATGTTTAGACGAGATTATCACATGATAAACCCAACAAAGGTATATGGTATGAAAGTATAACAAATTCATGGCAGAGAATAGAATAAATACGGATTCTAATATAATTTTAAACGTTTAATCTAAAATCAATTAATTATATATAAGTAGAGAAATTCGGTATGAATATATAAAGGTAACCCAAGACTTAATAGATACACCGCATAACATAAATATATACAATTCTTTTTTGTTTTGTTTTATGTTGGTGGATGAAATGAAATCCACTTGCCTACTTTAAAGTTCACCAGCGTGAGAATTGCACTGAAAATTTGTATTTGAAAGGTAAGGGAACTTTAGGTGGGCAAAGCTGTAGCTAGTGCAAATTGAGGTTAAATATTTGAAAAATTGAACTTGTAACGAAATATTTACTAACCTAGACATATAAAAATAGAGTGCATGCATGATTAATTATTTATTTGTTTGAAGAGTTAAATTCAAATCTTTCGTTCTTAAATTAATATATAAATGTATATGCTAGCTTAATGGGATAAGCGGGCTTGTTCTCATCCTTAACTCAGGCCTTTTATGAGTGTGTTTAGTTGATAAATGCGTAGGATGGTAGGGAAAAAGAAAGTAAACAATAGGAGAGAAACGTGATAGGAAAAAGAAGTTATATAAATTAGTTCGATTTCTCTTTAATTGAAAAGTATTGAAAATTAAGAAACAATTGTTCACATCTAATTTCTATTGAAATTTGCTAAATCTAAATTCAAATTTTTAATAAATTATTTTTTTCGTATCAACTCCCTGATGATCGACTAGATCTATTTGATCCAAACAGCCATTCTATGAAAGTTTTCCACTTCCCTAAGCCATGGAGAAAGCATGTTACTCCTATATATTAAAAAAAGAATAAAAAGTTGCATGAAATTTTCCTTGAATTTTTTCCCCATAATGTTTGTTTACGCATTAATCATGTTTAAAAAAAAAAAAAAAAGGGAAAAGAAAAGAAAAGACACTTCATTTTCATTTGAAAATCAAAGGGGCAGATTTTTTTAGTGTTTAAAAATCAGCAAATATCTAGAGTTGGTGGCAATAAACAAGAACAAATCTTCTTTACCTGTCATGTTTTGTCTGTTTATCGTTGTCGTGCAAAGTATGAAATGGCTATATAATCACTGTAAAAATTGAAAAGTATGGAAGCTCGAGGTATTTTTTTAATGAAACGTTGCGATAGAAGTAATAAAAAACAGTCCAATTTCCTGTAACGTCACTTTTAAAATTTTGGGATAAAACTCTATTTTAGACCATGAAAATTCCCTCTTCTTTTTCTTTTCCATTTTTATAGCTTGTGACTAAT